AAAGTAAAAGGTGTGGGGATGTAAGTCAGTACAAAGGCCCTAGATTCACACACACACACACACACACACACACACACACACACACACACGCACTACAGTGGTACTGACTCCAAGAAAGTCAAAGGTAAGTCAAGTTCAGGGGATATTGCAAATGAATGGGTTGCTGGAGAGGTTGGAGGAGGAATCAACAGCTCCTTTGCATTCTGCAGGTGAGCTTGGCAGGACAGTTTGGGCCTTTTCTGCTCCATCTCCTGTGTATCTTCTGAAGTGTGTGATGGTTTAGGGCAATGGTTAGCTAATGATTTGAAAAGGGTTTCAGTAAGTGCTTTGACCCAGTAAGGCTCAGCCCCCCTGATAGCCTCAAGGTGTATTAAGATAAACCTTCAATGCTTGGGCAGGCAGTTTACAAAGTTGCCCTGGCCTTCACTTCCTGTTGGGACAGAGCCTCAGTGCTGGCTGGTGGTGAGAAATTACATATTCATAGATCTTATATGATTCACTTGATAGATTCACAGGAATCCTCCAGAGTTTTCCAAACATCGTCTTCCCAGGTTTTGCTTTTAGGGTTAGTGTCCAGTGAGCCCCACCAGCTGATGCCAGCTCTGGCAACTGTGATGTTAGATACTTGCCCCCTATCAGTCATGGTACTGTCTTCCTGAACACCAGCCTGGTTGTGGGACTGTTTGTTCCTACAGTGAGTTAAATTGTATGAACATAAGAGAATGCAGTTCTCCTGTGAGTCACCAGAGAGGTGAAGGGGGACATTTTTCTAACACAGGAGTTTTGGGGAGCTCCAGCCCTGCTCCACCCTCTCTGGCAGTGAGGTTGCTGGTTTCCACAGCTATTGTGGCCCTGAAGCTTTGCATCTCCAAGGCTACCACCAAGCTGGAGAAAGGGGAAGAGATGAGGCCAAGTGAAAATTTCAAAGTTGGCTCTTGCCAAGATTCCACCATTGTCCTTGAATAAAATGCTCATTGGATTTTTGCAAACTTTTACTTAATTTTCAGACTTCTAAAAAAGTTGATTTTGAGAATTTTTCCATTTTTCTTACTTTTTAAAAAAAGTGTCAGTGAATATTTAACATCCCTTTCTCTGCCATTTGGGATAGGCATTAACATAACCCAGGTTAACCAATTAACATTAACCTTATAAACTTGATTATGAACCTTTTCCTGCCTATACAAAAGAACACTTAATAACAATAATATGATCTCTCATATGCCCTTATCCAGCTTTTAATATTAGCTGCATTTGCCAGTGTCTCATTAGTTACTGCTTATTCTTTTCTCTAGAATATTTTAAAAATAAATCCCAGATGCCATGTTTTATTTATTTATTTATTTTAATTGAGTTGGGGGTCTCACTATGTTGCCCAGGCTAGTTGTGAAATTCTGGGTTCAAGGGACCCTCTGGCCTCTCCCTCCTGAGTAGCTGGGACTGCAGGCATTCCACTGTACTTGGCTTTTAACTTTATTTATGGTGTTAGCATAAGCCACATAAATGTGGATGATGTTTTGCTGAAACTGAGATATTGTTTCAAAGGAGAAGGTAGCACTGAATGCTACAGCCAAGGCTCAGGTGCTTCTGAGTCATTGTCCTGTGCCACCGTATGCCTGGAGAGGCCTCATACTGTTGCCAGTTATCTCCAGAGGCATCACCATGAGATTTTCAGTTGAATTGAATACATGGTGGTGCTATGGATCGTTTCATGATGTTTATCAAGAATAAGAGCCGTCTTGGGCATTCTTCTAAGACTGCATTCTATCAAGTGTTACAAGATTCTGAAAAAAGGTAATAGATACATATGTGCTCTTTGAAGAGTATTTCTGAAAACAGCCTTAAATGTGTCTATAACTCACAAGATATCTAGGGTACACTGTTAATGAATAAAAGTTGAATTGTAGGATATCTAATCCATTGAAAAAGTTGCTTATCAGTGTTTGTATTATGCCTTGATTTATATTTGAAAGATTAAATCACATAGATCACGTCCCCACCCACCCCCAGGAATGGAACCCAGGGGTTTTTTTACTACTAAGCTACATCCTATGCTCTTCACTATTTTATTTTAATTTGGAGACAGCACCTGCATAAGCTGTCTGGCTAGACTTACACTTGTGATCCTCTTGCCTCACCCTAAGTGACTGGCATTACAGCTATTCGTGCCACTGCACACAGCTGCATGTGGCAGTTTGGATTTATGGTGGACTGCTGATAACAGACAAGAAGTCAGACTGGCCTAACCAAGATAGGCATTTAGTTTTCTCTTCAGTGCTGCTTGGAGTAGGCAAGCTAGGGACTGATGTGGTGAAATGTCCATATACTGGGGACCTAGACTTCAAAAAAAAATTTATTATTATTTACTTTATCAGTACCTGTTTGCAAGTCATAATGATTGCTGCATTCATTATGGGGAGTTAGTGCATGTACTTACCACACCTTAATTTTTTTTTGTCCCTCTTTCCCATCCTCCCCTGTCCATCTCTTGAAGGGACCCAGATATCTATCAGTTCTCTCATCCTAAGTAGTAAGTTCCCTTCTGACAATGTCCACACTAGTCTTTGAGTCCTTTTGCAGTTTGGAAGAAAGAGAGGCCTAAAGGCAAACTAGTTCTTCTGTACTTCTGGCTGCACCTCACTGACTAGTACATAGTCACATGCGTAGCTATAGAGCATGCATAGCTATAGAAAGGTAAATAAATGGTTGTATTTTATTCTGGATGTGGTGAGGGCCTTCTTGTCCTGGGGGAAAGGGATACCGGTGCTGGGAGTGCAGTATCTGTCACTATATGAACATGCTTATGTGTGAAGGCATGGAAAATTTCTGAATGAAAGAATCAGAGGCTATAATGCATCTTACAGTCAGTAGCATGGCATGGCTCAATACTAACATTTTTCTTGGTGACATTGAAATACAGTAGTACGGTAACTCCTTGAGAATACTGTGGGAGTGAATCTGAATTGTTCAGGCTTAGTAGGAATTTTCCCAGAATATAAGATGAATGCACTTTTGAATTTTAAATGATTACAGTATTCTATGATTTTTGCATTTTTGGGATCAAACTGGCCTTGATATATATTCTCAATTCTTGGATCTCTGAGCCACAGTTTTTAAGAACTTTTAATTAATGATGGCCCTGGTTGCCACTGAGAACTCTCCTTTTTAAGCTATACTTACAGTCAGAAATGAGTAAAAAATGCAAAGCATAATATACGTATTTCATCAATATCTGTATATTCACATATATGTGCACAAAGAGCTACATATGTATTGGGGCACTCAAAGAAATCATCTGACATAACTATAAAATGTAAGTAATTCAACAAGGAGATATATATTTAACTGCTTTTGATGGGTACTGTTTTTTCCATTCATGTAATGTAATGTGCTCTTACACTTTCAATAGAGTTATCATTTCCTATTGCCCCATACTGAATACAAGGTATTACCATGGTTTTCAAGGCATCATTTTGAGGAGGAATCTTTTTTACTTTTCTACTTGGCTTCTTTGTGATAACCTATGTTTAACCATTTGCGCAGTGGTAGTATGAATGCATATACTGAGTAAATGAATTAGAAGTAATTTTGTGTAGATCAGCGTGGTCCCACAAAGTATTTGTGGGGCAGACCTAAGCAGAGGATACTGAATTGTTGTTATATTGCAGGTAAGACAATTGCTATCTCTTGACCTCCTGCAGGAAGTCAATAATTATAATAAGTGGCAAACCAGTCAGGGATAATGAAGCCATGCCCCCCGTGCTGGCTGGAGATACCAGCATTCAAATAAGTTTAATAGTCGTTTGTGTGATTGTGGCCACTTAGTGATAGGTATTCCCGTGTCTTTTCTGATAATGCAGCATTTGCCTTTAATTCCCAGTCACATATTTTTACTACAGTTTGAAAGATACATTGTCTTTATGACAGTTCTTATCTTTTGCCAGTTGTGGAATGTTTAAAATTCTGAAGAAAGATATGGACTCTTCATAGTTTTTATTATAGACACTAACTTCCTACAGAGGGTAAAGAGCATATCAGTATCTTCTGCACATGTAAGCCCTATAAATACTATGTGAGGATCAAGCTGATAAACACAAAATTACTTATAAATAAATTTATATATTAAATTGTCACTGCACAAATGCTTAAAAAGAGTTTGTTTTAAAGTGGATTAGCAGGGCCAGGGATTTAGCTCAGTGGCGTAAGTGCTGCCTGACAAGCACAAGGTTGTGAGTTCAAACTCTGGTACAAAAAAAAAATTAGCAAAATGATTTAGGATATGTGTGCAAAAATTTGCACATATATGTTCATGGGATTTATGTATATGCATATATATTCATTTGAACTATTTAAGCCTATCCATCCACAGAGAAGTCAGGATCCCTTTAATCTAGTACTTTTATGCACATTTTCAAGATTGGACTGATGGCTCAGAATCTCTGAAATGCAATGTGATACTGTCAATATCATGTTGAATATTCTATTCCATCAAAGAATATATATTCCAGCAAGAGATCTTACTCAGAGATTAGAAAATGGGATTACTGAAGATTCCCTTGAGTCTTAGCACATGTTTAAGCTTTATGACTTAATAAGAAGTTGGAGCAGAAAGGTGTGTCTGCCCAGTGGCTGATCTCACCTGTGCTAGTTTGCAGGCTGTAGGCTCTGCCTTCCCTTCCTTTAGTCTTGTTTATAGCCCTCTCTTTTCCCCACTCTTCCTAAGCAAAGTGTTTCCAGCGTTCTGCACAAGTCCGTGTTCTCTCATCGTACCCTTATCCTTCCTATCTAATATCTAGTATCTATTGCAGACCAGATATCCAGCACAAAACAGCCCAGCCCAGCTGTCCAGTGAGGGCAGTCATTACCAAAATAGGATTTTGCAGTCATTGTCTCTCATTTTGTGTTTTCAGTGGAATGAAAAAGGTCTAACTTACTTCCTTCACCAGTTGTGCTGAATAGCTATCATTTGGCACAATTAATTATTTTTTTCTCTTTCTTGGCAGCATCTCCTGGAAAATCACCAACAATCTTCTGTCCAGCTGTGGGTCTCCTTCGGCCGGAAACCCATGCGAGCAGCCCAGTTTGTTACAAGACATCCTATAAATGTGAGTGAGGTCTGCTGGAGGTTGGAAAGAAATCCTACTGTCCCCGTCAGAGGTTGGAGGATGGGTGGGATGGGAGTTCTCTGTTGGAGTAAATATTGTAGGAAGGGTCCCAGAAGTCCCTTTCCAGAGAATGACCTAGAAAGGGCTGCTAGTGCTTTGGACACATTGGCCTGTTGTTGCCCATTTCATTGTTTGAAGTGCAGCTCACTAGCCACCTTAATTTGCTTTAAATGGACTAAGATTGGCAGAAGGGTGTTACAAAGTCCGTGGTCTCGCTTAACAGTTCTGAAGCAGTGGGAAATGTGTGCCCAAAGAGCTTCCTTATTGAACACCTACTGTATAGCTTGCAGGTAGCCAGACTCCCAAAGGGGCCAGATTGGGAGACACTTGCCTTTTAGAAATAAATTGGAAAGACCAAGAACAGAACAGAGGAATATACCAAAGTCGAGCCCTTGAACATGCAACATTATAACTCAGAGATTGATTGGAAAGGTCACCATAAGGAGGAGTGGTGGGGACGTAACTGTGGGGAGGAGGTCCCATCGCAGGCTTTGACATTAGCGATTATTTGGTGGAAAGTTAGTAGCTCAGAGGAGAATAGGATGGAGAACAATCTTTCCATTTCTTTCCTGCTTTCTGTAGGTTCTGCCTTCCTTAAGTCACCTTAGGGAAAAGAAACGGAAATGAAATGCATGTTAATCTATATTACATTTTGTACTAATGAAAAATCCCTCGAGTAAAAAAAGGAAGGCATTAATACCCAAAGAGAGGTTTATAGTTCATTTTTGCACTTCTGAGTCCAGTTCTCTTTTGTGCCCCATAAAGATCCTGGTCCAGCTGCAAAGCAGCCTCGGGTTCTCTGAATGGAAAATCATCAAAGCTTGTTTGTCAAAGTCAGGGACTTTTCTGTGGGCTTTGTACCCACTTATGTCACTGGGACATTTGGAAGTCATTACTTTAATATGTGTAGAAGAAGTCCGCAAGGCATAATCATTTTTTGACTTACGTATTTCTTGAATTTTGATTCCAAAGGAATATTACATTGCAGATGCCTCGGAGGACCAGGTCTTTGTGTGTGTCAGTCACAGTAACAATCGCACGAATTTATACATCTCAGAGGCAGAGGGGCTGAAGTTCTCTCTCTCCTTGGAGAATGTGCTGTATTACAGCCCAGGAGGGGCCGGCAGCGACACACTAGTGAGGTAAGGAGACTGTGGGACCCTCCTCTGCCTTTTTATCAATGTGCTCACTGGCCTCTTCTGGTTCAGTGCTTTCTGTGTTAGTTTGCCATCGTGACACAATTCCCTGGAAGGTCAATTTAAAGCAGGATGGGTTGGTTTTGGCTTATGGTTTCAGAGATTTCAGTTAGTCCACTGGTTCTGATGATTCTGTTCCTGTGGACCTGGAATGCGGCAGAACACCGTGGCAGAAGGGTGTGGTGAAGGGAAGCTGCTTACCTTATGGCACCTGGCCGTGCAGAGAGGAAGAGGCCTTTGAAGCTGTGTCCCCAGTGAACTATCTCCTCCAAGCAGGCCTTCCATCCTGCTATACACTCATCACTGCATTAAACCCTTACCATCTAGTCGCCTCTTAATGCCTCAGCTTTGAACAATGCTGCATTGAGAATCGAGCTCTCCTTACATGAGTCTTTGGGGGATCTATTTTTTTTTTTTTTTTTGTCGTTTTCCTTTTTATCGGTACCGGGGATGGAACTCACAACTGCCTGCTTGCAAGGCAGGTGCTTATGCTGCTGAGCTAAATTCCCAGCCCCTGGGGGATCATTTTTTGGCAAAACTGGGGATTCAACCCAGAGCAAAGCCAGTGCCATGAAATGCCCCAGAGCATGAAACTTCATATCTACACCATAGTTTCCCAATATCTGCTGCACATGTGGGCCAACATGGGTACTTTCAGAGCCATGATACCTGACTTACGCCCAAAGATTTCAGTTAAGTTGGTCTGAGGTGCAACCTGGATTTGAAGACTGTAAAAATCTCCCCAGGCATTCTGTGTGTGCAGCGAAGGCTGACAGCCTCTGTTCTCAATGACATTTAGGGTCACAGTTGCTCAGTTAACTGCTCCCTCGGGCTTGCTCCATTCACTTATCTGGTTTTTGTGGTCTGTGAGCCAGCAAGAAAGAGCACTTGGAAAATATCAAGCTAGAGAGCTGGTGTTTGTGGCCATGGGGCCCTGCCTCCAAACAACTCAGGTTAATTCTCATCATCTCTCCCTTTATAAAAGATAATTGCAAGATTGTGTTTTGTAAGAAAGGCCCCAGCATTGTGGATCCTTTATCTGTAAATCAAATGCATGGAGCAGTGTTATACTCTCAGCCAAGGGTGTTCTCTGGGCTGCGTACCTATCAAAGGGCTGAGTAGGAGTCAGAATTGGCAGGCAGGGGTAGATTTCTAAGATCCTTTGAGTGCTATATATCACTAATTGTCATTTGTCATCTGACAACTCAGTATGACTGTGGTAGGTTCATTTTCTGCTCTTGGAAAGGGCAGTCTGCATGAAGCCATGTGGTCTGGGGTGAGGGCTGGGCTGGTCTGCAGCTATGCTCACCAGGTCGGAGGACACAGGCCTGTTGCTCACACCCTTCCCTTGTGCTGGTTTATAAAGATAATTGCAAAGTTGTGTTTCTCATGCATTCTGTCTTCGATGCAGTCCACCACATGCTGCTGCCCTGTGTTCAGTGGGGTTCTAAGTTCAGCAACAAGGTTGTGTAGATGGCAGCAGCACATCAAAGTCCTTGCTTTGTGGAGCTTATGTTGTATGGGGGAAACAGAGCACAAACCAATATGTAATCCGCTGGGAAGGAAAATAAAGGTGGATAAGAGTATAGCAAATTGTTAGGGTCTTAGCTTATATAGGCAGCTCCAGGAAGGTGTATTTGAGCAGGAGCCTGAGTTAGGGAAAGGAGACACCATGGGAAGCACAGCCAGCCCAGTGACAGAGGGGTCATGCTGCGGTGGCCTGAGGAGTAGTTTGGAAGCCTGGCGCTTCTGAGCCCCGAAGGAGAGCAGAGAGGAGGAGGAGGAGTCAGCATCCTAGGACCTTTGCGGGCGTGAAAAGAAGTGACACTATTTTTAATAAGTGAGATAGATAGCATCTGACTTACCCTCCTGGTTTTTTCCTATTTAAAAAAAGTTATAAATTGTATTACATAAAGAAGAAGTACAGAAAACATCAATGGATGTAAGAGTTAGAAGTAACTTTGAGTGAACACCTGTCTCATAGTTTCATAGATGTTACTGTCAGTGCCCCACAGAAAACTGACTAAAGTAGGGGCCAGGGTAAAAGGGGAAGATTTGATCAGTGGAGGTGACCAAAGTGTTTTGATTCTAAATATATTTTAAAAGTAGAGCCAATGATCTGCTGATGAATGGGACAATGTATGGGATAAGGCACCCAAGGGACCACCATCGAGTGGTGAATTAGGAGGCAGGGTGAGAAACATGTCCAGGGGAGGAATCATGAATTCACTTTTAGACTTATTTAGATGTTAGATTTACCTGTCTGCAATAGTGTGTTCCCATTGCCTGTTTCTTCTCCTTTGGAGATACTGCTGTATTTATCCATTTTTTTTTCCCTCCTAATATAGACTCGTGGGTTATTTTTATTTAATGTGTCATGAGACATTCCTGTCATGGTTCATTTTGATATTCTGCTTGTTGTGGTTTGGCTTGGTTGGCTTTCCTCAGGTTGGTTCCTGTGTCTTTTTATTTTTTATTAAAAAAATAACGTATCCATGTGGCATTCATATAACATCAGATTAAGCACTTGAAAGTGAACGATTCAGTAGCATTTAGTGCTTTCGCACAGTTGTGCAAAGCCCAACTGTCCTAGTCACTTTCTGATTGCTTGGACCCAGCTCCACTGGAGGAGCAGAGGTTTATTCTGGCTCAGAGTTCAGCGGTATCCATCCATGTTTGGCAGGCTTACATGCAGAAACGGCACAGCAGAAGGGTCTGAGTGTAGGTTAACCGCGCATGTCACAGCAGCCAGGAAGCAGAGAGCAATGGAGGAGCTGGGGAAGGAGATGCACCCTCTGGTCAAGTGTCCAGTGCCTTCCTATGCTGACCAGGCCCCGCCTCTCAATAGCAAGCCCGCTGCTACGTTGCCCCGATGATTCAGTCACCTTCCAAAGGCTCTTCCCCTGAACCCATGAGGCTCATGGAGGGACATCTAAATATAAACCATAACAACTGCCTTTATCTAATTTGACAATATTTACATTTCTTCTAAAGAATATCCCATACCCATGTAATAGTTTTTTTTCCCACCATCCCCTTCTCCTACCCCGCAGGCAGCTATCAGTTTAATTTCTTTTATTATTCTTTTTGTTTGTTTTTTCCAAGACAGTGTCTCACTTTGTAGTTCAGGCTTACCCTGAACTCACAGTGATCCTCCTGCCTCAGCCTCCTATGTGCTGGGATGACAGGTGTGGACCACCACACCTGGCTTGTCGTCAGTTTTGTTTTCGTCTTGTAAATTTTCCTTTTTGGCTATTTCATATATATGGACTTGTATAATAATATGCAAGTTTCTGTGTCTGGCTGCTTTCATTCAGCATAATATTTTTGAGACTCATACGCAGGTAGCAGGTATCAGCACCTCATGCTTTTTCTAAGTGAGTGTTATTATCTTTACATTTTATAATTAAAATTCATATTCATTATCCTTTGGATGTTTCACTGACTCTTTTTTTCCTACTGTCTAGAGCCTCTGGCTATGGAGTAGATAAGCCACTGCCAACATTTTCTTCATCTTCTTCATTTGCAGGATACTTAGATGAGTATCTCACGGTAGGGCAGTGGAGGAGCCAGAAGCTGCAGCCAGGGGCTCCCAGGAAGTAGTGACCTCAGTTACGTGACCACAGGACCACTTCACACATACACACAGCTTGGTATGCAGTGAAGTTTCCTCCCACTCTGCTTGAGGCTGCAGTCCAGTTAAGAGATTGAAAATAGATTCTTGTAAAAAGACCAAGATCCTGCATAGCTTCCAGACTTTTTCTCCGATTTTATCTCAGACAATAAGGGTAGGTTGTGCTTCATGGAGTGATTTACATCTCAGTCTCAGCCAGATGAAGGGGGATAAGGGTGAATTTGATGATGCGAACAGCCTCAGTTAAACCTTCTGTGGTCTTTGAAATGAGTTAGAGGAACTGGTTCTAATTTCCTTAGAGAAATGGAGAAAGAACTCTTAATCAGAGATTACTCAGGAATTCATGAGATGTACTTTAGGAATCTCATGGAATGTTGAAGCTCTTTGGAGGAACTGATGTGCTGAGGACATGCCATGCCCCCAGGGGCATCCTTAGGAGGAACACTGGCTCGGTGGGTGGGAATGGCTGCCAGTGGCTAGATTTGCATTCAGTATTACTAAAGAGGATTTGGGGAGCTGCCTGGCAAGTTTTGGCCCAGGGCATTCTGGGAGAAAGAGAAGTGCTCTGATGAGGATAAGACAAAAGAAAATAGACTCTTAAAGTATACTGAGAGTGAGGGAGCCAAGGGAGAAAGTGAAAGGATATGTGAAGGGTAAATTAGGGGGATTTTGAGGTACAAGAAGACAACCTCTGGCTTAGAGGTAAGAGCTGAACTCCAGGAGTATGAGCAGCTGAAAGAAATAGGGTTTATCCTATCACGAGCAACTTAGACCTCCCAAATGTGCCAAAGAAGCCAGTGCAGCTGAGGATGGCAAATTTCATGACAACAAGAAACAAAACCAGGAATGCTAAGGTCAGTAGACAGCAAGCAGGTGAGAGACCCTCAGATGATTCCTAAGGCAGCACCTAAAAAATAACTAAGAGGGACCTGAGGGATCAGATACCAGAGAATTTGGACTCAACTCTGGCATTTTATTTAGGATTTTTCTCTGTTATTCTGAAGTGGCTTTGTTGGCGCTGCTGCTTATTTCCTGTTTCCTGCCTCAGAGGCTGTTGTGTGTGTCTCTGGGTCTGAGGTGACACAGAGCAATCATCCACCTCTGGAGATTTGTATGGCATCTGATGGAAAAAAGCAATTCTCTGCTTCATTGTGTAGCCCGGTGGCTCAGAACCCCTGAGATAAAGGGGAGAGTTCCAGTTTTAAGAGCCATGTGCAAACCCTGGTTACTAGTTCCCAGAAATTGGTTATATTTGTAACGTTTGCACTGTTTTAATGCAAACCCTTTCTCAGGGAAAGCACAATATGCTGGCCTAGCTACAGCTACAAGGTTCTTATTCTCTGCTCCTCTGTACAACCTCAGGCTTTCTTGCTCTGGCCTTGGTCTATGGATTGCTTCTTTGGGAAGCAATCTTCATGTTGCTTGGCTTCTTGACAGAAAACCCTGTGGGCATCTGTGTGATCAGGGTGTTTGATAATTAGGTTGTAAGCACTTGTGCAATAACTGTGTAATCCTGCACTCTATTTTTCTACGGATTGAGTTGAATTTTAAGCCTCAGCATTGTTTGTGTATTGTGAGTCCAGTGTAATATTTCCTTTTGTCAAGGTGCCCTGGAAGCTTTGGGTCAGTTTCCATGGTGAAGAAATAGTTGTGCCTCTTTGTCAACTTTTGCATGGTATGTTCATTCTTCTAAACCCCTTGTTAGGAGTTGTTGATCAGATAAGCATCTTGGCTTTCAAAATTTAAACAAAGTCACTCTTTTTTTAAAGAGCAGATTATTTATTCATAAAAAGGATTTATTATAAATAGGACAGAGTGTGCTACATGCTACCACATGGGTGAACCTTGAAGAGATTGTTAAGTGAAAATAACCAAATACGAAAGACAACATATTACATGATTCCGCTTACATACAGCAGCCAAACTGAGCAAATCCATAGCAGTAGAAAGCAGATCAGTGTCTGCTCAGACCTGGGAAGGGAAGGACAAATGGATAAGTGGTAAGAATGTTCTGGAACTAGATGGTGATGATGGTTTACAAAATTGCAAATGTATTCAATGCCACTGAACTTTATACTTTAAAAGGGTTAAATTTTGTTATGTATGATTTTTTTTAAAAAGCCTAGTGAATTATCATTTTGAGGTTTACATCTATTTATTTTCTCATACTGCAGGTATTTTGCAAACGAGCCATTTGCTGACTTCCATCGCGTGGAAGGGTTACAAGGAGTCTACATTGCTACTCTAATTAATGGTTCTATGAATGAGGAGAACATGAGATCTGTCATCACCTTTGACAAAGGGGGAACTTGGGAATTTATTCAAGCTCCAGCCTTCACAGAATACGGAGAGAAAATCAATTGTGAGGTATAGATGCTTTAATCTTGTTTGGCTTTCTGATGCAAGGAAAAGAGCTTTGCTCTGTGGTGGTTTCCTATATTTAATGTTTACCAGAAACATGCAAGATCTCATAGTCTTCTGTTAAGATCACGTGAAACAAGTGTTTATGTAAATTTCCACCTTTTCTCACCCAGACTCTGCACCGAACACCTAATACCATTGTGTATAGTAGTGAACTCACAGGGTAGCAATGGGATATTTAAAATACATGGGTTTTTTCAGGTGCTACTGGGGATTGAAGTCAGGACCTTACACATGCTGAGCATACATTTTACCACTAAGTTATGCTCACAGCTCCACATTTTAAAGTTTTGAGTGAACTACCACGATACTAGACATCTATTAGGTCATGTGAATTATCTAAGTAACTAGCTTGAAATAGTTCACAGTTTCAACATCAGGTCATGTTGTATTTCTTTTGAAGACATTGTGTCTTTGGGTAGCTGAATTTTCAGAAGTTGCTGTGATGGGGAAAAAAAAGGTGAAACTGTCGGGGTGGAATAGGAAATGAGGGTGATAGTATCCTATACGATTTCAAAGTTACCTTCCATTAGCAGGTAATTGTGATGATTCAAAAGTCTAGTTAACATATGCTAAGTTAATTAGGTCCTATATACTTGGTAAGTTGTTTGGATATAGCTATGTAAAAAACACATATTGTCATTTTTTTCTGCTAGAAAGCATTATTGGAGCACCAATTGTGTTGGGAATCTCTTGTATTGGTTATTATTTCTATGGAACTAATTTTAAAATTCTTTTCTGAATGTTACTCAGGCTTATGATTTTCTTGCCTATAGATCTATCCGAAATGCTAAGAATATCAGAATGTATTATTGGTACTTTTAAGTGCTCCCATTGTGACTTTGGCTTTGTGCGACAACCTATACTCTGTCCCTATTTTGTGTAAGAAATCTAGGGTATGAGCAGAAGAAACTCAGAAAAAATAAGCAGTGCTTGTTTTGCACAAAACTGTAAACATTTTAGGAACTAACCTATAACATTTAGTTACAGTTACCTGGTTTTCAGCATTTTTGAATTTATCAATGGTGGCAACCTTTCTGTGTTCTTCATCTGGGCCATTTGAGAAAATTCTTTTGGAGACTCTCGCCCTAAACATTCCTTGCCTCTTGACTTTTTTTCACCTTTTGCTAACAGGTTTTGATTTACCACGTTGATTCTAATTTTGGAAGTCACCAATCTAAAGAAAGATATACCTAAATGAACACCTTAGTACTTACCCTGCTTCCCAGTAGTGTCTTATGACCTCAGCAGTTTAGCTTGATCCTGGTGTGGATGGGACTGGGGTGTTTTTGAGCATGCCATAGGAGTCAGAGTTTGGTTAAATACAATTAATCACACTATTCAGTTTTTTATTTCCTGGATCGATCAGTTTATGACCTGTAGTATAGCTAATCAGCTTTTACTTTCTACTTCGGAGATTAGGTGGTGTGTTTGGTTTCTATCAGTGGGACAAACTACCGAAGAAAGATCAGTTTTTAAGGGGTAGGAATTTATTTTGGCTCATGCTTTCGGAGGTTTCAGTCCATAGCTACTTGGCCCCACTTTGGGCCTGGGATAAAGCTGAGTACCAGGGCTGAAGGGTACCTGGGTGGGGCACGGCTGCTCATACCATGACAGCTGGGAAGCAGAGAAAACAGAGATGGGGTGGGGTGCCAGGGTGCCCTTCAAGGGCATGCACCAATGGTATAACTTGTTTCAACTGGATCCTACTTTTTAATAGTGCCACGGGCTGTCAACCAAGCTTTTATCACATGGCCTTTGGGGAACAGTTCAGATACACACCATAACAGACAGTGAAAAGAGTAGAGAGGGATGGCTAAAATCTGACTGAAGACCCAGAAACACCATCATGAATAGACCTCTTTGTGGTCAAAGATGCATGACTCAAAAGTAGGGGGCTGGGGCAAGTAAATATTTCTTTGCCATCTGGTGTAGTTTGCTCCAGTTTTCATTAGCCAAACTAGGAAGCTATCAAGATAGATATTTGTTAGAGATACTTTTGTGAAAAAAATAAGTACATCCAACCTTGTCATGGCTTTTATCTGTGCCATAAACACATGCAGAGTGGCTCTGTGAGGATGCTGGATGAACCTTAATGAACTTGAACAATCTCTTTCTGGTCAAAAGCATCAGGCACTTGTATCAAAAGTGCTATTCTGGCGATTTGCAGAGAATATTAAACTCTAGACATATAATTGGTGGAGGTCAGTTTAAATAACTTGGACCCTTGCTCCTTTCTACCGCACTTTTGTGCACGATGTAGAACATGCCTTTAAACATTTAATGTGAACCCTTTGGTGTTCATTACTCATATGTTGTACATCTGGGAGCTTCTCAATGAGACTTTATGATTTCTGATTCTTGCTTTTTCTTCTGACAGAATTGCTGGGGTTATATTGGAAACACATAGCCACTGACTTAGAAAGTACATACCATTGCGTCATTTCATTTCTCTTTAGCTTTGAGTCACTTGAGAGGATCTCTGGATGATAAGGGGTGAGGGACCCCTTTTCTATCTGGTTGAGCTGACACTGATTTGTAATTGTTATTCCTCAGAGTCTCAGGAGTGGTAAAGTTATTTTTCCTTTTTTCCTAAATGATAGACACTTATGGGGCTCAGACAATCCACTCCATCTCGGGGGTAGAGTGTAGAGACAGCTAGATTGTGAGTCTGATTTTCTCTGGGCTGGGGGCCTCCTTGCTCTGGGTCTAACTATGGGGTCCTTGCATAGGCTGCTGGATTTGGGGAAGGCCTATGCATTGGGTTGCGTGCTGACACTGTTTTCTGGCACTTTCTTTCTGTAGCTTTCCCAGGGCTGTTCCCTGCATCTGGCCCAGCGTCTCAGTCAGCTGCTCAACCTCCAGCTCCGGAGAATGCCCATCCTGTCCAAGGAGTCAGCCCCTGGGCTCATCATTGCCACGGGTAAGTGCGCTCTGTCTTTGCCTCAGGGGCTTCGCCAGTTTCCTCCGGAGCAGCTGGTTACAGCACGATCGCTCACATTTCCGGCAGCGACTGTTCTCTGTGGCTTGAGGACATTCTTGGTTGCCAGATGCTACTCAGAACTGCTGGTTGGACAAGTGATTCTGTGACACAGTCTCAATATGAAAAATAATCCTTCCTCTTTCATTTTAGGCTCTGTGGGAAAAAATCTGGCAAGCAAGACCAATGTGTACATCTCTAGCAGCGCGGGAGCCAGGTGGCGAGAGGTCAGCCCCCTCCTCCCGCCCTGTGATTCTGTCTGTGAGAATATGGATCGTGATTCAAAGTTTCAGACACACCCTGGTCCCTGGTGGGGACCTGCAGTGCTCAGGAGGGCTGTAATGTAATGAGAGGGACCCAAGCCAGATGTGAAAGCCAGCTGCCCTGATTCGTATTTATACCTTAAAATGTGGATGTGATTTTGCCAAAATATTGCTTTAAATAAAACCAGACCTTTTCACTTTTAAAAAAAATAACTGTGAATTTGACCAGATTTTCATGTGTATGTTCCATGAAGGCAAAGACACTGATTGTTTTGCTGACATCTGTAACCCTGGGGTCTACCAGTACTTGGCCTAGAGCGAATGCTGCATAAATGTTTGGGGAGTATTGGGGAGTTGTAGAGATATTGGGTCTAAAACTGGTTATTTTGCCTGTGTGTCTGTGTGATGTTGACGCTTGAGTCCCACTGCAGGGACCTCTGTCATTTCATTCTGTGCTGTGGAAGCACACTGCTTCTACTGTAAGGCTCCATAACTAGTTTTAATCCTTGAGAACCAGTTGTGCTGATTTGAAGGTACCATTAGTTCTCTAGCCAGTGTTCTGCACTGGACATTGGAGAGTTCCCAGACTTGGAGAGCTGTTTCTCAGCAGCCTGTCTTGATTTATGTGGCTGAGGGAGGTATATCTGTTTTCATAGCAGTGACCCTAAGAATGCTGGAGACCCTCTGCGTAAAGCTCAGGAGGTCCCTGGGCAGGAAGTTACTGGGCAGAATTTCAGAAGTGGTGTGGAGTTCTAGAAGAGCCACCAGACGTGGTCCTGGTCCTCATGGTGCTTTGTATTGAGGATGTAATGTGCACATTTTTGTATTTAAGTCTGTGCTTTATAAAGCAGTCAAAAATCCTGAGCATTTGTGTGGTTCTTTCCAGCTACAGAGACTCATATATCTTATCTCGTGAGTGTCAGGGCTTACATCTCTCCAAATGAGCAGAGTGAGACCCCTGCTGTGTGTGCATGCATGCGTGCATAGGTGTGTGTATGTGTGTGTGTATTACACACAGCATGGTAGAACACGTAGCATATTCAGGTGAAGGAGACTGATAAGGCAAGAAAAGCCAAAAAGTCTGAGCAGTTTGGAATTCTCTGGTCTCTTTTGTCCTTCTCTGGAGACCAATAAAGCAGCTGCTTTTCTGGTCTGCAGAGCTGCACTTTCTTTTGGAGTGGGGGTAGTGGTTCTCGTCTCTGCACATCAGGCTGTGGTTTGTTTCTACCTTCTGCTGGTGGTGTAATCTGGGATTTAAACATCTGAAAGTGATTTCCTCCTGGGTAGAAAGTCGTGTCCTGTTCTCCTCCAGCGAAGTGTCGACTGGCTGTTGCTGGCGCAGCCGTCGGTGCCCCCCACCCTCAGCATCCTCAGAACCTGCCTGGCAGCAGCCGTGCACAGGGACCCTATCTGGGGAGCCAGCCGGGGAAGGCAAGGGGTTGAGACTGTTTGTGAAGGTGCGTCTGAGTCCTTGCAGGCGCAGCTCGGGCATGGCACAGGCTGGGAGGCAGAGGAAAGGAAGTCAGACCTCTGGGCGGAAGGCCACTGTAACACTGATGACCAGCTGCTCGTTCTCCTGGCATTCTATTTTGCATGATACTGAAATAGTTTCCCCAGCTTTCTTAGGCTGTTTTTATGTCTTTTGCCCTCTCTTTATTTTGTGCTTGTCTTTGTATTTTAAATGTTTTCTTTGTAGGCAACATACAGTAGCGTCTTGCTTTTTCATTCATTCTGTTAAGCTCTGCTTTTTAACAGAAGTTAGACTTACAAAATTTAATACAATTATTGTTATGATTGAATTTCACCCCAGAATTTCACTACTTCCTTTTAAAAAAAATCTCTACTGGTTTGTCGTTTCTCTGCCCTTCTTTCTGTCTCTTTCTGTTTTGATAATTTTATTTAGATATGTTTTTCTATTTTAATAATTTTATTTCTCTATGTTTTTTCACTGGTTGCTCTAAAGATAAAAATATGCATTATCTTTTGTAGTTTTCTTGAGTTAATATTATTCTTAATGTAAAATTTAGAGACTTTGCAACAATAGAAGTCCTTTATGATTTCCTTTATCTTATGAAACATGTTTATAAAAGCTATTTTAAAATTCCAATATATGGATCATTTTGGGATTGACTCTTGTTGATTTTGTTTTCCCTGGAGAATTAGCCTGTTCTTTGGATGTGTATATATGTTGAGAAATTTGAGTTTGTATTTGAGTTAAGCATTGTAAAATGCCAAAAATTAAATCTTGTGCAAAAGGTTTATATTTTTGTTTTAGTGTGCAATCAGCTTGTTTAGGTTATGACCATAAGTTCTGTCTTGCTCTCTGTAGCTGGTAGCTCAAATGTCAGTTTGCTCTGCCAGGCCTTTGCTGTCCTAGGTTGGATCTGTTTCCCAGAGGAATACTTTAGGGGTTAGGTTGAGCCTTATGTAAGTTCATAACAGAATTAGGAGATTTACATTTTTTTTGACACCCTGCTCTTTGGGGTTCCTCTCATAATTTCTTCAGCCCACAGCGATTCTTTTCCTGGCTGCTTTGGTAGAAAGTTTCTCTTGAAGTCTGAGTTCTCTGGCTCACACTGAGGTATTTAGTGGCTGGGGTTTTCCTGCTGGGCAGTGCAGCGCCAGGAACACACACTATGGGCGGATGCTGCAGGCTTTCAATCCCCCCACAAGCTGCCTGCATCGGTTGTCTGGAGGTGGCCCTGCCCTGCCCTGCCCTTCTCTCTCTTTTCCCTTCTTTTCATTTCTCTCTGTCTCCCTCTGTCTGTCTTTGTTTCTGTATTTTGTCCAAATTGGTGATGGGCTACAGTGGACTGTGATATCAGAGTAGAAGTGGAACTCTACAGGGTTACTTTTTTTTTTTTTTTTTCTGTGCTAGGCATGGAACCGAGGGCCTCATATAAGTACCCTACTAATGAACTCCACCCCCAAACTTCATCTGTTTAATTTTTAATCACTGTTTGGCAAGAGTCAGAGATTGCGTTTGAGTCCCACCTTTACTGTTTATATTCTGTCTTATTTCTTTATTTGGGAAGTAATTGGGATATGAGAACTTCTCTGCCTGTTCTTAGGGTTGTGTGAAGCAGTGAAATAATGGATGTCTTCATTAAACTGAAAAATTGTATCTGAGTGGTTGACACTGCTGCTGTGGGTGTGTGTGTATGTAGACTAGTGGGTCTGTGTGTACCTGCACATGCGCATGCATACAGTGGGTGCACAGCTTTTGCACAGTTACCTGCCCAGCAGTGACATCATGGCTCCTTTCCTCTGCAGGCACTTCCTGGACCTCACTACTATACATGGGGAGACCATGGCGGCATCATCATGGCCATTGCCCAGGGCATGGAAACCAATGAGCTGAAGTAAGTGTGTCTGATTAAACCTTTTCTTTTAATATCAAACTGTTCTTCCAGAGATTCATGTCTGTGGTGATAGGCGACCATCTCTCTCTGCAGCTTTAGGTAGTTGACTGCACAATTTGTGACCTATGGAAATTACTTGAACTTTTCTTATTTAGAAAATATGCACAATAACCTGACCCCTACTTCTTTTTTTTTTTTAATCTCAAAAGGGTATTGTGAGACATAAGTGAAATAATTTTATTGCTCTGAAACAGCACAACTCTGTATAAATATAAAAATTAAAAATTAACAGAAACTCCTTAATTTGTCTTCCCTTGATTTGTATAAGTGTTTGGATTTACTCATAGAATAAAACAAACAACAATAAAAATGATAGAGAAATAATAATTACAGAATGCATATAACCTGATAGCCAGTCAGCTTTTGCTGTGCTATACTTGATGCTGGGGTTCTCAGATAGAGATTGAAGGGAGTTTGAAATCAGCTGCTTCATTTTACAGATGAGGCAACCGAAGCTCAACAAGGTAAAGTGACTTCCCCAAGGTCTTCCCACTTGTTAGTGACATGGGATTATTAACACCTAAGTGTTTAGTTTATGTCTTATATTCTTTGCAATACATTGTGCTGAAAAATCAAAGTGTGGAGAGTTTGTAATTTGTATTCCCTTAGGTCCTGATTTTATCAGAACCTGTTCTTTGATTACTTTCTTGGAGTTACTGAGCAGTGGATGTTTCTCAGGGCAGGGTGGCCTGCATTTCTCTGCATTTCTGAGCTGAGCCTGTTAGATGGATTCCTGACAAGATGGAGAGGGCTTCTGTAACCATCTCATGTAGAACAAAGTGGAACTTTTTCTTTTTCTTTACTGCTTTTAGAAATCAAGGCCAGCAGCAAGGGAAAGGTGGGCAGTTTGAAAAAGAGACCTTAGCAGCTGGTTTCCCCTTGTGGTTAGTTTGACATGTGCAGAGCAGCCCAGCTTCCAGAAAGCTGAGGGAAACAAAACTGGCATTTGGTTTCCCACCTGACTGTTCTCTTCTGTGTGAACTGGTCAGTTGCTTCTGCAGAGCCAAAAGTCAGAGGACTCAACACTGTCGCACACAGCACCCTCAATCTGTGTTTGGATTGGCGTTGGCTCAGATGATTATCGTCACAGAGTGACAATCACAAAGAGTGGTGCTTATCGCATACATGCTGGCATGTGTCTCTGTTAACTTAGCTCACATCTCACACATTTAGCCAGCATTATTTGTAGAGGGTACCGTGTATCTAAAGAGCCCAGGATGCTGTCCCCCTGCCTTTCAGCGTTCCATTCCACTCTCGGTTGTAAAACAGGCAAGGAAACAATTGTGTTTAGTACACTGCTCTGTGTAGAAGTCATGCAGGGACAGTTTGGCTTCCTAAGAATACATTTCATTCTTTGTATGACTTTCGCAGCTCAGCGTCAATTCTCAATTTTCCTTGTTTAACTTCGCCACAGATTACATTTGCATTCCAAGCTGGCTCCTCCAAAGGAGTTCTTGTGATTCTGGTCCTCTTACACCATCTGTCGGTGCATATGGGCTCTGGGAACGCAGCGTCATTCTACACTAGCTGGAGCAAAACAGGACCAGGAAAATAAATCTGCTGCCAGGAAATCATAATGCCCTCCCCAGACATTTCATAATGACTTTGGGGCTGTAGACTTGGAGATCATGGACATGGTAGCGTCCCTGTATTTGAATGGGTCATTTGGAGGTATAATGTATGATTCAAATAAAGCATTTACAAATATGGCAGTATAAACAGGCCTCCTTTGATAGGCTCATATGTGTCCCAAATATCCCCCTGAGCTTGGCCCAAATCTGCAGAGCCACCTGGCATTTTCTCAGTGTGTTGCTCACAGACATGTTTTACTTCTCCTCCTGCTGCTCTGAAAAGCAGGAGATAAGTTAGTTCATATTCTCAGACCACAGTGGTGGTTTACTGTGATGCCTCACCACCCATGAGGCTGCTTCTGACAAGCAGGATTTGGGCTCTGGTCTGGCACTTCAGGCTCATCCTGCCTGTCCTCTCCAACCATAATGGTCTCTGTCCTTTCAGCCTTGTGGCGTTTATTGGCTGTCCCATTAATCAGTCATTGATGATAGTTTGATTCCTCATTAAAGCTACCTTCTCATTATACTCCTGAATTCTTCAACTCATTAGAATGGCTTTTGCAGAGAAGAATTTCTGTTGTCTACAGGATTCGCAGGCACTTAGCAAATGTTTGATTGATCAATAAATAGGTCATGCATATTTAGTGTTCTAAGATTGCTTTTCTTCTTCTTGTCTTTTTTTTTTTTTTTTTCATCATTTATAAACCTGGAAGGGATCTGGTTGTGGTGTCATTTGCACAACCCCAAGGGGGACCATTGCTGTTGTGTTTGGTGTAAATGCCAGCCCTGAGCACAGTGAGTGCTCCTTGGATGTGAGCAATCTAGTGGTGCCCAGGAGCACTTGAGACATCATCCATTCTACCTTTAGATCACAGGGAAATAATGTGATTTGTCAGGCATTAGTGCCCATGCTGGAACATGAGCGCGTGAGGAGTCATTTCAGGTCAATTATACAAACATTTGTTAAACATCAACAGTGAACCAGATGTTGTGCTGGACACCAAGGTGAGCAAGGCATGGTTTAGGAGCTGTCTATGCCCACCGCAACTTGGAGATGTTTTCTAGTCAGTTAGAGCCAGAGGCTTGGGGGAGGGGCTTGTTTTGATGGGTAACTCTCTGACCTGAACCTATTTTTAGGGAGGAAAGCTGAGTAGAAGAGTGTCACTCATTCCCGTAAGAGGTATCGGGTCAGCAGGAAGAATGTTGCTCACAGTAAGAGTTGGTTTATTTTTATTTTTATTTTTGGTGGGTGTTCATTTAAATTATTCATTTATTTCTCTCTCTGGTTAGCACAGATAACCGAATCCGCTGTCATTTGTTTCAGCTTCTGTCTTAATTCTCCACTGAGGTTGTTACCTTTTTGATTGTTAATTGGAATTGAGACTAAGCAGTGGGAGTATTTGTTTTGCAGTTGTGTCTACAGGTCTGAAACGGGAACCTCTGCTGTGGATTCACTTACGCATCTATTCAGCACATGGTTAGCAGGCATGCGCCCAGGAGCTGCGTGGGAGCAATTTCATGTATAATCAGCATCCTTTAGAGAAGAGGCTGTTGTGTTTTTGTGCCCTGAATGAAAAAGATCCAAACACAAGTTTGTCAGCTCGATCATGAGGGATGGGATCAATTTCTGTTTCTTCTTGGCAGTTTTCCTGACAGCAAGATGATATTATGGATAGTTACTAATATTTTGGATTTGCCTGAAGGCATCTTTTCTCTAGGGAGATTTCCAGTTTCCTAGGGATTCCCTGTGGGAATCCTGAAAAGCCCCTCACAGACTACATGCACTAGGGCAGCTGTCTTTTCTGGATCTGAGTTCTGGAAGTGGCCCTGCAGATCCAGAATGTGGAAGGTCACAGCTAACCTCTTCTTTCGATCCAGCATCTCAGGCCACATGGCAGTAATACAGTAGGGTCACAGAGTGAGCTGCGCCTGTTTCATTCTGACCCTATGGGTTTCTTTTGCCCCTAGACATGGATAGGAACTGAGGTCCTTATCTCTTTTTAACCTCAGTTTAAGAAGTTGTGAATCACAGTGTAACAGAAAACTCTCACAGGATCAGGCCATTTAAATGTATAAGAGTGTAAGGCTGAACTGAACACAGGGTATGGTGGGAGCCCCAATACGTTAATGACTTTCCTGTTACTGGGAGGAGAGATTTATTCTGGGTCATGGTTTCAGAGGTTTAGTTCATGGTTGGTTGGTTCCACAGCAGAAGCAGCATGACAGAAGGGACCTGGTGGAGGAAGGCTGCTTAACTCAAGAGAGAGAAGGGAGGAGCTAGGGACAGGAATATACCCTTCCAGGTCGTGTCTCCAGTGACCTGCCTCCTCTGATCAGGCTGAACCTCCTAACAAGCCCCTGAGGAGTATAGAACCCCATAACCCAAGTACTTTCCAGAAGTCCCGCCTCTAAACACATGAACCTTTTGGGAGACATGTTAGATCAAAGCCTTAACAGCCAGTGCAGACCAGGTGGTGCTGCCTAGGAGACAGGGAAGGATTCTCTGAAGAGCTGAGCTGAGATTTGAGGATAGAAAGCAAGGTCCAGTGCCATTTCAGGATCAGAGGTAACTTGAGATTAGGGGTGGGAGCATAAATCATTGTAGCACAATTTTGTTTAGTAGGATGCAAATTGTGAGTTGAACAGTGAGAAATGAGGCTGAAGGTAGGTATATAGGTAAAGGCTAGGCGCTGGGGCCTTCACTGTACTGTGTGTAGAGATTAAACTGTGCTTTTGAGATAATAAGGTCCTTAGAGAATATGAAATGGGGAATGATGAGTCCACATTTGCATTGTAAGAAGTCAGCTCTGGAAGAATGCAGAGGATGGATTTAAGAAAGGAAGCCTGGAAACGGGAGCTGGCGCTGGGGTAGATTTGAGGAATATCTGTCCAGGACACACTTTCTCACTGGCCTGGGGCAGCAGGAATGGGAACAGTACCACTCACACCAAAACAGGGAAGGGAGGAGGCGTGGTGGGCCATGTCCTGAAGGTGGCTTTGGGCAGGTTGGATCACAGTGGCCACCATATGTTCAGGGGAGATGTCCAGGATGACAGTGACCTGGATATGTGATTTATCTGGTTCAGCCTCCTGCCACCTGTGATAAGAGGATGATCTTAGTCTTGCTTGAACAATTTTAGTAATGGGGGATTTCAGATCAAAAGATGTTTCCGTTTTGCTTTGAAACAGTTCATTTTCTAAAAAAGGGAACAAAACCCAAGCAAAATAAAACAGAACAAACCAATCAAAGCAAACCAGTGGAAGTGACATAGGATTTCAAAACACTATGAAATCAACAATGGTTACCGTTAATGCCTCTTGTTTTCAAAATAGCTGTAGATATCTTCAGCATTAGTAAAAATCAAACAAAACAGAACAGAACTAATAAAAGTTAAACAATGAATGCAGTAAAGGAATTCAAAGCAAGACAATAGTAAATCCAAAATGGCTACCATAATATATCTTGCTATCTTTGAAATAGTTGCCCATGCCATCAGATATAACTAAATCATGCCTCACACCTTTGCCAATGTGGTAGGTATCTTTCACATTGCTGTCCAGTTCCCTGGCAGATGTGTTGAGCTCTGTGAGAAGAGGAAGTCTTATTTTGGAATCAAACCATGTATCAGCTCCCTTAGCATTTGTTCTATTAGCAGTTAATGAATGAATATTACCTACCAGTGTGGTCTGCAAAGATCTCCTTAAAAAGACAATGTTCTGATTATCCTGTTCTTCAAAGCAAGAATTAACCAGGAGAAAAGAAAGTGGGATTAGTTTGGGGTGACTTGTGTACGAGACCTTTTGTGTTCCCAGCATTGACTCCCTTTTATTCCTGAGAGCTCTCAAATTGCCTGCTTCAGTCGATTCTCAAAGCCACCTTTTCTCTAGGGAAATAAAACCAATTTTCTTCCTCTAGACTTTGAAATCTTTATTCTTCAGGGCTATCCCAGTGGTGAACTTTGAGCCAGGCAGGATGGTGTGGTCCTGTAATCTCAGGACCTTGAGGGTGCCGAGGCAGGAAGATTACAAGTTTGATCCCAGCCTGGTCCATTTAGCAACACAGTGTCACAAAACAAAACTAAACACAACACAACAAAACATGGCTGGAGATGTAGCTTAATAGGAAGGCCCTGCAGAGTCCCCCACCGGAGGACTCTGCAATCATTCCATCTTTATGTTTTTCTGTTCTCTAAAATATTCTTTGTACTCATTTTCCTCTATCCCTTGCCTTCCTCTTTATCTTGTGCTTGTCCCATTTGAAGATATTCTCTTTGTCCCGAGGATAAAGTCAAATAGAAATTTTTCTTTTTGCATCATTATTTAGACCGTTGACCATCGGACCAATGGTTCTCTTTTCTGATCCTCTACAGGACCTTTTAGTTCACCAGCTCACCATTCCACTGACCACCGACCTACCAGTTATTTTAGTGATTTGAAACATAATCCTTGGGTCTTTTTGACCCTGAGTTATCTGGCTACTCTTCTAGCAGATTCCTAGGTATAAAAATTGCAGCTAGAATGAACTTACAGGTGGTTGCTGCTCTTCAATTTTTTGCCCTTGAGTATGACTTCTTATCTTGAACATGTCCTTTATAAATCTGAGGTTCTCAATGATCTTTCTGTGTGGCCACGTGATACTGTTTTAAGTTAGGTGCCTACCATGGCTATCACCTTTTAAAGTCTCTGTGGCTGTTTTATTATTTTGTACGATTATTATCTGACCTTCTATTCTCTTGAGAGTTTTTGGCCATGGGGTTTTTGTCTGTCTCTTTAACTAAATAATTTCAATTCTCTATTGCTAAGGACTGTGGGCCTGTATATAACTCCTCTTTTTTGCTTAAGAATGAAAGAGGGGTTGGTTTATTCTCTTTTGAGATTTTTGGCGTCTTCATGTTACCCTGCTTCACGAATCAGAATTCAGTCCATAATAGAAGTTTCCTTGATCATTGCAGTTGTTAATGTCTCTGCCCTTTCTCCAAAATTCTGGAAAAAGGAAAGCACTCTGTGTTCTAAATGAGCAGTTTATTTTCAGATAAAGACTGCGCGTGGCCATGCACCTGCTGCGTGGTCTCATTAATGAGTTACTCTCAGAGTCCTCCGGGACTTTTTCAAGAACTGGAATGATTCATTTCCTGATGTTATCCTTGGTTGGAGGAGCTCTTAAATGGAATTAACTTGGCACTGTATGAAAAGATGAAGTACCAACGTTCTTGCAGAGTGGGTGGATTACTCACATCATCTATGATTAATAAACCAATTTAACTCTGCAGTTTGCTTTAAAAGTGGTTCTAGCTATGTCTTTAGTTCGTCATGTTGGTACAAAAAGATTAAATGACTTATTTCACCCAAATTCCAAAATTCACTTAAACTTGCTTTAAACTCCACCTTAGCCAAAAACGCCATCAGCCAGACGAGAACTTCCCCTCTTACAAGGTCCGTGGAGGGGGCCACTTAGTCTTTCACTGCCATTCATGATGTTGCTAAGTGGCCCCCCCACTTTGCTTAACCAGTAGCTTTTTTAAAAAAAGAATTATCAGTGTAAGAAACCTCAATATGAGAGATAGTGTTTGGATTGAGTAAGGTTGGAAAAGATATATGTCAAGTATTGGAGTCCTTTGAGAGAATACAGCTAAAATCTCAAAAAGTGCGATTCTAAATGAAAAAGGCTTATGTTTAGTTAGGAATTAAGAAAGCCTCATAGCTCTGTGCTCTCAAGAAAGCACTAACTCGGGGCTGGGGATTTAGCTCAGCAGTATAAGCGCCTGCCTGGCAAGCAGGCAGTCGTGAGTTCGATCCCTGGTACCGACGAAAACGAAAAAGACAAAAAAAAAAAAAAATTGCTAGCTGGGTGGTTTCTTGTAGTGAGCATCTCATAGCTCGCTGGGTGATAAAGCAGGTGCCAGGCAGCTTTTCTGTTCTCCCTCCCTATTTCTCCTCTACTCTCCTTTCTATACAACAGCCAACTTAAACTTAGTACAGTTACTGAAGTTCCCCTCAAGGGCTTGCTTTCTAGTTCTGATATAACCTCCCTCGACACGCTTTTCCTTCAACCTTTGAAGGACCACAAGACCCCAGAGAAGCTGGAAACACTGTAAAGAAGCGCCTGTGTTATCGTCCCCCGGAGTCACCAACTCTTAATATTCTCCCAATTTGCTTTGCTTCTCCTGTCTTTATATTTATCTATCCTGTCAATCTGTTCAGATTTTTGAGCCTGAATCATTGGCAGCAAGGTGGAAAACTCATGCTCCTTCCCATTAGATATGCACTTAAACAAGTATGGTCAGGAAGAGCATTTTCCCATCTGATCATGACACTAGTTCCAAACCCAAGAAAATTAAGATGAACTCCCTATTGCTTATAGGCTATAGTCCCATGTTCTCAGTTATCCCATTTGCTGGTGACTCATGCATTTTAAAGGATTTTCCTGTAATCTAGTTTTCACTCAGCCTAGGTCTCTATCCTGGGTTGTGTTTGGTCATTTCTTTGGGCTCTCTTAATCTGTAACAAGCCCTCTTCCGGTTTTGTTTCTTCTGAAGGGTTTTGAAGGATCTATAGCAGTCACCATGTTGAATGTCCAGGTTTTGGATTTGTCCACTCCTCGTGTGGAGCGGCTAGAGGATGTATTATTCTTGACACCTTGCTCAACAGGCACGTAATTTGTCTGGCTATTGGTGATGCTAAATTTGGTTAAGGTTGTGACTCATCTACTGTAAAATTACATTTCCCCTTGGGTAGAAAATAATTTATCTAGGAGTTTTATCTTCAGATCATGTTGACATCCTGGTCTCCAAAACTTTTAACTAGTCATTTTAATATCCAATCAGCATCATTTTCTTGTTTGGCTATTACAGTAAGGATTATGGAATGATACATACATATTTTTTCTCATTCTGTTTTTAATGTTTACTGCATGGCATCTGATATAAGAAAAAACTTTTTCCTCTTTTGCTAATGTTTCTTGTAGTATTAGTAGAGATCCATGCTCAATTTTTACCTGGTACGTAATCTATCACTACCATTTCCTTTTTTAAATAAAAAGTTAAACTTTTCCTAAGCGCAGCCATTGGAGTTCCATCACTTGGCTCTTGTGTGCTTCGGAGGCAGCTGCCATAGTCTCTGAAACTCCCTCGCTCGCTGGTATGGCTGTAAATCACACTGCTGTAGCTGGACCTTAACTGCACGGCTTCTCTGTCTTGCATTGGGCAGATACAGCACCAATGAAGGGGAGACCTGGAAGACGTTCATCTTCTCCGAGAAGCCTGTGTTTGTGTATGGGCTCCTCACGGAACCTGGGGAGAAGAGCACCGTCTTCACTATTTTTGGATCCAACAAAGAAAATGTCCACAGCTGGCTCATCCTGCAGGTCAATGCCACTGATGCCTTGGGTAAGCCATGGCCCCTTTGGCCCTTTCCACAGGTACTGACTGACTTCTTGGTAGGTCCACAGGAGAGTTTGTGACTCTTTGGAGGAGATGGACACATGCAGGTTATCAAAAGGACGAAGTAAAAGGAGTTCCATTGTAGGGAATGTGTGTTACTCTTTGCTTCTTGATGTTCTTGTGCAGTTCCTGGCACACAGTAGGTCTAAATCTATGGCACACAGTAGGTCTAAATCTATGGCACACAGTAGGTCTAAATCTATGGCTGATACAAATACGGATGTTTGAATGAATAACTGCCCTGAAGTAATGAATGGAAAACACTTTTGCAACTCAGCAGTTTGAAGAAGAAGACATATTCAGTGAATATGTCTTTGTTAGGCAGCTTTCTGTCAGTTTAACAAAATGCCTGAAAAAAATCAATTTAAAAGGAAAAAATCAATTTAAAAGGAGAAAAGATTAACTTGGGTTTATGATTTCAGTCCACACGAAGTATAGCACATCACAGTGGGAACCGTGTTGGAGGAAGCCTGTTCTCCTCATGCTGCTTGGAATCAAAGTAGAGAGGAGGGCCTGGGGTCTCACTAAGCTCCCACCAGTGACTTGACTTCCTCCCACCAGGCCTTACCTCCACCTCCTCCCAAGAACAGCACAAGTACTTTGCTGCTGACCCTTTGGGGACCATGGTGGGTCGAGCTACATCAAGGACTTATTATCTGTGAGGCGCTGGGCCCAGTAATCCACAGTCCTCTCAAAACCCTCTGGGGTCCATTCATGACTTGCTCATCTAGATGTGGGATGTGTGAGCAGACAGGGAGGAGTGGAATTCCTCATGCACCCCCTGTACCTCCCATGTCGCCCTGCCCTTTTCCTGCTAGTCTCCTGGGGCCAACATCTTTCCAGCTGCCCAGAACTTCACCTGAGCCTTCTTGCTCCAGCCATCCTGCCTCCATTATTTGAAATCTTTTCCACATTTTCAGATTCAATGCCGCCAGAAGAAATCTGTCTTCTTTATACCCAGAAATAAGCCTTGAGTTATAATTTGTGTCCGTTATTCTGTGTGTGTCATCTTCCCTCAATTAAATTATAAAGCCCCTTCAAACAAGAATAAGTCCCGTGGAAGCTTGTATTCCCTCTGCTGTGTAGCCCGATTGTCTCGTATCAGGTTTAATAAGTCTTTGCTGATTTGAATGGTATTGAACTGATGGTTCTGTATGAGTGTCAGGTGGTTTTTAACCTCACTGAAGACGTATCTGAAAAACACAGTTGCCAGTATGGACACAAGTTTATCCAGAATTCCCATAGAAAGTACTCTACTGACATTTCAAATCAGTGTGGGCTGGTAGGGTAACTGTTCAGGTTGTCTTGCTGTTTTTCTCACTTTCCTTGAAGATCCCGCATCTCTGTTGAGCTCAGCTACCCTGCCAGATGTGTCCATAGCACTGAGCAAGAAGGCAAGGAACACAAGCCCCGAAGGACACCACCCATCTAGGAGTTACTGGCGCCTACTTCCCTAGGAAAGAAACATCCCTGGTCACCTACAGGGAACTTCTGACTGTTGCAAAACTAACTCAAAAGTTTGGATGGTACTAAAAAATGTTGTGTTTCTTCCTGGCTGTCTCAGATCGACAGTTGTGTCTCAAGTAGCATCAATTTTATTCTCATGGGGGCTGCCAGCTTCAGCTCACATCTGAGTCTGGGGCAGCTCCTGAGTTCTGTGTGCCTGCTGGGTGGCAGCAGTGTGCATAGGCAGCAGGGCTCTGTGCTGATGGGCAAGTGAGACTGGGAACCCCACACGAGCCTCACCCTGATGCTTTGCTTTATCTTGGTTTGTCTTCAGGGGTTCCCTGCACAGAGAATGACTACAAGCTCTGGTCACCTTCCGATGAGCGGGGCAATGAGTGTTTACTTGGGCACAAGACTGTTTTCAAACGGAGGACTCCGCATGCAACGTGCTTTAACGGAGAAGACTTTGACAGGCCGGTGGTCGTGTCCAATTGCTCCTGCACCCGGGAGGACTATGAATGGTTGGTTCTTCTTGCACTGCTGGGGCGTCACGTTGCTTTGTGTTCTCTCAGCAAGGTGGGGAAACCAGACAAGTGCATGGCCCTGCCCCCTGTTGAAGAGAAAGGAATAGAAGGAAATGAACATTTTAAAAGGATATGTTATGTGCCAGGAATTATGCTAGACACTTCAGAAGAGGCCCTCTGTGGTTCTTACTGCTGTATGATGCAGTTGGGAGCCAGGAAAGTTTATCATTTATTCAAGGATAAGAGCTCTGGAATTTACTTCCAGAAGGATGACCTGAAACAGGAGAGAGATGATTGTTCACAGGACCCCTACCCTAGAACGAGTTACTTCTTTCCCTGAAATGAGCCGATGTTTATGTGTATATGTACTCTTTCCCCCCCATAACTTACTCTTTTAGCAAGATATACAAGACACTGTTGGAAATACTAAGGAAAGAAGTGACCTGTGTCTAAATAATTATAGCAGGAGATGGGAAGGCGCAAGTACCTTAAAGGAGAAACAGATGCTTTTATAGAGATTATTTGAAAGGAAAGCAAAGACTATGAGTTGTAATTAGGGGGTCAGGGAAGTTTTGCGACAAGCCCTGTTTGAGATGGACTTTACAGAAATATCGAGATATGTGGACAGGGCATCCCAAGACCATGCAGCAGCAGGGTGGAGGCAGGAGAGCATTTAGCAGCTTGGTATGGGTGCCTCTTTGGAGGCAGCAAGCAGGAACAGTGAGTGGATCAGGTGGAAAAGATCAGACACAGTAAAACACACAGACCAGTTTGCCCTGTATCTGATCGTACTTCTCATATAAGACATGTTTAATAAATATTGTAGAATTAAATAAAGTAAATGAAGCTTTTCAGGTAGAGTGCACGAATGTGAAAAATTCCTTTGAATTATACATTTGGCAGCTTGAGGGAGCCTTGGAAAATATATGGTATAGCTGCCTGGCTTTCAGTTGTCACACGCGATCCCAAGAAGATAAACAGTAAAGACAGTAAAGGTTCATCCTAGTGCTTCCTGCTTCCAGTGCTGCGAACTTTAGATCACATGATGTCCCAGACAATGGGAAGCCTTGTGAACCAAACTTCTAGATCGCAAAGTCCAGAACGAGGATTTGCAAGTGATGTGTGTCATGTATAAACAGGATCATGAATTGTTAGTCAAAATGACTTTTAAAAGATTCTTCTTAAATTTCTCTGGCAGTTTTCCTGGTTATGTCAAGGAGAACGTCTCCCTGGAGCTAGTAATGATTTAACATTTGCCAGTGCATTTTAACTAAGGGGGGACAGTCCAGAGTCTTAGCTAGGAAGCTGAGGCTGGGTAAAAACCTGATGTTATCCTGTTTATGGCATCATGATTTATAGGCATCTGTGGCATACACAAGTGGCTTTCCAGTGGCAGTGCTGATCAAAGTATTCTTTTGCAGATGTAGTTTTGCACATCTTTTGCAGATGTGAGTATGTTGTTAAAAGGACGTACTAAATAACTTATAACAAAAGCAGTAAGTAATGTGGTCAGAGTTTCAGGGCTGCTCCTGAAGCTCCTGAAATGTGCAGTGTGCTGCCCTGAATGAACCACACGTTCCTTTGCAGTGACTTCGGCTTCAAGATGAGTGAAGATTTGTCTTTAGAAGTTTGTGTTCCAGACCCGGAATTTTCTGGCAGACCTCCTGTGCCTTGCCCTGTGGGTTCTACATACAGGAGAACTAGAGGGTATGTATTATACCTTTGTTAAGGCTCTAAGAGGAGAGAATATCCAGGGCTGCCTGGACTTCTTGTGTGGTCCAAGTCCTAGAGTTCCAAACCAGGAGGTTCTAGTCAGTTGGGCAACAGTTAAAACTAGGAAACCTTCAAACTCTTCAGTTCCCCATGGGGAAAAATGTGCATGTGGGAGTCTTGGAGCATCTCTGCGGCCCCCAGCACATCTTCAGTCATATACCTCAGCAGGGAAAAGTCTTTTGAGGAGCCTAGAGATGAGGCAGATTTAAGTCTTGCTTGGGATGCTCAATTATCTGGACCCGTTTTGTTTATATAAGCAGGGCTGACTCAGAATGGTATCAGAATGACCTGATACCTTCCTCCTGGTTCCACATGGAAATGTGTGCATGGCATCTCTTGCTCCTGGTGGGGTGATGTCCCCATTGTGGTATCTCTGGCTCTTCTTTGATGTTTCTGATCTCTTGCCTTGGGGACAGCTACCGGAAGATTTCTGGGGACACTTGTAGTGGAGGAGACGTCGAAGCACGGCTGGAGGGAGAACTGGTCCCTTGCCCACTGGCAGGTAAGAGCTCTTTGCTTCCCTTGACACCTTGAGGCATCCTTGAAGCATCATCCTGACCTCACCCAAGTCAGGCTGTGGCTCTCCTAACTCAGTGGAGGAGAGAACGGTACAAAAAGCATCACAGAATCCTCTTTAGCACCTGAAGCTTAGCACCAAACTAAATTTATATTAGTCTCACACTTAAAGGAATATAAAATATCTTATGTTGGCTCAATGTTGGGAGGGAAGTCCATTTATTCGAAAATATTTATTCTATGCCTTTTTTAAAAGGAAAAAAACCCAGAAAAATCAAGAAGCAAACAATTAAAAAACAATAATAAAAGCAGAATGACAACAATAACAACACACAACAAAAAAAAAAAGGCAATACAGAATTTTAAAACAAAATGATAGGAATTTAATAATGGTTGTTATATTGTGTATTGTTATTCTCAAAGTAATGGCTCAGGCTATGAGATACAGGCATGCAAGATTAATCAAACAATATAATTTCCCTTTGAACAGTTTCTTTCACTTTTACTGTGTCTATTAAAACTTGAATCTTATTTACTCTTTCAGTTTCTTACTCCAGCAAGACAGTATGGTGTTTACACATACAAGTCTAATTTATTTCACTTTTGAGTATGGTTTCTAGTTACACTGTAAAAGTCTGGAGTTTATGGCTGAGTAGTATTCCATTATATAAACTACTACGTCTTTGGAGGCTGAGGAGAGCCTTCTGACTTTTGTTTTTAATCTGTCTGTCTGAGTTGAATCCAAGAGGGACTTGTGACTTCTTAACAAGTAGCTAAGTGGTTTATCTTAATTTTCTAGTAATAATAATGATGGTAACTAACATTTTAATGGAAGCTTACAGACTTTAGTGTACTTTTCAGTTTGTCATGAATTTAATCCTCTTAGCCCTATGAGGTGCCATCAGATGCATACTTATATATGCATGAATGTAAGCATATTCAGAGGAAAGGGCACAATGATTCACAGAAGATCACACAGTTCTTATGTTTTAAATTAAAATTCGCACCCTAAGTCCCTTCATTGGACATCGTGCGATGGCGGATCAGTGTCACTCATATTATTTTCAGTGAACCTGATTTCTGCTTATTAAGAAAAGCTTCCTGGTGCGGCTACATACTGTAAAGGTGTAGTGTGAGTCAGAACAGGTTTTAAAGTCGATGATGTAACACGGCGGTTGTAATTTAAGTGAAATTATGATGCTTTAAAGAAGAGTCCGTCTCTTTGCGCCTTTTCTTCCTCCCCTGTCTTTCTGGTTCTTACTCACATGAAGCCTTCTCTTCCCTCTTGGGGAGGGGCAGTGGGTGATGGGTGCTGCCTTGGTCAGCAGTGCTGGTGTCCCACGGAGCTGCTGCAGGTGACAAGCTGAGGGATGTGGCATCTTTGCAGGGTGGCAGGGCGGCCACTTCGTAGGCTCACTGCCCACCAGCCTGTCCTGGTGCTTTTCATACTAAGCTCATTAGTCCCTTGATTTAACCTCTCGTCATTACCGCCGTAATTAACACACCTCGCTGTGGAGACTTCAAAGGAACCATTGCTCCAGCAGAGTCCTGCAAACGAGCAGAAATATTAAATATTCCCCTCGCAGGAGCTGCTGCTGCTGAGGCCTGTGTGTGTGGGGCTCCAGCAAGTGCTCTTAAGGGGCTAGAGTGCATACTTTTGTAATAAATATTTCCGGAGATAATTCATCGAGGGACAACACAGTTTGTTTAAAACCATCAATACTGGCAAGAAACCGATTTTCACTTCTGATAGGAGATGATAGACCAGGGAATGAAGTAGAGAAGTTTCATTTCAGTGTCGGCCACCTCCTAAATGTCAAAGAAGAAAGAAAAATAAAAGGCAGGGAAGTGCCCAGAAGAAAATAATGATAGTTTTACAGCACTAATGGGAACCATAACATGTTTGCAAAGATGAAGTAATCGGGCATCTGGAAGGATTTTTAAAATGCGGTAATTTTTCTTCCTTCATGATTGCTGTAATAACGCCCATTTCTGGGCCTCAGCCGAGAATCCTGTTCCTTTGGAGGTCAGGTGGTCACAGGACTGCCCTGCGGGCTGCTCACTGCCTCACTCCAAAACAGACCTTTAGGGATCAGGGGTGTGTGACATGGAAATTAATTTCTTAGAAGAAGCAAAGCGGCAGTGAGGATTTTAGATGCTGGAAAGAGACTGCCACGGATGTGGCTTTCACTGTGTGCTCCGAGCCTTCTCCATCTCCTGCCCAGAATGACAGTGGGAACAAAATGACAATTTCCTTATCATGTGGTGGGAGCTTGAGCACTTCAAAATCGAAGAGAGACCGGAGGAAAAGAAGACAACTTTACCATCTTAAAATTTTCTGGTGGATTTAATTTTTTGACTAATTTTCTATAGGAAAGGCTTAAATTTTTTTTTTTCTTAAAAATAAAGAAGGTGGCTCGCACATGTGAACTCCTTGAGAAGCAGTCATGGCCGGGTGAGAGTGGGAGGAAGGGGAAGGGATTCAGATTGCATCTTGGAGCCTACTGTCAAAACATGCTTTAAAAATTACTTTTCGTTTTACGAGTCATTTACTTTCAGTCTCTCTAGGGAGATGACACAAATAACAAATATTGGGATGGGGACATATATTCAAGAAATAGCAATGACACATTATCTCCTGTTTTACCCTAAGCCTCGTAGCCTCCCAGCTTCTTCTAATGCTCCTTTCTTCAAAATCTTCTTCTGGGCGACCTTCTGACAGCGCCTCTGGATTTTGCCCCTGTGGTTTGGCCTCTGCAGCTTCTCTGTGTTAGATCCTCATTTACCCATTTATTATAAGTAATTTTGCAGATGAACAGCCAGGTGGAAGAGATGTACAGGATGAGTTGTAGGAGAGGTTGGTGTGCAGGTTCCCTTCCTGGGGTGTTGTCTTCTACAGACTTCCTTGGGATTGGCTGCTCGGAAGCTGTCACCTGGATGTCGTAGGCAGCAACACTAATGTTCTGCTCGTCTCTGCTCCCGTGGAAGAATCTGAATGTCCTCCAGGGTATTTCCAGGGTGGAAAGGAGAAGGCACTAGGTCTTGGGTTACTGATTGTTTCACAATAAGTAAATTTCTTAAGTACCCTGGGCCTCTCTTTCTATGTCTTAAAATTGGTGGGCTGAAGGTATAGCTCAGTGGTTGAGCATTTGCATACACTTAGCATCTGTGTGGCCTTGGCTTTGAGCCTCAGCACCAGAGAGCAAAACAAACAAGACATAGATGTGATTAACATCTACACCATCAGGTGCACCATAGTATAGGGGTGAAATATAGTCTCAGGACCCAGACTGCCTGGGTTCAGATCTTGGTTCTGCTCCTTACTGGTTGTGTGACCTCCTGTGAGTTATGTAAACTTTGGCCTCATTTTTTTTATTTGTGATATTGGGTTCATAATAGTTCTTCCATCATAGTTGCTATGAGGATTAAACAGTGCTTGGTACATAGTTTGTACATCACGGAAATGTTTGTTGAGCAGAAACACAATTTGTATGATGACTGTGGCCTGAAATAATCACATTTTAAATTAGCAGATACTCTGGAAGAAATGTATTATTGCTCTGAAATATCAACAGGTTGGTCTGATGGCTGCATGTCATTCTGAGCAATATAAACGAATAAGCAAATTTGTTAGAAAAAAAGATTGTAAGTCTTTAGTGACTACTGATCTGCAGCCAACAGGGTTATAGTGTACGGTAGCTGTCTATCATTGTAAGGTGTCCACGAGATAATCAACTTACAAAGAAAAGAACCTGTTGGCTCACAGTTTTGGACACCTGCCCATCCTTCATTGGCTGTTTGCTTTGGACCTGTGGCGAGGTAGCGAGTGGTGGTAAGGAATGTGTAGGAGAGCAAAACCTCACGGGGCCAGAAAGAAAGAGAACCGAGGAACCTGCCAGGGCCCCGCTGTCTCCTGCGGTGGCAGAGCTCAAATGCCCCACCTGTTAAGGCTTCTGCTACTGCCCAATAGAGCAGGCTGGGGACAAAGCCTTTAACACAGGGGCTCTGGGGACATTCCAATGCAAACAATGGTATGGTCTACAGGATAGAGTCACAAGAAGGGAGACCACGAGGCTTGGTCTCACTTATGCTGATGAATGTGACGCTAAAGACTTTCTACTGGGCTCAGAAATACCAGTGCTGACAAGGCAGGAGGATGGCAAGTTTGTGCCTTGTCTGGGCAGCTTTGCCACTTAGCAAGACCCTATCTCAAAATAACAAAAGGGGCTAGAGGTATAACTCAGTACAAAGCCACCAGATTTAATCTCCAATGCAAAAAAAAAAAAGAAGAAGAAACAAAGAAAAAGGAATAAAACAGTTGCAGGTGGAGAAACAGACTCGCTGGATTGGAAGTCACTGCCCAAGGCAGAGCTGTCATTGTGTCACACGCCTTCTGCGTCTGGGTTGCCCTTGCACTTTATTTAGACCACATGACAATGGGGTTGGGGTTGGTGTATGAGGAAATAGAGCAGACTTTCTGGGAGCCTCCAGCCTCTCCGGGGCCCACCCCTGTTGTTTTGTGCCTGGCAGAGGAGAACGAGTTCATCCTGTACGCCATGCGGAAGTCCATCCACCGCTATGACCTTGCGTCCGGAGTCACTGAGCAGTTGCCACTTAGTGGGTTGCGGGCAGCGGTGGCCCTGGACTTTGACTATGAGCGCAACTGCTTGTATTGGTCTGACCTGGCCTTGGACATCATCCAGGTGAGTCAGCCCTCGGTCTGGTCTTACGCTTTATGCAGGGAGAGACTGGGGTGTGGTAGCTTATCTGAGGGCTGGCAGACAAACTAGTCAGCTGTGTGCTATAGTGATTTCTTTCCCTGTGAACTTCTGCCCATAAAAGAAAGATAGGAGAAGCCCCAAATCCATGGCCTTGACTTTAAGGTCTTAATTTTTCCAACTGGGAAATTCCAACTGGGATTAATAATGTAGGATTTTTAGTTATCCCCTAAATCATGATATAGTAACACTTGACTTATCCACACTTCATGTTAGTATCCATTTAAATTATTCTAAACACCAACCCGAGCCAGAAGGTAACTGGGTACTGTGTTGTATGACTGTAGTCCCAGCTACATGGGAGGCTGAGGCAGGAGTTTGGGGCCATTCTGGGCAACATAGCAAGATTCCATTTCTTTTCTTTTTTGACTTTTTTTTTTTATTTAGAGGGAAAAAAAAAACAGAAAAAAGGGTAGAAAACCTTCAGAATTTCAAAAACAATAGCAGAAATCACTGGCTAATAAATTACATATCATTATCTTAGAAGTAGTTCAAGTTATAAAATCAGAGCATAAAAAGTGGACAATCAAACACTGACAGCACAGACTCTTCTGTTTGATGAACTAACAAAACTCTGAAAACAAACCCCATAATCAAACAGACACTCCAAGTACACATGCTCACACACATAAACCAGGAAGTAAGCTTTAAGGCCCCTGAATAGGCCAGCCACAGCCATCCTCTCCTACCCGTGAATCCATGCATTTGAAAGGAAAACTTATTGATCTGTGTTCAATGTCTACTTCCTCTATTTAGGACTGCAGTTCCAGGAAGTGTTATATTTATTCTCAACCCAGGGAAAATTTTACTGCCTGGGTCTTGGGGGTGGTAGTGGGTGTTGCTTACTGCCGATCGTGCTTAGCCCGGTGACACCCCTCAGAGGCCAGTAGGCTTCTGAAGGCAGAAGGACTGTAAAAGCAGACATGAGAACACAAACACAACAGCAGTCAGGTTCATTTATTTTAAAATCAAACAGACTCCTGCAGCTCAGTAACCTCTGACTTCATTATTGTGATACAGGGCCTCATTTGGTAGCCAATGTAGAGAAATACAAATGATTAAATTCTCTGCCTTCTGTTTAAAACAGGAAATTGTGATACATTTTAGCAGTGTTCTTTTTAAAACCCAGCTTCATGTTTTATGTTTCGTGTTGTTTTTGTTTTGAAACAGGGTCTTGCTATGGTTCAGTCTGGCCTTGAACTTACTGTGTAGCCTAGGTTGGCCTTGAACTCCAGATGACCCTCCTGCCTCAGCCTCCTGCATGCTGGGATTACAGGCTTGGGCCACTACACCCAGTTTTAAACTCAGCTTTGTGTATCTGGAAAGGTTATAGCAATCAAAGGCCGCCTCCCGTGGCAGTCCAACCAGTTGAAGAAAGGGTTACCCCCCTTTGTGGGATGAGCTTGCAAGGGATCCCCTGTGCACTTCACAGCATTTAGTCCGATTTTTCTCTGTTTAGCGTCTCTGTTTGAATGGGAGTACTGGGCAAGAGGTGATCATCAGTTCCGGCCTGGAGACGGTAGAAGCTGTGGCCTTCGAGCCCCTCAGCCAGCTGCTGTACTGGGTGGATGCTGGATTTAAGAAGATAGAGGTATGCGTGATCCCCTGTCATTCTTGATTAAGCGCGCAGGCAGAGTGCCTGGGCATTGGGCCAGATTGACACAGACGTAGGAGTCAGTGTTTTAGATTGCTCTGGAAATTTCTTGAGAACTAGAGAACAGAGTGGCTGAGCCCCTGGAGAAGGGAGAAAAGGGGTGAGGGGTCATCTCAGAGTCAGGCCAAGAAGATGCCATGTGAGAACAGGATGCTAATTCTGTCAGACTTCACGGAGGCAGCTGATTGGAGCAGTTTATCCTTTGACAATGGAAGCATAGAAGATAATAATGCCATATCAATAGTAGTCCAGGAATATTCTAGAGCAGTAATGACATCATTCTCCTCCTCCTGGGTCTTATTACTCTGTACCACCTGTTTGTCACTAAGCTACCCAGTAACTTGTCCCATCTTCTCTACTCAAGGCAACTTTGAGGGTAGTAAATGGCACTGAACTTAGGAGCATAGCTAGGTGTGCTCAACTCCTGCACCACCTCCTCGTGTGAGAAGCCACATGATGTGCAGAGCCAAGTGCAGTTCAAAAGACAGTCTTGAAACGCAGCCCTGAATTCAGGCCTCACCTTGCCAACTAAGTGCAGGGCACAGGGGACTTATTTTCCTCCAGCTTTTGTTTCTCCGTGGTTAAAACAAAGATTCGTTGAGTCATTCAGCCGTGCCACAAGTATGTTTTGTGTCTGCTGTTTGTCAGATGCAGTGTTAGGTTCCGATGATACAGCAGTTATCAAAACAGCTGTTCTGATGGAACTTGAGGTTCAGTGGTGGAATTAAAGTGAAGAAGAAGTACAGAATTCCTTCTGTTGCTTCTGAGCCCTATCAAGGACACAAGTGGGGCCGGTGACTGCATGGCTGAGTGTGGGGCAGCCTGAGGAGGGCAGACGAGGGAGTGGGAGGCCTCCTGATGCTGTGGCATTGGAGCCGGGTCTGACTGTGAAAAGGTTAATTGCATCCCTTGGGGGATGTTGGCAAAAGTGGAGAAATGCACAGTACCTGGTTCCTACCGAATGCCGCCATGGTGGTCTTGTCCTTGTTATTTCTGTCCCTTCTTTTCTTGTCGGTGGCCAGCTCGGTGTTTTTATTCCATGTTGGAAAAATGCAGGGGACCTGTAAACTACCATGTTTTCGCAAGCTTGCTGGGTGACCACTGGTCACTCACCTCCAATACTGTTGGTGCAAATGGTGCAAAATCAGTCTGTAACCAGAGCTATTGATGTGCTTTGGCCACGGTGGGGCAGAAGGTTTCAGAAAAGAGGCCCCTGGAGCTGAGTGTCGAAGATAAGTTACCGTGTGTTTAGGGTAGATAGAGTGGGGAGGACAGGCCTGGGCTGGGATGCGGCAGAAGAGGATAGGAGTGTGTGTGTCAGGCTTGGGGAACTGTGAGATAATCTGCCCAGCCAAAACGGGAGAGGTGGAATGTGGGGTCTCCATTGGAGGACTGTGAAAATGAGAATTTGTTTCGTGGGCAGTGCAGAGGTGGCTCTGAAGCATGGAGAAACATGGGTAGGCTAAGAGGAAAACAAAATTGAGTACAGTTGGCCTCTCCATTCTGCATGTTTTGTATCTATGGATTGAAAACACTCAGCAAAGCAAAGCAAAACAAACTGAACATGTAGAGTCTTTCTTTTCTTAGTATTCCCTAAACAGTACAGTATAGACTATTTGCATAGCGTTCACATTGTAGTAGGTATTATAAATAGTCTGAAGATGACTTAAAAGTATAAAGGTAGAGGTGTGCAGGTTATATGCAGATATTATTCAGTATTGCAAACTTGCACATGGAGTTTGGTATCCGGTTGTGTGTGTGTGTGTGTGTGTGTGTGTGTGTATAGGGAGGTCCTAGAAGGAATCGCCTGTGGATTCTGCATTAACTGTGTAGATCACTGTACCATAGGAATAGGGGTGATGGGGGTGAGGCTTGTATTGTTCTAGCATTTCTATCAGACCTTGTAGAAATTCCCTCATCAGTCAGAGGAGAAGTCTGTTCCTTCTAACTAGAAACTGATGCAAGTGTCTCTGTTGGCTCTGGGAAAGGGAATCAGGTGGGTACAGAGGGTGTACATCTGTAGATAGAAACTGACAGGGGATTTGGCAGAAAGGTTCACTAAAGGAGCGCAGACCTATTTTGGCCGTCCCTTCCTCTTTTTCTCAGGTAGCCAATCCAGATGGTGACTTCCGACTCACAGTGGTCAATTCCTCTGTGCTGGATCGGCCCAGAGCCCTGGTCCTTGTGCCCCAAGAAGGGTAAGTATATCCTCAAAAGGAAATCGCATTGTGTCAGATGTTGCAACAGTAGATACAGACATGCAGATCTCTAGGCGAAAACTCTGCTCCTCGTGAATTTAGTGGAAATAATCCGTTCACTGAGGGTTTTGTAGCCACCACGCAGTCATCATGGTCAGGGAGCTCCATTTGCTTCTCATTAGCAAGCATCAGACGCTGTGGGCTGCCAGATGTCTTGCATCTGTGGGGTGTTGCTCTAGAAAAGGGTAACACTAGAAGAGAGTCTCTGTAGGCTACAGAAGCCTGCTTAGGTATTGTGAGGGCTGTTTTATCTTGAGTTTCATGCATAGCACAAACATTTAATTCAATCTGTCTTTTCCTATCTGCTTCCCCCAGGATATGTGGCCATTCTGACTGAAAATTAGTTTTGCACTTGGGGAATGCAAAGGTGCTTTTCATTAACTCTTTAACTGGAGGAAACAACTAACATGGAAATTCTGTATTAGCTTTCCTTGCTCTTCCTCCTCTGTAGTCCTTATGATTGAAAACAGTAGCACTCATTTTCAAAAAGAAAATGCTTCAAGCAATCTATGTACTGATTATAAATTTGAAAAGAGAATAGAAGTTCCTGAAGCGAACTATATTTGTTCTTTCTGTTCTTATTCTTTATTCCTTATCATCATACATTCTAGGCTAATCATTGTTAATAGTTTGTAATCATTCAGAATTATTTTTTACTCACATATAAGCATTATCTTTTAAAACATATGCCCTACACCTAGAGGCACATGATATACCAAATACAATTATAGTGCAGTTAGTAGTTTGTAACTAAATTATATATATAATATAATATGTATGAAGAGAGATCGATGTTGAGATTGTATCTTTGTGTGCATGATACTTTCCTGTAAGCACATACAGCTTTTTAAGCTTTTATTATATTCTACTGTATGTGCAATCAATTATTGCTTTTCTTTATTGGGGACACTGTGATTAATATACGTATATGTACATTATTGTACATTATCTTCACATAATCTGATTATAAATTCCAGGAGATGGATTTGTAGGTCAGGAGGTTTAGTGGTTTCAGATATTACAGATCCTGATGATTATGACAACAACGTTCTAGGAGGTTCTCTCTTCCTTGGAGTGGTACTCAGCACCCATGCCTCTTGTTTTTTGATGAGATGGGTTGTTCTATCCCTGTTTGGATCAGGGTGATGTTCTGGACTGACTGGGGAGACCTGAATCCAGGAATTTATCGAAGCAATATGGATGGTTCTTCTGCCCATCGTCTTGTGTCAGAGGATGTGAAGTGGCCCAATGGCATTGCGGTGGATGACCAGTGGATCTACTGGACAGATGCCTACCTGGACTGCATTGAGCGCATCACCTTCAGCGGCCAGCAGCGCTCGGTCATTCTGGATAACCTCCCGCACCCCTATGCCATTGCTGTCTTTAAGGTGAGTCCTCAATCGTGCCACCAGTGGGCACTCTGCAGAGGAGGTCAGGAGCCTCCTGAGGTCCAGAACCAGATGCCATTGGATTTTGCAGAGATACCATCAGACTTCTAGGAAATTTGCTCTTTTCTAAATTTGACATAACTTGTTTTCTGTGGTGCTGGGGATTGAACCCGGGGCCTTGTGCATGCTAGACCCATGCTTAACCACTGAGCCACACCCTGGCTTGTTTACATTCCTAAAGAGGGATGCCAGGCAAAGATCCCAGAGGACCTGGCTTTCAGACCAGTAGCATTTCAAAAGGCAAAGAGCTAAGATTATTTCTCATGAGTCTTCTGGATTTGCCCTTCAGTACTGACAGCTTGGTTTTGGTTCTGAGTCTTCACCTTCTGCAGGGTTTCCTCACTTCATTCCTCCCTGACCAAAGAGGAACAGAATATTCCCTCTGTTCTCTTTCAGGTCTGTTTGTATTCCAGAGACCTCTGATAAGCCCTGGGTAGCAGATTTCAAACTGAGAGCTTACTCAAAGTTCTGTGCTCATCAGATAGGTTTTTTTTTTTGGCGGCGCGGGGGGGGGGGGGGCAGTTCCTTCTGTTTGGATCAAGCCACTTGCTCTTGCATTTGAGAGTAATCTTAAGCTAGTACACAGCCTGTAAATGTTAGTTGTCTTCTGTATGTGGAAGTTCTTGTCTTTACAGAGGGTCCATTAAGGAAGAGCTGGCCTGATGGGCAAAGCGTTTTTTTGTTTGTTTGTTTTTTAGAATGAAATCTACTGGGATGACTGGTCACAGCTCAGCATATTCCGAGCTTCCAAATTCAGCGGGTCCCATATGGAGATTTTGGCCAGCCAGCTCACAGGGCTGATGGACATGAAGATTTTCTACAAGGGGAAAAACACTGGTAAGTCTCCTCCTTCATCTCCCAAGAGCTGATCTCAAGAAAGGGGCTGCATGTGGGCAATCTCCTCTCAGAGCAGGAGCTGGCAGTCCGCTCTTTGTTGTCACGACAACATGCACATTATTTAATTTTTTCCTAATGATATCTTAATTTCCTTTCTAATGATACACAAACAGCTGGAAGACAGCATGTTTCTGCCTGCCGAGAGTGTTGGTGCTTGGTGGTAATTACAGCCTCCTTCTGCCCTCTGCCCCTCGCTGATTGGTGGTGTGGCTTTGGTTGCAGCTGGGAGAGGCCAGCGTGTGCCTAATCCCCTCTTGGCACACGTACAGGGAGACGTGCTGTGCTCCGGGCTGGGTGCTCACAGAATCACATGCCCACCCGGCATTCCACCTCTGCTGCGATGCTGTTCGTGGTTGTACATTGCTTTCATTCTTGCTTCCTGCCCCGAACCTCTAAACCCCACGAAGTTTTGAAAAGATGATGCCTTTTTTGTTTGTTTGTTTCTCAGCAGTTTTACCAGTTCTGTAGCCTTTTGCTGGTGCTCAGTTTGTTTTTGTCAAAGGAAGAAAGGGTGACGAGAGAGGGGAGGGCGGCTCTCTGAGTAGGTGTTTGCCACCTTAGGACCTGTTAGATGGGGGAGGCTTCAAGCACTGCTAGAAGCTTTGACCTGCTGGTCCTGGAAGCTGCGATTGTTCAGTAGAAAGCTTCCTTCCGTGGCTGGCCTTTGCTCTTGTGTGGCCCCACTCATGCTGGCAATTCTAGAGGATAAAGAGCAGGGCAGTGGCAAGAAAAATAGTCCCTCTAACAATTACCCTCCTTATCACCGCAGGATTAAATAGCATCCTGGGTCTGCTGACTCTCCTTTATTGACAACTTCTAGTTTTCTTGTTTTGAACTAGAATGTTGATACTGTTTTTCTGCTTCTTGGCTTACTTTGTACTCACAGAAAAAAGACAAGGAAAGTAACACAGTTATAGATAACATTGTTATCCCTTTAAGTCCAAGGAAGACAGCATGAGAATAATGTGTCCTACCAATGAAGATCTGTCTTACCGTTAAACTTGCCCTACTAACCAGCCAGGGGAAAGATTGGTATTTGTGGATTTGGGAAAAAAATCTTAGTTATTAATTAGCTTTCTCGAAAGTTCTCATTAGGACAGGGGCTGAGCTTTGGTTGCAGTCTTGGAGAAGTCACATACTTTTGAGAGGAGATACACGTTTTAAAACAGGGAGTGATGTGGGGATCTTGCTTCTCAGCACCAGCAGTTGAAATCTCCAGGCCTCTGTTTGATGGAGGTCCCGTTCCTCCCACTGCCTTGTGGAGTTCGTTGCCAGCATTTCTCTGAGTTGATACCTGGTCCAGAAGAGCTGGACTCCATTTTACAAGTGTGTGTAAGCGCACCTTTGAGGTACACACAGCAGCTTCTGCAAGGCTGTGTCCAGGTGAGGCTGGTGGTCTCTGGACTCCCCTCTCCTGTTTTGGCTCATGGTTTTACCCCAACAACTTGAGCATAACTGAGTGCTTGTGATCTCCTGGTCCAGGAAAGACGGCCTGCGCTTCTCAGTGTATGGTCAGGGTAGGGTCTGAGCTAGGTAAAGCCCAGCTTGAAAGTGTGATGTGTGTTACTGGGTGAAACACAGACTCCTTTGTGTAAGATCAGTGGTGATATCCCTGTGGCCGGGGCCAGTTACTAAATCTCTGGCCCTGTCTCTGTTTGTCTTGAGATCCTCTTGCTGTCCATTGCTTGTGAGCAAGATGCTTCCAGGTGTCCTCTTACCTACAGATGCAGGGATGGAGGATCAGGCACACAATCTCACAGGCCACTTGGAGTTAGAGCAAAGCTTTGCAACCTATGTACACTGCCTACCTCTTGGCCTTCAGCTTGCTTCTTTTAACCTGTCCTGTCCTGTTAGCACACTGAAAGGGCATGGCAAGTTCTTGCTACATACTGGCAACCCCTGATGCCGATGCATCTGTATTATTTTTCTTATCTGCTCCAAATACATACACGACTTTGTGTTAGTCAAATGTAAAAACAACGGTAAGTACGTGTATTAAGGGAGTTACGCTGTCAAACTCACCACACACCTGTGCTCTTAAGTTTGCATAATCTGCTTAATCTTCCCTAAATTAATATGTGCTAGGAATATTCCCATTTTACAAATGAGAACATAAAAATGAGGTTCAGTAACTTGTCCAGGTCATACACTTAGTAAGTGGTAATAGTTTGAGTTATGAACTACTTGACCTAAGTAAACTTCAGAGAAACCATCAGACTGTACTCTGTCTACCCTCTGTTACTGAAATGGTGGTACTCTGATAACATGGCAAAAATTTAGGATTCTACATTTTGCTTAGTACTGGTTTGTGCTAAAATTCTGCTCATTTGGGAGATTTATTCATTGAGGCTATTTGGTTATAAGTGGGTGGATTTCTTGTCTTGATAACTGACAGATTTTTAGGTAGTGTTGCTGGAATTTGTTTTGCACAAAGAGTTTTTTAAAAATTTCCTTTAAAAGTTACTTTGCAAGATTATTGATGTAGTCGATGCTGCAATATTTTAAAATATTTTATAGTTCTTGTTCATTTTCTTGAGCCTGCATTAATACAACCTTGTACACATTTATAGTAAGGGCAAATATTCATTATTTGGGGACGTGTTATTTTGATAATTGTCAAGTACATAGAAATTTCAGTGAGATAATTATATTCGTGGCTCCTAAATTGATGCTGGAGGAATTTGTTTCGTAGAGGAAATCTGACAATGTTCTGAATTTGCTGTGATGATGTCCCAGGGCTGTTTGGGCTTCTAAGGGGACATCTTTTGAAGATGGTCGTCCTTTAGGTGCTCTTCACTCTACACCTGCCTGCAGGATCTGCGGCCACAGTGGGAACACCACTGCTTTCTTCTGTGTCCCCTTCCAGGTCCATCAGGTGTAGCACTCCCACGTTCTGCTCCCTTGCTTTGTCCCTAGCTGAGGCTTTCGGCCTGCCTACCGGCTCTAGTCCAGACCTGGTTGGCTTGGTTTGGAGTTTGCTCTTGGGTGTTGCCGCTCAGACTAGCACTTTTTCATCTTTGCCTAGATTTTCCGCTTGAAATAGAACGTATTTTGGGTTCCATACTCTTCACTCTTGGCTGGGAGGGAACATCAGCTTTGCACGTTATTTTGCAGACCTAACTCCTGTGAACATACCATCCTATAATTGAGTGTGTTGCAGTTACATATTCTGGTATTGCTCATTTTCTTAGAACACCGAGTGGTGTGCTGTCCTCTGAATACAAAGAGCGTGTGCCAAATCCACTGAGTTGTCTTCCAGTGGTGGTGGGCTCTGTGTCAGCTCCACATCCCTTTTGGGGCCAGTGGCTTGTATATTTAGCTAAAGAAGGGGTCTGTGCCAGCAGATCACCAGTGAGCAATAGTCAAAGGTGTCATCTGATCAACTGATTAGTTTACTGTGGGAGTTAAGCCATTTTACGGTTAATTAAGCTACTTGCCGAGTCTTTTTGGATATTTCATCACATAGATTTCTCTCAGTGATGTGCATATTTTGTCTGTTTAGTAATGCCACTTTTTTTTTTTAGCATCAAAGTGACATTGTGGCTAAATCGTTGTGGTTAAGAAAATTTATAAGTGACTTAAAACGTATGAGATGCCAACACATCCACAGCTGTGGAGTGTATTGTCACTGTTGTCAGCACTGATTATCATTAAGGAAGCCTGTTTTCCAACCTGTGGGTCAAGACAGCTTTGTTTTTGTGTTACTTATGAATTGTTACAAAATACATTATACATCCTCTGCCTGGCCTCCTGCAGATAAGAGGGACAGAAAAACCCTTTGGCCATTTTTGTTCACACACACGCACTTCTCTCAAAAGTGCAGAGTTGGATTCTTCAGACTGCATGTGACACTCACTTTGCCAAGTTGAACCAGAGGGAAGATGGAAAGTAGTGGGACAGATCAACATTAACCTGCGTTTCTGAGGATTTGTTGCATAATGGTGGCAAATGGGTTGTAAGTGTTCCACGTCAAGGACGTCAAAAAGGGGCAATTGGATTTTTATCTAGGCCCCCAGCATATCCTCTGAAGGAAAAGCTTTTGGGTGCTAAGGAGCAGAACCCTCAGGCTAGCTTACACGATTGAGCTATGCCAGGGAGCTAGTAGAGAGCCCAGGCCTGGGAGTTCTGGAGGAGTCTTATGTGAACTGCAATTGGGAACGGCAAAGCCATCCTTGTTCTGCCCGGGGCCCTGGTGAGATCTCTCCATAACTGCTGTGTCCTAACGTTCTTTAGACTGATGACAGCTGAGCACTCAAGTTTGCCTTAGTAGGCTCTGCCTTGTGCAAGCTTTTGGTTTTACTTGGCACCTGCGCTCTGTAACTCTTCTCCAGCTCCCTGGTTGTTTTCTTGATCTTCAGCAATCACATCCACGGGGGAGGAACATCCTGGTTTGGCTCCAGGGCAGTCTGATGGGGTGAGATACAGAGGGAGTCTGGGGAAAGCAGACCTGTGGAGGTTGGTTCTGCTGAGAGCCCTGAGCAAAGGCTCTCGGCACAGAAGGCGTGTTGGGCTGGCCACGTGCCCTTCCTAAGCTTCTCCAGGTGGTGTCTATAGCTGACACAATTGCTGCAGGTGTCCTTGTTCAGGGCTCCCCTGTGTTTTAACCTCCATGCTGTGGCTGGCTGTCTCCTCTCCAGGAAGCAACGCCTGCGTGCCCAGTCCATGCAGTCTTCTGTGCCTGCCCAAGGCCAACAACAGCAAAAGCTGCAGGTGTCCAGAGGGAGTGGCCAGCAGTGTCCTCCCTTCTGGGGACCTGCTGTGTGACTGCCCCCAGGGCTATCAGCTGAAGAACAATACCTGTGTCAAAGAAGGTGAGTCCTTTTTTTTGCTTTTGCCCTTGTTCTCTTTCCCTTTTCCCATTTTCTGTGGCATCATGGACCCTTCGTGATACTGGAAAAAGTCCACAAGATAGCCGGAGGATCCTGATTTGGGAGCTCCAGTGCTCATTCATAAGAGGCCCATGCTCAAAGTCATAGCTGTCCTTTGGGTTTAAGGTCAGCTGACACAGTCATCATCAGGTCCACCCTTGTTTTCTTCTGTGCCTTCCTCCCCGACCCATGCTTCACATCTAGGTTCCGTAGCTTCTGTTTCTTGTGACTTTTATGAGTTGGACCGCCTTACCTTGAAAACGTATGTCTTGACTCCATCAGAGTCCACTGCCATCACCCACCAGTTCCCTCTCTGCCGCCTCCGGCCTCCAAAGGGCTGAACTTCAGACCAGTGTTAAATAAAGGTCTGAAGGTCTTGGCTTCCAAGCCAGGACGATTAACCTTACTTTCTCTTTACCAGCAATTTGAATACGTGGGTTTAAAATCTTTTCCTCTGAGACACTGTTGCATTTTTTTGTTTTCTGTAGACTTCTCACTGTTACTACTTTCTCAGTGCTCAGCCTCATTTTTCCATCAGTATGCTGAGCCCCTAAAGGACCTGACTGATGGTCAGAATTCCTGCATTTCCTTAGGCTCCAGGTTGTATTTGCTTTGGAATCCTAACCTCACTTCTCATAGCCGCCTCTGAGGCCAGGGCCGGCAGGCACACAATGGAAGCCTTGTAGTTTGTCTTCCTTAAGAAATACAATGAAAACAGGATGGACCATCCTTCCTTAGAAATCTGGACATTACCTTAAAGCTGGAAAGAAACAGTCAACACTGAATTCCAAGAGAAGGACAAACAGCTCCCCCCATATGCCCCATTAGAATGGCACCGATTATCCAAACAGGGTGATCATGTAACCTTGGCCCAGTTTAGTAAACAATGCATTTTTCCTGTGTCAGTGCTTGTTTTAAAGAAGTAATAGGCCAGGAAAAAAACCTCTTGGTTGTCTTAGTGAACCACCTGGATATTTAAATAAATATGGATGCATATTGTATAATTATAGATGGATATTCCTAGGGGAACTGGTTCTAGAATTTCTTTGGATACCAAATTCCACAGATGCTCACATCCCTTATACAAAATGATATAGTATTTGCATGTAACCTACCCACATCTTCCCATGTATGTTAAATCATGTAGTTTCATACATGTTAAATGGTGCCTAGATTACTTACAATACCTAATACGGTGTAGATGGTATCATATTGGGTAGGGGTAATGACAAGAAAAAATAGTTTATGCATGTTTAATGGTGACACAGTTTTTTCCCTGGAATATTTTCACCCATGGTTGGTTAAATCTGTGGATGTGGAACCCCTGGATATGGTTATTGTGTCCCAGTCCTTTGTAGACATGGACCTTTACGGAGTTACCTGTGTGATATAATGCTGCTCCACTGTCCTTGCCTCCCAAGGGAGCCGCCTGCTGTCATCACTGTCCTGTTTCATCATTGTAATCGCTTCTTCTTTTAAAATTAACTTTATTGGTACATTATCGATATACGTAACGATCTCATTCACCATGGGGAACCGAACCTGTGTGTAATTTGACTTTCTTCTTCTCTGCCCCTGGCCATTGTGGCCGCACCACCCTGAGCATGCCCAGTCTTACTGGCGGCCACTTCTTAAGGCTGCTTGCAACCTGCTTTTTTGCTCCCACAAGATCAAGGAAGAAAGAAGCAGGGAGGTGTCTCCTTCCTTCCATGCCTGTGTCTCCCACTCAAGGCACAGCGTTATTTGAGGAAGGAAAATAGAAACTCAGAAAGTCCCGTGCTCCAGCAGGAAGCATAATACTGGTTTCATTTCCTCCCCACTCAGAGAACACCTGTCTTCGCAACCAGTATCGCTGCAGCAATGGGAACTGTATCAACAGCATTTGGTGGTGTGATTTCGACAACGACTGCGGGGACATGAGCGACGAGAGGAACTGCCGTGAGTCTTGTGGCTCGGCCATTTATCAGGACGCTAAGTCTTCCTTAGAATTCTGGTCAGCTCCTCCATCAGGGATGGGGCTCAGCCAACAGAGAAAGCGCAGTCCCACATGCACAGGTGTATTAGATACATAGAATCATCTATGCAACGCATGTGTTTAATCAGTGAGCTGACTACTCATTGCAAGAGACTTACCAATAAGTGTCCATCACGTGACTGAAACTGAGCTGACTGACAGTCTGGGTTTTGGTCCCATAGGAAAACTGGTGAATTGGAGTGGATTACCCAGTGACGTTTTTTGAGGTTGACGTTTTTTTTAAGTTGAATGATCGGCCTTTCCAGGATGGGCAACAAGTGTCACCTTGTGTGCTGCTCCAGTGAGGTGAAGTCAGCTCCCTGCCAAGCTTACACAAGGTTGTTCTAATCGATTGGTGATTCATAGTTTGGCCCGGAATCTTGGTAGGGGTCCTATATAAATGTCATCTTTGTAGTGAATAGTTTCTAAGGTCTAAGTAAAGTATAATATGACTGTGCTTAGCAGGATTTAAAGAAAGCAGAAAGAAAACTACTTAAGTGAATGATTACTGTATTGACTACAAATCTTAATACCTTTGACCTCATCAAGGAAACCCTTTGTCTTCTGTGGGTTGTATGCTCACCCAATGTGTGTTTATCGAGCACCTTCTGTTCTAAGCTCTGTCTGGTGATCAAGATGAAATCAGGGAGTTTACAGTCAGCTGGACAAGTTAAAAAAGTTAAGCAGTAGTTACAGCAAACAATAGTGCTGTGATAGGCAAGCACCATATGACGTAGGACACCCTAATCGACAGCCCTGAAGGATGGATGGGACACCACGCAGAGGTGAAGGGCAGAAAGACCTGAGCAGGGGTGTAGCTTATGTGAAGGGCAGAAGTCTGAGTTCCAGGACTTGTGTAGATTGCTGAGGATTGGGCCCAGTGGAGCAAGGGGAGAAATTGAATTGGTAGACAGAACCCAGATCTGCAGAACCCTTTTACACTTTATAGGAAGAGCAGTTGGCAACCATTGAATGAACATGATAAAATTTTACCTTTGGAAAGAAAAGCTGCTGGCAGAATGAATTGAATGGGAGAAACTGGTGCCTCTTACACTCAGGGAAAATTGTCTACTTGGTGGCAGGCGTGGAAGTCATATGCCTCTCCATTTCTGTCTTTTACAAAAAAAAAAAAAGAACTCTGATAAAGACACAGCCATCTCCAGCTCTCAGGGACACAGGAAGTTGTGATATTTGTGAAGCATTAGCCCAGCTCTTCAAAGACATTGATAAACATTATTAACAGCACGAATCAGCAATGGAATAGCATTTATTACAAATCAGGCTGGTAGAGTGGGAACCTTCTTGGAGTTCACACCTGTGAGAAAAACTGCCTGAACATATTTAGGCACAGTAGAAGCAGAGAGATACAAACTAGATATCCAGTGATTAGGAACACAAGATAACGTGTTATTTCCTCTCTGCCCCTGGGCTAAGTGTTTGCGCGATAGGCAAACTGGATCTCATTGCTTCCAGGTTGTGAAGCAAGCACTTCTGGCTTTATGCTGCCCTCTGTGAGGTCCTCCTTTTTCCTCACCTCAGGTCTGTGCCTGACCTCACAGCTTCTTATGACTTCAGCTCCTGCCCAGGGATGTAGCATGGAGCTGGCTTGGTTCTCCTAGTTTGGTGTTAGCGTCTACCGCCGGGTCACTTTTCTTGCAACCCTGCAACTTGCTTTCTCCTCTGCTCTCGCCTAGTTTCACTTGGCTTACAGCCCCACCCATTATGTGTGACAGAGGTGAGGAGATAAGCACTGTTTTGGGAACAAAGCTGAAGGGCATGGGCAAGGCTTCCCACAGTCTCCCTTTCCAGGAAGGTGTGTATGTATCTAGACACTGAGAGGCACCTGTGCCCACAGGCAGGCAGCGGGAGAGGGACGCTGCTGCCCACGCTGGAAGTTCAGCTGCCAGGGAAGAGCTGAGGAGGGCTGAGGGAGGCGGTGCAGGAGGGATGTTGTCAATCGATTTCCCTTCCTCTTAAACAAACTCCTCCATCCGGCTGGGTGGATGTCAGGCACCAGGGTTTTGACGTGAAATCCTCTGCAGCCTTGTCATTTCCCATTCATTCCCTGCCTCCCACCATGAGCTCAATTACAGAGAAGAAATGGAACCTCAAATAAGAGCTGCTGGGCTATCCAGTGGCAGAGCTGCCATTTGGTGTTTGATGGTGCAGCTCACCCCCACCTCCACCCGCACCCTGCTGTCTCCTGCATCAGTCCCTGTCTCAGCAGAACAGCCCTCCTCCCCATCTCTCTCCTGCAGGGTCTTGCCTTGAATCGTGAGGGTTTGTGCACAAGCTCGGCAAGCTTGTATTTAGCAGAGGGAGAAAATCCAATTCTGTGCTCATTGTGATCCCAGAAGGGCATGAAACGTGATAAGGAATAGAAGTGACATCTCTGTAGAGTCGTTATTTCTGTATATCTTATGCATGAGGCTGTGATCCCAAGCTTGTTCTCTTCCTATTTTTCATCACAATACTCTCCAGGTAGTTAATGTCTGCACTCTGTTCTAGAGGAATAAAGAAGACAGAGAGGGTCAGGTTAAATAAACGGTGGGTAGTAGAATACTCTCCAAATTTCATCTTTCTGACCATAATCCCACATTACCGTCACATTACCATACTCTTATTTTACTGTTGGGGAAATGGAGGCTCAGGGAGGTTCAAATTGATCACCCAAGAAAGCAGTGTAGACCAGATTTGATACCCAGGCTTGCCTGGCTGCAAACAGAACCCAGGTCTCTGCTACAGAATTCTACCTCTGCATTACCTTTCCTATCTATAGGTACAGTGAGGTGCCTCCTTATGTGGATGGAATTGGGTGTCCCCAGTAGTAGTTTGTGGCTATGGGTGCTTTAGTAATATGAAGACACCTGCATGGCGCAGGCCTGCGCTTCTGAAGGGGCAGTAGGAGGCAGTCTAGCCCCTCACTCTCTCTTCCAGCTAGATGAGTTTCTTTTCCAGGCTCTGAAGCTGTCCCTGGAAAGAGCTGCTCTTACCTCTCTTGGTTAATAATTTCTTCTTCTCAGGGAATTTATTTCTTCCATTAAGTCTAGGTCTAATTTCTGTTGTTACACTTAAAATCTGCTTCCTTGTATTTTTGTTGTTTTTGTGTTTTGAGACAAGATCTTGCCATGTAGCTCAGCCTTGGCCTTCAGCTCATTATGTAGTTGCAGACTGGCTTCAAACTCACAGGGACTCTCCTGGCCCAACCTCCTGTGTGCTGGGATACAGGCATGTGTCATGACATATGACTTCCTCCTATTTTTTAATTGGTTTTCCAGTAGAAAGTTTGTGTCTGAGGGGAATGAATTGTACCTAACAAGTATGTCATCTCTCTCTCCCATTTTAGCTACCACCATCTGTGATCTGGACACCCAGTTCCGGTGCCAGGAGTCTGGGACTTGTATCCCACTCTCCTATAAATGTGACCTCGAGGATGACTGTGGAGACAACAGTGATGAAAGTCACTGTGGTAAGGGCACATGGTATCCAGAAATCCACTCTGGGGGAAGGGGCAGGGCTGTTACCATGTTATACTAGTGAGTGGGGTGGGCAGGGAATGGAGATTTTTGATATGCATTTCAGTATTTATTTTCTTTAAGCTGCATGATCATCTCGGTCTACATGGCAGCATTCTAGAAATATCTGATCAGAGTTAAGGGGACACTGATCCAGAGTTAAGGGGATTCATGGTCAGAAAAGATAGAGCCTACACTCAGCTGCTATCGCTTGTTTTTTTCCTTGCTTGGCTTTTGTTTTATAATCTGGAAAGCAGAAACAGACCCTGCTTTGTCTTGCAGAGACGCTATTAGGGGGACATGTGATGGTGAGGAAGATTTCTGAATGGTTTCAGTGGGTGGTTAACAGGAATGCAGACTGGGGTGGGTGTGAAACAGGCTGCTTGGAGGCACAGATCTGTACCTTTGTGAACTGCTTGTTTTTTTAAGCTATCCACATTCGGTAAACTCTGTTAAAAGTCAGCAGACATACAAGCTTTGATCGAACACCTGTTTTCTGAATGGGAATGTAAAACTTTAGAACAGTGCCTGACAATGACAGGGAATGGTAAGTATTCTACAGTCCGGTCCTTTTAATCCCCACATGGAGTCAGTGAGGTCCATAGGAGTCAGGGGCGTATTTAGGGTGACACAGTAGTCTGGTTCAGAATGGAGGAGCAAGTGAGTGGGACCTGCGTCTCCTATTTCCTGCTCTCATCCTCTTTCTGATGCCCGCCATTGCTGTCAGTTTCATGAGCCCTTAGCAGGCTCTGGTTTTGTGCTTGCTGATCACTGAAGAAAACGCTGTGCAGTGTGCGTAGTACACCAGGTTGGAGGGACCAAGGCACAGAAAGGAAGTGAGAATGGAGGCCAGATGCTGCCCCGGTCATGGCGATGAGTCGGTGTGCCTGGCCAGGCCCTCTCTCCTGTCTGCGGGGTCAGATCCAGCCAGCTGTGCATATGCACATGGATAGGGCTTGCTTTGTTAGGAGCAGGTGTTTTGACTCACAGGGCCTGAAATAAAGCGAGCAGGGACTGCTCATAAATCACTTTAACACAAGGAAACGAGTGGAGCGCATTCAGGGCCACTTTCACATGGATGGTAACCCTGGTTTGGCTCTGGGAAGAATTTTTTTTCTTTGTGGTTCTATAATTCTCCTTCTTTGTGGGCTGTAAAACATGTGCTTGAGATTCTCAGGCATTTTCTCCCATGTTCCTGTCTCTGCCTCCGCTGTTCTCAGGAGGCTGAAGTGAGCCAAAGGTCTAGATTAGGGGGGAGGAAGCTCCACACGGCTTTGTGTTCCTGTCACCGAGCTCCCCCAGGGCACGTGGTCGGCATCTTCGTTATGCCCCATTCCTGCCAATTGGTCCCGAATCCATCCCCAGGTCCCACTTCGTCCCTTCTCTGATGCAAATCCTCTGCATGCCCCTAGAATCTCCATTGTAAGTGTCCACTTCACTACCTTCACTGTTAACCTGCTGCTTAGCTCCTCTTATTTCCTCCAACTGTGGAAAATTCCACTTGAAAGCTCCATGTCTCAGTCTTTTGGGGGCTGCTATTATGAAATAACGTAGAATGAGTAGTTTATTAGCAATGACATTTATTTTTCCTGTTTTTGGAGCTGAGAAGTCCAAGATCAGATCACCCCCAGATTCAGTGTCTGGTGAGGACCTTTCCCATTGACCTTCTCTATATCCTTACAGGAAAGGTAAACCCTTGTATCTCTTTAGTAAGGTTACCCATTCCATGCTTAATGATCTCAAAAAGGCTTCACCTCTTGAGGTAATTGCACATATAAATTTAAGAGAACATATTCAGACCATAGCTTCTGAGAACCATCTCCATGGAGCTAGGGAAGGATATTGTAGCATGTCTAATGTCAGGATACACTGGCTTTGAGACCGCCTTCCCCACTGACATCCAGAACATTGCCCTAAGATGTGTTTCCTCCTGCATGGAAGCTCAGCTCTCATCTTTCTTGCCATGAGCCGAGCCTCACCACATGATCGGCACACATGGACCTCTCATTACTAGAATGTGGTTTTCTCAAACCACATGCCATGTCTCTAGGAGTCTTGGGTTTCCTTGAAAATTTTCCTCTTTGATCTCCTGCATCACTGCTGCCAGCTCTGTTCCCATCTTAGCACAGAAGACGATGATATCTGTGGACTACACAGTATAAATCTGCAAGGCTGGTCTTGCCAGAGGCAGCCCACTGTGGGAGTCTAAGGATGTTAATAATCCATTTGCATTATGTTGGTGGAAATTACTCTAAGTGAACATATATCACTGGTTAAAGGTCTCCCTGGCCATATGTTTACAGGTAAAAAATGATAAACATTCCTAGTCAAAGTTCTCTTTATCTGAGTTATATACAGGTAATCCATGCCCTTGTCTCCAGCCCTACGAGCTTTGATACCAGACAGAATTCTGAGCAAGCCTTTATCTTCACACCAATATCTGTTGTCTCCCCTGCAGAAATGCACCAGTGCCGGAGCGACGAGTACAACTGCAGCTCTGGCATGTGCATCCGCTCGTCCTGGGTGTGCGACGGGGACAATGACTGCAGGGACTGGTCTGACGAAGCCAACTGTACCGGTCAGTACTTCCTAGCCTCAGTCACCAGTACTTACCTGTTCATGTGCAAGTTAGCATGCATCCTTACCTGGTCATAGAATCTGAAGTCTGAGGATCATCTTGGACTTTAGAGGCCAACTGATGAGTGATTCTCAGCGGGCTGGGATGAGACAAGGAGCTTGTGCCAGAATATAAATAAAGTCTCAGTAAGGAAAGTGCCGATAGAGCTAAACAGTGTGCGGAGTGATATAGTTGGTTTTATTCTGGTTCACTCATCTCAGTTCTTTGGGTCCAGCAATAAACAGTTCGCCCATCAGCCCCTGGTCTGGGGACCATCCTTGGAGTAGGGCTAAGCTAGATCATGTTTTTCAAATGGAGCATCTCAGGGTCTTCTAAACCAGTACAAGTAAATCATACTTGTGCTTATTTGACATAAAATTCCACTAACAATAAAAATTAGACACATAAATGTAAAGGGAATAACAGGTATAAGAAAAGGACACTGTTCTAATTCTTGCTATAGGATCACTCATAGTATTTTTATGAATCCATGAATGAATTAGTGGTGGCCACCTACATTGTGGTGTGGAGAGTAGGTACTACTTTGCCTCCCATGTACAGGATGGAGCCAACATGCATTCAGGTCGGTAGCCATGTACCTCACATGGGATGCTACGTGACATTACCACATTGCAGCCCCTGAGAAAGCTCCCTCATGTCCTTTCTGGTGTAGTCTCAATGTCTGTGCATCTGCTTCTGGAAAATGCTTTTGTGCACAAGTGTGGCCCATATAGTGGTTGAAGGAGGTGCTGTTAGCCCTGGAAACACACAGAAGCTGACTGGAAGCTTTGGGTTTAGATGGAAAATTAGCGAATGAATTAGAGGGATACACTTGAGCATTTTAGTTTGTGAGTTGCAGTGTGGTAGAACATCTTGTTTGCACAACCCTGTTAGCTAGTCTTGGTTTCAACAGCATGTGCTCGTCTTCCAGAATGAATTACTAACTTCGGTTCTGTGGGCGGGTTTCTCATGCACTCCCACTTTTATCTCTGGCTTTTTCCTGCCAGGGCTCACAGGGAAAATTTATAGTTAATGCCACTCAGCCGCAGCCTCGTTCCCATGGCTGTTTATCCAGGTGTTTTCAGGATGATTCTTCTCATATCAGGATGGTTAGAGACCTGATGTAAGTCCATTATAATGTGTGATGTGATATTTCACTTCCTCATGTATTAAATCAGTGATGTACAATGTCAAAAAAATAAGTCAGGGCTGACCTCCCTTTGCCCTGTTGTGCATACATGCTCTCTGTTTCACTTCCTCTTCTGCTATGCATGAGGGTCTGGGCAGTCTGGATTCCCTTCAACCTACCCTTCTCTGGTTTTGGGCATTGTGTTGGTTACTTTTCTTTCATTGCTGAGATGAAATACCTGCTGCCCAAAATAAAGGGAGGAAAAGTTTATTTAGCTGACGGTTTGTGGAGGTTTCAGTCCATACTCAGCTGGCTCCAAAGCAGAGTGGCACATGACAGAGGGGCAGTGGTTCATGGTGGCAGCAGATACCAAAAGCAACAAGAGAAAAGCCTATGAGAGAAGACTCTTTCTGTCCCTTGTATTGTATCTCAGCCACACCCACTTGGATGTAGCCACGCATATACATTTGATTTCTTTTAGCTACTAGTTTTAGTCATTATGTGTGTGTTCTTAATATTATTCTCCTCTCCTAGATATACAAGCTCTAGAATTCTTGCCTATGATTCCAACACTAAAATACTTACTAAAGTATTATGTATTTTAAAGCACTAAATATTTAGTATTTTAGCTTTATAATTTAAAAATCCTAAAATTAGTGTTCGAAGTACACAGCTCAGGGGTGAGTGCATATCTAGTGTGTATCAGCCCCTGGGTTCCCTCCCCAGAACCACTAAGCAACAAAAGTTTGCCATTTTTTTTCTTCTTAATAATCAAACTTACCTCTCTAGGGACACAACTATTTGCCAGGGATCTTTACTTCTTGTAGTCGGTGGCTTTTTCTGTTATTCTCACAGCACAAATCCAAGAGAAGTAAACTCAAGGTTTCATTAGTGTAACATGTCCTTAACATGTTTCTACTGTTAAAACCACCAGTGGTACATGCATGGGTGTACTACCTGATGGGACTGTCCCTTACCACCCCATAGGTGAATCACTCATGTACCACCAGTGGTTTGGAGCCATCCAGCAGTGAGATGTATGAATTTTGGCCCTGTTGTGAATGTGTTAGTGCTCAATCTTGAATTCAAATAGGCCTGAATTTCAAGATTGATAATAACTTTCTTTAATTACTCTATTTCTTTCTGGTTTCTTATGCCAATTGGAATTCTACTGTGAGATTATCCATTAAAATAACAAGTCTTCGCTCTCCACTTACCTTTATTTATTGCCATTGTTCTGGAGTTTCCCCTACCTCTATGTAGTTATTTTTATTTGTTTGGATTGTATCTTGTTTTCTTTTTAAGGTCAGACCACTTAAATTTCTCATTAATTCTGGGTTATAATATTTTATAATACAGGGATGGCTGTTGGCTACTTTCTCTGGTCTTCTTTTAAGCGATTGCTTTGAGTTATTTGTCTTTTATTTATGCCTCCTGTTTTTATGTTTGCTGTCTCTTTAGGGCTTTGTGCTAGAATCTAAGTTATTTCTTCCCACTTGCTTTCCAGTTTCACAGTTCTCTTTTCATCTAAATCTAATGTGCTGTTTGATATATCTGTTGAGATTTTTATTACCACGATTATAGTTTTTACATCTTGTTTATCTTTTTTCAGATGTACCTTTTCATTTTTTAACGTTTCTCTCTATGCTTTGTTTTGTCTTTTATATCATTAATTATTCAAATTGTGTTTATGTTCATTTTGTTGTTGTTGTTGTGTACTTCCTAATGGTCGAGTGTTTGTAAGAAATGAGACAGTCCTCCTCATTGCTTTTGGTCAGATGTTCTAGGAGGTCCTTGTAAGTCAGGGAAGATATAAATCAGAGAGTAAGTCTAGGATAATGACTTTTATCAGAAACTGATACTCTATCTCCTGGATTCTTTATTCTGTTAGTCCTGCTGTTCCCATATTTATGGTGAATCCACTTGTGCAGAAGATTCTTCTTTTCCTCCCCAAATTCTTGAATCTGGATTAAAATCAATCTCCTCTGTCTTTATAATTTTTTTGAAAAATTAAACATATGTTATTTACTAGGCACTGAAAATCAGAGCCTAATAAATTACTCACGTGATAGAAAATTCCAGAAAAAGAGAACCTCATATGCATTCTGGTCATGCCTGACCACTTGAGCGAAATTGTGCAAACCAATCAATGCTTCTGATCTCAGCTTCTGGGATTGTATCTGGAGATCTCAGATGTGCCTCCCAGAGTTGTCATTTGGAAACCCCACTAGCACTTTGCAATTGTTTTCAGTTGAAAATGAAATGCACAGCCTGAATAATAAGTAGATTAGTATGGCATCAGTTTAGGCGACTTTATATTTTATGAAAGTAAGCAAGGATATAGTGAAAAATTTTATTTTAAAGCTGCCAGACTTGTGACACCAATAAATCAAAAATATTTCCGGTGATGGCTCTTACTGGGGCAGAAACTCATGTAACATGCATGATTCATCTTATCACAGATAAACGTCTTTTTAAAATATACTTAATGAATGCTAAGTGCCAATGGTTGTAAATACTGAAACTTATTTCCATGCTACCAAACTCAGCCTTGGTGTTCCCATAGATGATAAGACACAGTTAATGGATTGCACTTAAGTGTTTCAAAAAGTCAGATGCTTTGTATTTCTAACCATCACAAAATAATAGCCTCAGAGTAAGCCAATTTTCCCAACCCTTGAGCAGTTTATTTCCAGTTATCGCAGTTGAATAGAAAATTGTAGTTGAACAACCCACTTTGGTTTGTTTTGCCTCCTCCTCTGATGAAGACACCTTGTTCTCACGGAAACTCACACAGAGCCTTGCTAGATTATCAGAGCCTCATCCCCACTCGGGTTCAGCGTCCGTGGCTTTGCTGCCCATCATTTCAGATACCTGTGACAACCATAGTCCAAACATTTTACACGGAAAGTTCCAGCAAAAAGTAACTCATAAGTTTTAAGTAACTTTTGTTATTCATGTTGTTATAATTGCTCTATTTCATTTTTTGTTATTGTTAATCTCTTATCGGGTATATGATTGAACTTCATTGGTGTGTCTACCCTGGAGAAACACCATATATGTATGTTTCACCAACAGCCAAAGTTTTAGGCATCCATACGACATCTCAGAATGTTTCCCTGTGGGTCAGAGGATTACTGTGGCTTATTTTATTTTGGTTGTAAACAAGGCCAGTTCTGGCCTTTCTTGAACAACAAATAGACACAAATAGAGGGCAAAGGGGAAATGGGATGCAAAAGGCACTTATAGTGTTCCTGGGTTTGAGGCGGATATTATACACTTGAATCTGGTGGGGTTTTTGTTTTGTTTGGTTTTGATACTGGGGATCGAACCCAGGGCCTTGTGCATGCAACACAAGAGCTCTGGCACTGAGCCACATCCCCAGCCCCTGAACACTGGTTTTTGACAGAGATTTTGCTATGTTTCTAAAGGACATCAGGTGACCTCAACCCATATATGGAAATGAGGTTCACTTGTAACTGATCCTTTGTTTTGCTCCTCTTCCCCCTCCTCCTCCTGGTCCTCATCCTCCTCTATTTGTGTACTGGTCCTTCTCCTCCTCCTCCTCCTCCTCCTCCTCCTCCTCCTCCTCCTCCTCCTCCTCCTCCTCCTCCTCCTCCCCTTCCAGCCGCTTCTGTTCTTCCTCTTCCTCTTCTCTTTCTACTAGTACTTCTCCTCCTCCTCTTTCCCTTTTTTAAAGTGATTGTGATGGACACTATTTATTACCGGTTGGAGGTTGTTCCTCTTGAGTGTCCAGGACACCAGGTTTTTCTAGGAGCTAAGGTCTGTTTTCTTTGAAGCTTTGAATGAACCTTAATGTTTTTTGTGGTCTGAATTTGAAATTGGGTCATTCTTTTTGTTTTTGAGTGTTGTAAATTCACAGACCTTCAGACCTTCTGAGATTGCGTAGATGTCAGTATAAGCAGAAAACTTTGAGCCTTCCTGAGAGTGGTTGGACCAGGTATAGAACTTTATCTCCAGAGCACACACCACCATTCCTTATTTCATAGCACTGGGTGAATAGGAGGACTTATATGAGAGGATAAAGTAGCAACGTGTTACAGAAGAAGTACAGGCTATGATATATAAGTGTGTTCATTTTCCCAAGCCTGTTTCTCATTTGTGGAAATGAGACCTCAGAGAGCTTGGTGAAGAGGGGTGAGTTTGGGCGTGGCATGCAGGCCTGGGTAGTAGCTCCTATGCTGCCGTGTAGCCCACAGCCTGGAATCCCTGCCTGTGGAGAGAGAGCAGCTTCTCCCCCATTTGCCTCAGGTGCCTGAGTCCTTGCAGGTGCGCCAGCAGTTCACACCGTAATCCCTTGGCACAGCCTCATCTCTGTCCACCCCTGATGGTTGATGGGGAGGAGAGGAGTGAAGTGTGACTGTCCCCCTTTTATCTTGGCAGCCATCTATCACACCTGTGAGGCCTCCAACTTCCAGTGCCGCAATGGGCACTGCATACCCCAGCGGTGGGCATGTGACGGCGACACAGACTGTCAGGATGGTTCTGATGAGGATCCTGTCAGCTGTGGTAAGTACTGAGCCTCGCTCACTCTGGAGCTCCCTCAGTGACTGCTCTCAGGATCAGCAGCAGCCGTGCTAGACAAGCCCAAGAGTCTGAGATGACACACCACAAAGCAGTATTCACAGTGCTGTTTGACGCCAACTATTCTTAAGGTTTTCTGTCCTTATCCCTTTGCCAAACCACCCAACATCTAATACGATCATGCTTATCATCTACATGTCTTTATATGGTCTACTTAAAAAAAACAACATGATTAGTACAAGTTTGCAGTGTATAATGGCCGTGTGCATTGCGGGAAGTTGGTTATATGTACATGTACGTAACACATCTTAAGTTGTTTCTATGTACCCCTATTTTCTATGGTTAGCATGTTTTATGGAAGTTTCATATTTAGTTTTTATTGCTACAACCTCTTAGTTGAGTCCTGCCTGGGCAGTTGAGTACTTTTAGTTTTATATTGTTGTGCTGGCACAGTTAATCATGTCCTTGGAAGTGAAAGCTTGTTTTTCTTTTGCAACATTTCCTGGAGCATTGTCTTAGTCACTTTCCTCATCACCGAGTCGTAGTACTCAACACTCCCAGCTTACAGGAGGAGGGGTTTATTTTGGCTCATGGTTCTAGTCCTTGCTGGGTTGACTATAAGGCAGAAACAACACAGTGGCAGAGAGGTGTAGCCAGGAAAGCTGCTCACATCATGGTGGCCAGGAAGCGGGAAAAAAAAGTCAGTACTAGGGAGGGAGACACCCTGCCAGGTCACACTCCCAGGGGCACACCTCCAACCAGGCTCCACCTCCCCACAGCAGGTCAGTGACTATGTCCCCCAAATCTGACCACTGTCCTGTCCTTTGACTAATTTCCTAGGAATGATGACTTTTTCTGGGATTAAAATGCATTTTCTTGCCTTCTATCTAAACCCCTTGGAGCTATCTGCCAAACAATGATTTTGCAAGGCTACAGCTGCCCTGTAGAGCTGATGTTTAATTCTAACGTTGAGCGGTGACAACTGCTCAGAAAAGAGGGTAAACTAGTGTGAGAGCTTCTGATTATTCATCTTGGTTCTAGCTTAATTTCCCCTGGAACTGGTTATGAAATCTCAGGCTTTTAAACAGTTTTTTAGGCAGGGTTTTTCCAAACAGGCTTTGTGTTAGAATTCCTGAAGAATTAAGGCTACAAGTGAGTCAAAGAGATTTAAAAATCTAGGATTTTATAATGGGAATTCATGTCCTCATTTCTTTCTATTCACTGAAACTTTTCTGTTTGGCCTAAAGATATACTTAATTTTTGAATATGTGATACATTTACTTGGTTCACACTAGCAGAAATGCAAAAACACTGCAGTAGAAATTGCTCTTCTGTCTGCCCCATTCTGACCCTATCCTTGTAACAAACCAGGCTTTAATATCTTTTCAGAATATTTTGCACATATACAGTCATGCAGTCCATAATGATATTTCTATCAGCGATACACTACATTTATGATGGTGATCCCATGAGATTGTAATGACACTGAAACTTTCCTATCACCCAGTAATACTGTAGCCTTTCTCAGAGTGCAGTGCTTTACACTCTGAGTGTTTGTAGTGGTAAATAACATACCACACTGCTATTTGTACAGCACATAAAATTACAAACATCATATGATAATTAATAATAAACAACTGTGTCACCAACGGACCTGTTTGTTATGCAATGGATTTTATCTCTGTTGCACAATGCACCCTTCTAATTGCTAGAAGAAAAGTTCACTATAATGACTGGAGCGTGCTCTGCTGCATTGCCCTGGCAGCAGCCTCATACATCTTGTGTTTACCACATCTGTGGAACATCCAGAGAGCATGTTGAGTGATCTGTCTATACCAGCTAGGTCTGTGTAAATATATTCTGATTTTCAAATGTCAAAAAAATCGACTGGTTTCTCAGAACATAGCTGTTGTGGCAATGTATTGCTATATAAACAAAATTTAAATATGCTCTGTATTCTTGTCCTATTTTATGCAAATAACCTTACACTGCATGTGGTTTTTTATCTTTCACATGACCAATGTCTGGTGGAAAAATTTCCATATTGCTCCTTTTTAATCTGGGTGTCGCTGCCTAACGTTCTAATGCACAGTCGTTTATTAAACAGTCCCGTCATGATGGACATGTAGCTGGGTTTTGATCTATTACAACTAGCAATGGAGTGTAACGCTTGTACTTAAAATTAAGGATAGACTTTTATCTTATATGCACATTATTTTTCAGTTGCGTAGGACACATTTCTACATTTGTAGTTGTTGGCTCCATCTTATATGCACATTATTTTTCAGTTGTGTAGGACACATTTCTACATTTGTAATTGTTGGCTCCAAGGATATATACATTTGTAATGTTGCTAATTATTGCCGACATCATAGGGTTAACAAACTTACACCCTGCCTTAAGGGATGTGTGAGTGCCTGCCTATTGCTTCATCATTTGTTGCTGTTGTTGGATTACATTTTAGAGAAGAAGTGCAATGGATTCCGCTGCCCCAACGGCACCTGTATCCCATCCAGCAAACACTGCGATGGCCTACGGGACTGCTCCGATGGCTCGGATGAACAGCACTGCGGTGAGTCCTCTCCTCTTACCAGGGTGAAAGAAGTGTATCAGCTGGGTCAAACCCAGTTGTTTCTCCAGTACCTCTATCCGGTGAGCTTTTGATCCTTGACTGTGGAGTGCTTGGCTAGGATCTAGGAACCGATCAGGCAGGGAGATAAGACTTGGGCAGAGGAGAGCAGGATGAGGGCTGGGGACTGGGATTAGTTTATGCTTGGGTGTTACTGTTTGGCTGCCGCGTACACCTCATTTATACTGAAGATGGTAATTTTTCAACTTTCATGTGACGTTCATATATGTTATGGAGAAAAGGTCAAGAAATAAGAACTGGAAGAGAAAATGTTTTGTTATGTTTGATTGTTGTCAGTGTTCCAAAGCTGGAGCATTAGGCACTGAAGAATTACAGCAAGTCGGCCATTTACTTTCAATTAGACAGTTGCTTCTCTTTGATTGGTTTCATGAGTGTTGCTGATTGTTACTTTAGAAAGCATTTACATGCCAGGTGACTGTTTCCATCCCCAGTTCTCTTTAGGGTACCTTGGGCTAGTGGTGCTCACCCTTGAGTATACAGTGAAATCACCTGCAGAGCCGGAGCCTGGGCATTAACCCAAACATTCTGAGTTGTTTAGCGTGACTTGGGCCTTGGGTTTTTGTTTGTTTGTTTCCATGTATTTCTCACGTGCAGGCCACAGTGAGAAATAATGTGTTAGGTAGGGGGTGGCAACCTGGCTGTGGACCAGATTCTGTTCTTTTACATGAAGTGGTATTGGAACACAGTAACCACTGTTTGCTGATGGATTGCCTGGGCTGATCACATGTCATAGCAATGAAACTGGGCAGCTACAGGAAGCTGTGTGTGTGCAAAGCCTAACATCTTTGCTCTCTGGCTGTGATAGTAAGGTTCTTCATAGAAAAAAAATAAAACAGACATTAAGAGAAAGAGACAGGCAGACAGACAGACAGACAGATGGACACATTTATTATAAGTTCTTGTTTCACATGGGGACAGGCAAATACTAAATTTGCAGAGGGAACTGGCAGGGTGGAAATTCATGGCCAGCTGAGGTCACAGGACAAATCTGTAGGCTCTTGGCCGGAAACCCAGGGGAGAAGCAGCTATAACTCACCCTTGAAGCCACGTGTCTGCTCTGTGCACCCGTGGTCTTTTCTCCCTGTTTACATACCTGCCATCCCTTCTCATGACCTCAGTCCTGTTGGATTAGGGCCCGACTCGGATGACTTCATTTAACCTAATGACATTTTTAAAAGGTTCTCCCTGCAAATGCAGTTACACTTGGGAGTTAGAACTTCACAGTAAGAATTCTGGGAAGAAGGGTAAGCAAAATTCAGTTTACAGTGCTGGTCTCATACAGAAGAGGTTTGCCAGTGCCTGTATTAAAGAGTCAGGGTCATACAGGGAGTTAGATCATGGGCTTTGATGCCGATTAGATCTGACTTTCCCTTTGGCTTCCCCTTCATGAGTTATTTATCCTTGGCACAATATTCAGTGCTGCTCACCCCTGTGTTTTTCATTTTGAAAGCAGAGATGATTAAATCTCTTATCATGTTGAAGGTTTAATGATGCTCTTTATAACAACACTTTAGTGCTGGCCTTGGCACAAAGCAAGAGCTCGATCAACAGTGGTTGTAACTGTTGTTTCCCAAGTGTACACTGGGACCAGTGTCATTTGCCGAGAAGTGGGGGAGCCCAGCTGGCCTCACGCCCTCATGGCCATTTCTTCCCCCGACTTCTCACAGAGCCCCTCTGCACACGCTTCATGGACTTCGTGTGTAAGAACCGCCAGCAGTGCCTGTTCCACTCCATGGTGTGTGACGGGATCATCCAGTGCCGGGATGGATCAGACGAGGACCCTGCGTTTGCTGGATGCTGTGAGTGGGCTGGCAGGGCGGTCATTCATAGGCATGAGTTTGAGCTGCCCTGGAACGCACTTCCAGCACATACAAGTTGCAACAGCACATCTGAGTTTGCCTTGTCTGAGTTACCTTCCTTAAGAAGGCTGCTTTTTAGCTGTTAGTGTTTGCATGAAGGGATGAGGTCCCTTCTAATGGATGACCATGGTCTTGGCTCAAGTGTCACCTTATCCAGAGGCCTTCCTGAGCACTATGTACCCAGTACCCAGTCTCAGTACTCCCCTACCTGTTCCTAAGGTCTGCACAGCACCTTCCCTTCATTTTTGTACTGTGTATTTATTTTACTCTCTACCTCTCCTGCTAGAATACGAGTCACCGAACAGGGGCTTTGTTTCATCCATTGACATGGCCCCAGTCCTCAAACAGTGCCCTGCTTATAACTTGGGCTACCATAGCAGAGTGCCACAGATTAAAAGACTTGCATAACAGAAGTATATTCTCTTGCGGTTCTAGAGACCAGAAGTCCAAGGTCAAGGTTGGCAGAGTTGCTTTCCTCTGAGACCTCTTTCTTGACCTGATAGATGGCCACGTTCTCCTTGCATCTCTGCATGGCCATTCCTCTCTACGTGCCTGTGTCTGGATTTATAAAAATACCAGTCATATTGGATTAGGGCCCACCCTCGTGCCCTCCTTTAAACTTTAATTAGCTCTTTAAAATTATGTCCAAAACAGTCACTTGTTTGAAGTACTGGGGATTAGGACTTCAACCTATAAATTTTGGAAGGATAAACTCAGTCTATAATAGTACTCATAAAGTTTTACAGAATGGATTAATTAACCAAAGGTGTTTTCTATTAAGATTGAGTTTGCTCTTCTGTCCTCTTTCCGAGGCAGCACTGTTGCCATGAGCTCTCCAGTGCAGAAGTAATCTGGACTGACAGATGTTTGTTCCTTATGCAGCCCAAGACCCCGAGTTCCACAGGGTGTGTGACGAATTTGGTTTCCAGTGTCAGAATGGAGTGTGCATCAGTCTGATTTGGAAATGTGATGGAATGGACGACTGTGGCGATTACTCTGATGAAGCCAACTGTGGTGAGTTCAGATCTGCCTCTGTGTGTCCTGGCCTTCGGGTGACAGTGGGACCTGAGGTTAAGGAGAAAAGGTTAGCTAGAAATCACCCTGCGGACTTCGTATTCTTCTTCCTTAGCATTGCCTGCTGCAGTTCTCAAATCCCCCGTGAAAGAACTGAGTGAAGCAGGAACCTCAGATCTTGTAGGTGCCAGGAAGGTTTTTATTTCATTTTCTGTCCTTTCTCCAGTTAGGAGGATGACGCTGTATCTAGAGAAGGTAGGCTAGGTGAGGACTCGGGCATGTTACAGAGTGTGCTTTTTCTTCCCCAAAGTTACAAATTACAACACAGCTGAGTTACCACCAGTACTTAGGTTATTCCTTCAGTGAAAAGGTGAAATAAAAACTCACGTGATTGCTCCAAGAATACCAAAAGGTAGAGCAGAGGAACAAGAGCAGAGGGCTGAGACCCGAGTGCCGTTGCCCTTGGGTCCTCGGGAGGGGCAGTGCGGGCGGCCCTGGACTCGGGCCTCGAGAAGGAGGTGGACAGGAGGTGCCTAGCATCTAAACTGCCTTGGGGGACATGCTGAGGGTGTGATTGGTTTCTGCAGAAAACCCCACAGAAGCTCCAAACTGTTCCCGCTACTTCCAGTTCCGGTGTGAAAATGGCCACTGCATCCCCAACAGGTGGAAATGTGACAGGGAGAATGACTGTGGAGACTGGTCTGACGAGAAGGATTGTGGGGGTAAGAGGGAGGCCCCCCGGGGGCTGTGGGGGTAACTGGCCAACCACGCTGTCATGACACACTGGAGCAGTCTCACCTGTCTGCGTCGAATCTAACTTGGTCTCTTGAGTGCCTGCTTTATTCCTTATGTTTTTCGATTTTTTTTTTAGAGTTGTGACCTTGAGATTTTTTGACCTCTTCTCTTTCGTTTTGCAATCAGAGAGATTGTTTTCTCCTGTTTCCAAGGGTATTCTTTGCAGATTTAGCAGGGCACAACCGGTGGTTTACAGCATTGCTGCTCAGCACGAGGTCTTTGAGCTTGTTAGACATGGAGAATCTCAGCTGAGAGCGGTGGTGCAGGCCTGTTAGCCCAACACTTTGGGAGGCTGAGACAGGAGGACGCAAGCCCTGGGCAACTTAGTGTCTTACTGAGACCCTGTCTCAAAATTTAAAAATTTTAATAAAGGATTGGAGTGTAACTCAGTGCCAATATCTTGGGTTCAATCCCGAATAACACACACACACACACACACACACACACGCACACACACACACATGCACAAGTGCAAAATCTGTGGCCCTGCCCCACATCTCCGGAATGCGAATTTGCACTGTGAAAGGTCCCTAGGTCCTGCTTACGCTGTGACACACAGAGAAGCACCGACGAGGAACATGTGCCTTTCTTACTTCCCTCTTGGTGTTCTCACCTTCAAGGCAGGTCCTGCGGTCAGCGTGATGAATTAACTGCGTCAGTGGGGCTTTCCCAGCCATCCTGTGTCCTCCAGGCCCCCTGTTCTTTCCATCAGACCTCACAAGTCCCTGCAAAGATAAACTCACCCCACAGTTAGCTTGTATCCATCTGATACTATGGTAACTCTGCTCCCCAAAAGGCAAGCGGATGCCCTACTCTGACTCCCCATTGTAAGCGATTTGCAGATGGGCTGCTGTTCTGAGCCTGTCACTGGCCTCTGGGCTTGAGTAGCTAAGACTAGGACATGAGCTGTAGGTTTGGGACCCATTTTGGTCTGAGGTCAGATTTCTAGTAATGCTCTGGATCTTCTCGCTTGGTCTTCTCAGATTCCCACATTCTTCCCTCCCCCACACCTGGGCCCTCCACGTGTCTGCCCAATTACTTCCGCTGCAGCAACGGGGCCTGTGTGATGGACACCTGGGTGTGCGACGGCTACCGGGACTGCGCAGACGGCTCGGATGAGGAAGCCTGCCCCTCGCTTGGTGAGCCCCGTCCCTGTGCCCCTCCTGTGGCTCCTGCTGTGGGGAGAGGACTTCTAGGAGCACCCCACCGTGCTTCTCCCCAACACTGGGGAGGCAGGCAGACTTCTGGTGCTGCTCCTGGGGTAGAAAATCAGGGGAGCCTGAAAGGCAGCATCTCATTTCCAAACTGCCCTCCGAACTGCCCGCTGGAAGAGGCCAGGCACCTGCTCCCCAGCCCTGCTGCGGCCCGGCGGCCTCTGCTTCCTTCCCAGTGGGAAATTGCAGTTGGAATGATAGAAGGCTTCTGTGTATTAAACTCTCACGGGACAGGGCCCAATTTTCCTGTTTGCTGGCTGGCTGGCCTGTGCTGGTAAAAGAAGAGTGAACACTGCCATCTAGTGGCTGAACAGGGGGCAGCTGCAGGGCTGGGCGGGAACCCGCAGGGCTGGGCAGGAACCACAGGGCTGGGCAAGGTGAGGCGCTGGCTGCTCCGGATCCCACCTGCTTGGGGTGTGCTCTCACCTCGGGCAAAAAGTGTATGACGCTGGGTTCCTCCCTAAGCGGCAGCGTGTTTTGAACAGGACAGCATAGAGGCTTGTTAGCCATGCTTTGTATAATCCTTGTCCTAGCAGACATCTAATCATCTGATTCTCTCCCTGGATAACTGTACTTCCCTGCTTAAAAATCACCAATACTATCATCTTGTTCTTCCTACATCAATTCTTGATGCGTATTACAGTTTCCAAGGCCCGATGTGCACCAGCTCTTTCTTAGCTCCCTTAATACTTACATCAGCCCTGCTGAACCCCTCATCCGTGCCAGTTGGACTCAGTTCCTTCCCAGCTGTACGTCTGCAGTGAGGCTTCTGCCCTTAGCAGAATCTCCTGGGCCCTCTACCTTACTCTCCTGCTTCTCCTGTCTCCGAAACCCTCCACCCATCAAGGCAAATTGAAGCCTGGATTTTATAGAGAAGAGACCTTGCTATGTTATAAGTATTTCTTAAAGTACGGCCCATTGACTACCTGTAACAGAGTCACCTGAGGTGGGTGAGCCTAGGAGATCCCCGTGGGCTTCTTAGGGTCACTGAGGTTGAGATTCTTGTTTGAAACCCCACCTCCAGGGAGCTTTCTCTGACTCCCTTAATGGATATGTAGGTGTTTTCCAGGATCATTGGCTTTACCTTGGCTCTTTTGATTCTTAACTGTGACCCGCCCTATGTAGTCTAATTTTTTCACATGTGCAGACCTTTTTTTTTTTTTTCTATAAGAGTTATGTGGAGCTCCTGCCTTGGAATCATCTGTATACAGCTTAAATCTTTTGCGGTATCTACCACTATGATAGGCAAATAGTTGGTACCTCATTCATGCTTCTCAAACTAAAATGAACTACAAAAAGAGAAATCTGTTACCTCTGTCCTTCACTTTCAAGGCCCATCTGTCTATTGAGTAACTTGTTTATCCCTCTCTGAACGTTGTTTTTGATTATTGAGACTCTGACCAGGATATTAGCATACTCTAGCAAATTCTGACTAATCGAGTGAGTAAACCCTCAGTTGTATGTCTCATTCTGCTTTTGTGCCTTCTTTCTGTGTAGATCTTTGGTATAAATTTAAACTTGGTGTTGTCTCCCAGTGTCACTTTTTATTTCTTTAGTGTAGAAGTTTCCTAAGTGGTTTCACATCCTTATTTCTCTCTTTCATCTTGTCTTCTTGGGAGACTCATGCTGATATGTGATCATAGCTGTCCCCACTCTTGGGGCTTTCCTATGGCTCCTTTACTGTCCAAAAGTAAGTGGCATCATTTGTTGTGGCTTAGCTTTCTAGGACCTTGGTAATTTTAGAGTTATCTCTGAGACTGATCCATATCCCCAGAGAGAATTCCTACAGTCTCTTGCCTATACAACGGAGATTTTCTTTATGAAGTTTTTGGAACAAGAAATGAGATCTTCACATTCTGCTGTCCGTAGGCTTAACCCCAGGTTTATAGGAAGAGGGCTCTTGCTCCCACTATGCCTCTCTGAGCAGCTCTCTATTTTTATTCTGTTCACATGACAGCCTTCTGGTCGTCTATCAGGATGAGCTCTGTGGGGATGGTCTCCTGGGGCTGTTAGGTGGAAGGGATGCAGGGCATGTGGCCACTATTATGTTGTTTTTGTTTATGTTGTTATGTTGCCTGCGAGGTAAGCATTCTACCACTGGGCTATGCTCTGAGCCCCTGTGGATGCTCATAAACATCTTGCAGTTGGTTCCTTTATTTTACTCCCCCCTTCTTCACCCCCAGTTAAAAGGAGCCACTTTCTGAACTTTGTAAGGGATTTGTAGTATTGAACTGGTTGGTTCTTTTTTTTCTCCTCTTACATCTCAGAGGAGGATACAAACGTCTTTCATCTCCTTAGACACTTGCCATGGTCTGTCTGCTGTCCAGCTTCCTAAATTTCATTATTTTTGTGTATTTTCCTATTATCCATGCCCTTGTGCGTTTAGGTCTTTAAAACCAGTCTCTGAACTTGGTCTCTGCTGGGTCCTATGAGGGAGCAAATTAGGTGTCAGCATCCAATCCACTGTCTTGGTTCAGAGGTCATACTTGACTTCAGGCTCTAATAGCAACCCCTGATGCACTGTGATTTCCTAACATGTCGAGTTGATGCTGTTACTGCCGAGCTCCTCAATACTAACGTGTGACTTTTTATAATCTCTTTTCTAGCGAATGTCACTGCCCCCTCCACCCCCACCCAGGTTGGGCAGTGTGACCGATTTGAGTTCCAGTGTCACCAACCCAAGAAGTGCATCCCCAACTGGAAGCGCTGTGATGGCCATCAGGATTGCCAAGATGGCCAGGATGAGGCCAACTGCCGTGAGTAGTTAGAGAGCGCCCAGCCCAAGGCAGCCTCGAGAGAGCTGTCAGAGAGACAGAGACAGAGACAGAATGAGAGTGGGAGTCCACGCACTTCAGTGTAACTATACTTTCATAGTATGCTCTCAGGGACTTTATGGCACAAATCCACATCATATTATATGGTAGTCACATTTTTAAAGTAAGTTGCCTGGCTAATTTTAAATATCAGGAACAGATCCATTAAAATTTTTTTCTGAATGAATGAGAGAAATCAGGATTTTGCTCTGAATTTCAACTGACTGAGATACCCGTGGATAAAGCCATTACCTTTCATATACGCATCCATTCTTCTAGATGTGTTTAGCAAGCATGTATGAGGTACAGAGACCGTACTTTTTAGGCAAGATCACCTCCAGCACCTCGTTAAGAAATTTAGCCTTAGCCCCTGGAGTAATTCCAGTTGGTGAGTCTGAACCCAGTGTGGGAAAATGTGCCCACTGTCTGTGGGTTCTGATTTGAGACAATTGTCAGACAGAATAAATCTCGACTCCTGCTTCTCCGGTGTCTCCAGAGAGGACTCGTGGAGTAGATGATAGAGGGAGACTATGGCTCTGTGAGCTCACTGAGGGTCACAGTGTGAGCTCAACAAGGGTGTCCTACATCTCAGGAGGACGGTCAGAGGGCAGGGGGTAAAAGTAGACCACCTGGAGGTCAGGATACAGAGATGAGGCCATGCATTTCCTCCTTATCCAAAAGACAGTGTTTGGTTCCCTGGCTGCACACAAAATCCACCTCTGGTCTGATAGGTAGGACTATAGTGATTTGGGAAATGGGTGGCCAAGGAGTGCCCATCCACCCGCCATCCACTTGCCACTTGATGATGGACATTGCTGCAGGTTGGGGCTCCCTCCTTTTGGGGGTCTCCTCTCCATCTAGTGACTTACTGACTACAGGCAGGAGATGTGCCAGCCAGTCACATGCCCTTTACTGCCAGAAAGGGCTTTCATCTATGTCTGATTTATCCTCCAGTGAGCAGAGAGTAGCACAGAGGGACCCTGCTCTCAGCAGAGAGCCTTCCCTACCCCTAACGCAAGCAGAAGGTATCTCCGTTCCTCTTCTTTGATCCCTGTTCTGGTCCCATTTCTCTCTATAACACTTCATAAGTGAAAATTGAAACCCGAAATGGAACTCCACCAAATGCTACCAGGTCAGGGTAGACTAGGATTGAAAACAGAGAATGTTAGTTATCCTTAATTCTTCTAACTCTGTTATGAAATTTACATAGTAACAGGACCATGTAAGAGGTGCTTATGAAAAGTGTTTTGGTCTTCTTTAATCACTGAATCAGGAACAATTGTCAGAGGACGTCAGGAATCCATCTGTGTGTGATTCTCAGCATCAGACAAGTGGGGAAGATTCTGTGCTATCCTAGGTATTTGGTGTGTGTCTGGTAACATCGTCAGTCTGGTTGGTGAATAGTCGTTGATCGCACAGGATGTGCAGGCACAATCAGGCTACTGAAGACACCGATTCTAGTGGGCAGAACATGAGTCCTTCATTGCTTGGGGAGGATCCTATGGATGGAGGGGACAGTATGGGGGCGACAGTAATAGAAAGTCTCTTCAAGGAACTGATGTAGCGCAGAGATCTCACCATCTTCCTGGAGAGGTGAGAGCTGGTCAGGAAAAGCATCCAGCTGATGACTCGTTTATTTTAAGAAATATTTTTCTACTATGTTACCCAGGGTAGCTCTGAACTCTTGGACTCAAGTGATCCCCGAGCCTCTCAGCCGAGCAGCAGGGACTACAGGTGCACCCCACGCTTCTCAGCTCTGAAGGAGTATTAATGGGCAACAGTGAGGCAAGGTGACAGATGACAGACATCCTAGGGACAGCATGAACACCCAGAGGCTCAGAAAAAAGGTCTGAGGAGGGCCATGGACAGGGCACAGGTTGAGTGCAGAGAGACAGGCAGGGGCTTGGGCAGGGCATCCACAGTAGGTCTTTATCCTTCTGGTCCTAGGGAACCATTGCAGATTTTAGCAGGAGTGGGAGTGTCCTTACATTTTAGATCACTCGGACTTTGTCATGAGAGGATCTGGGTTAGAGGAGGATCTGGGTTAGAGGAACGGGGTGAGATTGGAATCCAGTGCCATTGAGGAGACCACTGTGATGGGACTGCAGAGGTGAAATGGAGGAAGTGGACCTTGGTATATCAGGGGCTGTGGCCACTGAGGAAGGCAGAGTGAGGTCCCCTGCTCTGGATGACTGGAGTACCGTTGCTGCCAGTCAAGGGTGGGATGCCAGGCTTCCTTGTGCAGGGCTGGGACCGTGGAGGGCTCACTGACTGGCAGTGGAGGCTAGGCTGGGGAGAGGCTGTCTAGAGGGTAGATCTGTCATCGTGGGAGTTGTTTTCATCCTGCTTATGTGGTCATCATTGTCGGGGGCTCTTCCACATGATCTCCAGTGAATCTTTGCCAGGCTCCACACTTCTGTGGTTCCCCGGAACTGTCTCTACAGTGATCAGCCTGTGGAGACAGGTTTCAGTATGTCCTGGAGGTCTTCAGAGGCTGCTGACTTGAGACAGAAATTTTGTCTTAGCCAAGTTCTTAACCTGACAGATGAAACTTTCTTGTTACCCAGTGTAAGTGGAGTTTGTTTTTTTCACGTGCACTTTTTCTGTGTGGGTTGCCAGGCTCCCCTCAATTGTGCTGCTTTTCTTCTCCACAAAAGTCACTTGTGCTTTTGTGTTGTTTGTCTGAAGAGGTTTTCTTTATCCAAAATCAAGGAGTTGGTAAGTTGCTCCGTAGGGGTTTTTTTTTTTCACGAAATACCCTGTAACTTTTGCCAATTCCTCATTTTCTAGGCTAGGTTGATTTGTTTTGTTTGCTTGCTGTTTAGGAAGATGGTAAGGTGCCCCATTAATGACATCCTCAGTTATCAGGAACCAAGTAGAGGCGGGTACATTTTGGGGATGAACTGTACACCAGTACACTTGCTTCTAATTATCTGGAACTCAGGAACCAAAAAGCCTCTGACTGTATTGCCTATTAATATGTTTTTCATTGTTTCACCCGTTGGCTTTCTTGCTCTTGGCTTTTATTTTTCTCTTTACTTTATCATACATGGTCTTCTTCAGGCTGCTTCTACTTTGCTCCTTATGTTTGCTGTTGTAATGTTCCACTTACGTTTCAACTTTGTGATTTGGTATCATTCCATTTTAGAGATGAGAAAACTAAGATTTGAAGAGGACCACTTAGTAACAGACTGAGATATTTACTTAGGTAAAGACTTGTGATCTTTCCATCGTGTTATTTGTATTGAAAGTCCTTAGGATGGAAGGGTACACCACACATAAATTGAAATTTTAAATAGGGATTAGTGTAACATTTTATGCTTGCATTAAAAGAAAGAAAAAGTTGACCCTTAGAAATTAAAGCAACATGACAGGTTGATCCTACACTCACCAAAACGACAATAGGAAATATTTGAGCCCCATAACTGCACATTAAGATGAACGTGAGAAATAATTAATAAAGAGAAAAAGAAATAGAATCACCCTCTTGGGTGCTAGTAACGCGTTAAATATTGAATGTGTGAGCCAGTATCTCCAGTCTGTTTGAAATCCGTCTTGTTCGCAACAATGGTATTTAGTTAAGGGACTTAATATCAAGATGTGCCGTCACCACATTTTGGTTTTGACACGGTTCTTCTGAGAGAAACTGATGGCTACTGCATTCTGTGCTAAGCGTCCATCAGTCATCTCTTTACTAATCAGCTTCAGAATTTTCAGAGAGGACTTTCCCGATTCTGAAACTTTTTGCTTTTAAAGTTTTGAGATATGTTTTATAAAGAAGTCCGAAACATTCTTCAGCCACCTGACTCATCTGTTGTCTGCTGGTATTTTCTCACATTCTTAGCAATTGGAAGACTTGGGGGATGATGATCTTGTATTTTTTTTAAACAATCCCCTTCTGAGCAGCTGCTCACCCTGACTATAAAGTGGTGCAACCCACTCGCCCTTTAACTCACACTCTTTTTTATGTTTCTCTGTAGCTCTTACACCATTCTTAACATATTTGTTGGTTGACTTGTTTGTAGTTTCTTTCAGTGGACAATAAACTCTCTGAGGGTAGGTCTCTGTCTGTTTGACACATTGTCATATTCTTAGTGACCTGATTTATGGTAGATTCTTCATCAGTGCTCACTGCACAGATGGGTGAATTCTATCTTGGATTCCTAAGGCCATTATAGGAGTACTTCTTTAACCATTTTTTAATAGTGCAACATGCTGTTATATGTGGTACACTCAGACACTTCCGTGAGACAAACCAATGTCAGCTCAGCATGGAATGGATTTCTGTAATATAATGAACATTATCCAGTTTCTCTGCCTGTGTCTCAAAACATGTGGCTAGATTGGGCCCGCCTGGATAATACAGATCAATTTGATCACATCTGTGAAATCTCTTTTGCCATATAAAGTAACCTATTATTTAGATTACAAGGATTAGAATATGAAAATCTTTGAATGAAGCCAGTATTAGACCCTACTTACTGATGGTATTGGGTCTCTGATGTCACCAGAGTAATGGAAGGGTGAGATACCTCAGCCTGGCTCAGATCCCTTGGGGTAGCAGATCCAGGTCTTGTAACTGGTCCATTCTGTCCTCTCCATGAGCATCATTTCTTTTAGAGCCTCCCCTGCTGGAGAGAAGCATTTGACTAATAGCCTGCCAGCGAGTTAACTGTTCACCTACCACAGCTCTTTATCTTGTGTTATTTCCTTTTCTGTGAAAATACTTTTGAAACTTGAACAATTAAAAACCACTTTACAAGTAGGTGTGCATCTTAACATTGTGATTCACCTCATTATTTGTGTCACTCAAATCAGAAGTCAGAGCACCATTCTAGACCACCAGCTAATAGGGATAGAGTAATTAGTCTTATAGAGGAATGGGTGCAAATTGTTGACACCTGCCAGGAGCCAGGCACTGATGCAGGTGCCTGATCTCCTTGGATCCCACAGATGAAATAGCCGTGAGATTGTCACCGCAGCTTTAATAGCTTCCTCAGGCTCACGCAGAATGACAGCTTATGCCCTAGTTTGTTTGACTCAAGAGCTTACATCCTCCCTGGAACAAGAGTCAATTATTCTGTTAAATAAAATGGTACCACAGTGCAAGGCGAGATTCTGCTCATTCCAGAGATGTGCTTGGAAGCAGAAGCCAATTAGTTCAGGAAGGTTTCAAACTATTCTTCCCAAACAGTCTGATGAGGAAACCACGGCACTTTCTCTGTGGGTTTAAGAGGCTCCTTGTGTTCCAGCCACACACAGCACCTTGACCTGCATGAGCAGGGAGTTCAAGTGCGAGGACGGCGAGGCCTGCATCGTTCTCTCGGAGCGCTGCGACGGCTTCCTGGACTGCTCGGATGAGAGTGATGAGAAGGCCTGCAGTGGTGAGCACTGGCCACAGGCTGGGCTGGGCTGTGGGGGGCTCACCTGCTGTTGGAATGACAAGCTGGGACCTTTGAGAAATTTTGCAGCCTCTGAAAGTGAAAGAGATGCATACCCAACTCCGGAGCACCAGGTGACATTCCTGTGCCTTGCTGCTGCCTGCTCCCTATTGATGGAATTCTGGTTTAGATTTGTTTTCTGGGGAAGACGATGCCATTGTACCATTGTTCACAGAGCCAGGCTCCCCATCAGTTCAGTCCTCTTCTCTGAACTGCAGTTGGTACTAGATTCTGCTGTGGCGTTGTCCTTGGACTTGTAGCATTCTCTGTTGAGAATCAAACTTAAAATGCAGGAAGGAAGTGACATGCAAGGAAAATTAGCAACCTGACTCTCCCTAGGGAAAGCTGTAAAGGAGATTTTAGCTGCATTTTCTAGAATGTCTTTTCAGATAGTGATTATGATTTTCTGACAATTTAGATCATGGTAGCTCTATGGGAAAGCTCAGATCTTTTCAAATCCAAGGATTTGTAATACCTAAGTTTCTGTTCTTTTCCGCCTTTGTTTCTTTAGATGAGTTAACGGTATACAAAGTACAGAATCTTCAGTGGACAGCTGACTTCTCTGGGGATGTAACTTTGACCTGGATGCGGCCAAAAAAAATGCCCTCTACTTCTTGTGTGTATAATGTCTACTACAGGTGGGTCTCATCTGTCCCCCAACATTCATCTTCACTGAATGTTCCATAAACTGTGATGTTTATAGTGAGCCACTTTATTGGCAAAGTTATGCATCTCAGCCACACGTCGCTGCTTTGTTGTGACAGTATCTTGGTTCTTTCGGTCAGAGTGGTTGGAGAGAGCATATGGAAGACTCTGGAGACACACAGCAACAAGACAAACACTGTATTAAAAGTCTTGAAACCGGATACCACATATCAGGTTAAGGTACAAGTTCAGTGTCTGAGCAAGGCACACAACACCAATGACTTTGTCACCCTGAGGACTCCAGAAGGGTGTAAGTGTTATACTTCGTGTGTCTGATATTTATAAGAGCTTAGTTTCCCCAAGGCTGCTCGAGGGTCATGCTGAGTTGTTGATCATTTATTCTCCTTGTTATGGCAGAGAATGTTCTTGCTCCTTGAGAAGTTAATTTTAAATTCTCTCTACTACTGTGCTAATTGCATTTCTCAGACAGTTTTGTCCTCTACATTTTTTCTCTAATATTTTCCAGTATTTGATACTTACTAGTTCACCATCATTAAAATATGAGGCATATCAGCAGTTTTGTGGCTAGATCTTAAAGAAATTTACCAAATTTATGTGTCTAAGAGCGTTCTCTCCTCCTTTCTCCTGAATGTAGTTGACACCTGTGACTGTTTGCTTGTTTTTTGTATTTTTCCTGTGTCTGCAGTGGTGTAATTGTTAGACCATGGGATAACTGGATTGGTAGATTTTTAAGACATTTACAAACTCGTTTCTGTAATGGTTATGCTAATTTATATTTCCTCCAAAGTTGAGGTGAATTCCCCTCTCTCTGAATCTTTGCCAGCTTTTGTTATAGTTTCTCTTTTTGGTAATCGCCATGCTAACTGAAGTGAAATGATGTCTCATTGTAGTTTTAATTTGCATTTCCTTGGTGATTAATGATGCTTATATTTTGCTCATTCTTTTTGGTTATTTGTGTGTCTTCTTTTGAGAAATATGTATTTCAATCTTGTCAATTTTTTAAGCAGATTTTTGTTACAGGTGATCATTTGAATTCCTTGTATATTGTAGACATTGATTCTTCACTGGGTGGATAGGTTGCAAATATCTTCCATCCTGTAGATTGTATCCGCACCACCAATTGGTTTTCAGTTCGCCGTAGGCTCATGTGTTCATTTTTACTTTCAGGGTTGGTAATGTTTGAGGTCATGTTAAAAAGTCTTTGTTCAAATCAGTGTCCTGAAGCATTTACCTCATTCTTCTGTTAGTTGTCATAGTTTTGGGTCTTACATGTAAGTCTTGGTCTATTTTGAGATGCTTTTGTACATGGTAAATGATAGGAGTTCCATTTCATTCTTCTCAGTTTCCCTAGCTCTCTTTATAGATGAAACAACAGTACATATTTTTTCCTCAGTGAATGTTCTTGGTGCCTTTGTCCAAAAAGTCAGTTGGTGTAAATACATAGATTTACTTCCGGATGCTTTATTTTTTCCATTGGTCTGTGTGTTTGTTTTTATAACAGTACCATACTGTTTTGGTTACTATAGCTTTGTAGTACAATTTGAGCCTAGGTAGTATGATGCTTCCAGCTCCCGCCCCCCTCCCTCCTGAACTGCTTTGGTTATTTGGAGTGTTTCAAAAAAAAAAAATTTAAGAAGTTTAAAAAAATTCTGTGAAGAATATGATTTGTTTTTTTGATGGCACCATATTTGTGGTTTACTTTAGTATCCACAGTTTAACAATATTCTTCTAATCCATGAATATGGAATGTCTTAGTATTTTTCTGTTCTTTAATTTCTTTCATCAGTGTTTTGTAGTTTTCATTGTAGAGATCTCTCACCTCCTTTGTTAAATTTATTCCTAGGTTGTTTTGTGCCTATTGTAAATGATATTACTGATTTCTTGGGGTTTTTTCCAACTAGTTTGTTTTTATTGGTGTATAGAAATACTGATTTTCATATGTTGATCTTGTGTCTTGCAACTTTGCTGAATTCAGTCAGCACTTTTAACAGGTTTTTGCTTAGTTCTTAGGTTTTCTGTACATGAGATCAGATTGTTTCTAGCCAGGGGGAGGCTGACTTCTGAACTGATTCTTTTCTAGTGCCAGATGCCCCTCGAAATCTGCAGCTGTCCCTCCACAGGGAAGCAGAAGGCGTGATTATCGGACACTGGACCCCTCCCATCCATGCTCATGGGCTCATTCGTGAGTACATTGTAAGTACCTTCTATTTGTTGCAGTGAATATCAGAGAGTTAGAGATTGCTAGGTGTTCTGTATGACTAAGAGTTGATTTGGTGTAGTTTTGGTGAGTTTAAGAATTGATTTGGTGTAGACTAATGGCCCACTGATAAGAATATTTCATACTCTGCTTTCTACTCTTTCCGTTGACCTCTTTGAAGATAATAGAGTGTTCCATCCCTCTGATAACCTTTTGCTCATATTTTTCTTCTTATTTTAGGTAGAGTACAGCAGGAGTGGCTCCAAGGTGTGGGCGTCTCAGAGAGCTGTTAGTAACGCTACAGAAATAAAGAACTTACTGGTCAATGCTCTGTACACGGTCAGGGTGAGTGTCCATCTGGGCAGTCTCAGAAACCAGTGAGATGTTTGCATGTTATAAGAAGTCTGTGCTTACTTTTAAGAAATACATATTAGTAGTCTGCAAAATGCTTGGCTTCCTGTGCTAAGGAAAATCAGACTTCCCTCAGATAACCAAAACTTTATGATAATGCAGCTTTACCCGCTTGTAACCCAAATATCCTATTAGCTTTCCAACACCTGTACTTTTGCACTTACCTCTCTTCTGCTTATCTTTAGCTACAGGATGATTCAGAACTATGATAACTGGCATTTACAAACTTATTTGATGAGATGCTTATGTACTGTAATGTCATCTTTAGAGAAAAGAAAATAGATTTTGTGACAAGCGTGTTTGTTGGAATCATTAAATACTTACACTCCAGAGATTCCCTTGCACTGAAAATTTCTCCAGTATTTCTCTTAATGTGTGTTTATGGATATAGAATTTAGAATTTATATGTATGAATATACACACCCCTGCCCTTTAGAAGAACCTTGACATCTGTCAATCAAATGAGGCTCCACAATCTTAAGGCTACCATAATTGCTTTTATCCAAGTTCCTTTCCTTTGTCTCTTACCCCTCTTTTTTCAACTGTGGAATAGTGAATCTGAATATTTTGGGTCACTCTGTATATAATTTTTACCCTCACTGCCAAAATCTTACCATTGTAGCTCATTCATAATTCTTGCTGTGTAGTATATTAACTCTATTTCATACTAATTCACATTCTGATTTGAAAAGGTGGCTGCGGTGACTAGTCGTGGAATAGGAAACTGGAGCGATTCTAAATCCATTACCACCATAAAAGGAAAAGGTAAATGATTCCAGCATTTGCAGATTTAGAAAAGAACCCCCCCCCCTTTTGTTTTTGGCACCAGGGATTGAACTCACGACCTCGCACTTGCCAGGCAGGCACTTATGCTGTTGAGCTAAATCCCTGACTCCAAGAACCCTTTTGAAAATGACCTTCAATGTGACTGGAAAGGGGAAGCATGGATGAGAAACTTCACTCCTTTCTCCCTGACGCTTGCACACTGCTAGGTATTTCTGTGGTGTTTTAGAGACAAAGTCTTTTGGGGTGACTGTTGACTGCATTTTTGCTCCTACAATTGAAGGAATTTCCAAAGGCCATCATGCCTACCCCTTTGTGAGCATATACAACATCTAAACCAGAAGGAGTCTGAGTTCTCCTTAAAGATAATGGTGGCTTTAGGTACAGCCCACTTGTGGTGCTTTGGAGAAAGCTCCATGGTAACACTCGAGACTCCCAGTGCCACCAATGAACGGTGTCAGTGGTGATTCCAGGAGTAGGGCTGGTCTTCGGGCACTCTGCAGACTGTATACTGTGCATACATCAGCTTGCCCGGCTGATCCTCTGCACACTGCAAGGTCATATAAGGGAGTGGAAAGAGGTATATGTCACTTGTCCCAGGCCACATAGTCTGGGACGAGGACCCAGCGCACCTGACTGTGAAGCCTGTGCTCTGAACCATTTTGCTACATGCTTCCCTCTGGGCTAAGACGCCTGGACCCCACTGGGCTGCTCTGCTTGCTGGGGTGGCGGGCTGTCCTCCTGCACCTGTATCTCACAAGAGCTGTGATCTGATCTCTTTTTCTCTACTCTATCACTGGTGTCGAGTGCAACTGAAGAAATAGCTGGTGGATGAGTGAACTGAAGCAAATAAATGAGAGATTCGGGCTCATGTCGGGGGATGAACCATGAGAGGTCCTCCCGAGGAAGGTTTTCCTCATCTTCATCTTGGCTCTGGCACTTTCGTTTCTAGATGTGAAGATATTCAAACCAGATGAGCACAGTGGTATAGAATGTGATTCGGAGTTTACTTTAACCCAAACCTGTGACGTAAGCTCTGAGTCATCGAGAGTCATTCTTCGTTCCTTTATAGTCTAGAATGCAGAGGTCAGAGCAGCAGGCTCCCAGACTTAGTGGCACCAATCAGTTGGTAGAATACTTGTAGGCAATAAAGAAAGTGTGTTGAATTCATTCTCCCCTAGAGTTTTTATTGTGTTTTCACTTCTCTGTACAATATGTAGGTCAAAACACACTGGCCATTCATACACAAAGAGGCGACTTTTGAAGGTCAGCGTGCACTTGGAGTTCTGAAAGAGCCAGTCACACATGCCTTTGAAACTCTCAGTGGGTGCTTGGGCTTTTCTTCACCTTCTCTGATTCTGATACATCTGAGCTTCTCTCCATGTGTTTTGATTAGGGCATATGCAGAAGGTAACTGTGTGCTGTGTCCAAAAGTATTTCCCTGAGGTATCTGTGACTTGGGATCATAATCACATAAGGAACAAAGGAGAAAGCCAGAAGCAGTGTCGGCCAGAAGCATAAGATTCATTAGTGATTGCAGTGAATTAATAGCCATGAGGAAAGAACATCGCTTGTTCTATGTGAAGTTTTTGTATTTGTATTCCTTTTGTGAATAAATTGGTTGTGGAGAGAATTGTGGCCTCCCCTGGTCACCCTGGGCTTTACTGCAGCACCCCACTGATTGCCTCTGAGTTAGCTGTCTGCATCTTCTCGTGGCTTTTCTTCTGATTCTTGGGATTTTCTCAAATTCAGTTTCATGCCATGCTTGACCACCTGAAGGGACTTTTCCACATTTTGATCCCTCTCTTTTGCCACCAGATTTTGTGTCTCTCTTGCCTCTCCTGAGAAGAGGCATCTGCTGAGAGTCTTGTAAACCAGTTGTCCCTTGAATGGTGTCTTTTGATCTTATGTGTCCCACAGAGCCCATTTCAGTTATGTTACACTGGGTACTGTCAGCTTTCTTGCAGGCAGAACTTCAAATGACAGCCGTGAACTGAGAGGGGTCTCTTCTCTCGGCCACATTCTCATTTGAGCTCTGATCTTTTGGAAAGCATTGGTTGCTTGCTGGCTCTTTAACCTGTTATAAATTAGACTTTTGTGGAAATAGAGAGAATGGAAATGTTAGTTGAATTTTAGGCAGTGTACATGCATTGTTTTAATTAACCTTTCTAACTCCCTGAAGTAGAGAGATACAGATCTCTAAACCCTATGAAGATAAGTAAGTTGCCCCAGGTCCCATGGCTGTTAAGTGTCAGGAATTGGAACTCAGGTTTGTGGAACTCCAGAGGCTGGGCTTTCCCAGTTATGCCACATATACATTTATACTTTGTGATCCATCTTAGTGTCATCCTATTAAAAGGTCTTGAGACCACTGGAACATTGTTATTACCAATAACGATGATATTTCCAGAGATCTCTGCACCTTTGAGCACTGCAATGAATGAAACTGGGTTACTTGGACCCTAATTTTTCCTGCCTTACCTACTTGCCAGGCTGGCTGACGGAGCTAGGGCCGCTCTGCGTTCACCAAGCAAGCTGCAGGAAAACAGAAAGAGATAGACGTGAAAAACAGCCAGAGAAATGCCTTTTCTTCCCCAGCTGAAAGATGGCTTTGTCTGTTGAGTTGAAATCTGTGAAGCCCTGGCTTCCTCACTTTTCACCCTGTGGCTTCTCTATTTGAATTGCTTGTTTGTTTTTAGTGATTCCACCACCAGATATCCACATTGACAGCTACGATGAAAATTCTCTAAGCTTCACCCTAACCATGGACAGTGATATCAAGGTAATGTAATTTCAAACTAGCAGTTGGGTGGGACTCCTTTTTATATGGGAACTGATAGGACTTTGTATAGTAAGATTAGGAAAAAAATGAATGTCTCCATCTAGAGAAGCCAAATACCAAAACTAGTTTTGTTCCTTTCCCCCTCGAAGAACAACTCGAGTCTCTACATGTAATTACTCTGCCTCAGCCTGGTGCCTTTTTTCTTTAACCATATAATTAAATGGTTCACAGCTACAGCGCAAATAAAGAGTTGGTGTTAACAGAATATGTATGCCCTGTAATTTTCAGCTTTATTGGATTTCCTGGTGCTAAGTGCTAATGCAGAGGTTCTCACAGTGGAAGAGCAACCCTCTTGTGAGAATCCATGTGTTGGAAACACGTCCATCTGCATCTCCATCTATCCCCCACGCATTCCCTTTCACTGCCGCTGACTTGTTGGGCTTGGTCTGCCTACACATAGATTCCACCATTGTTATGCTTCCCTGAGGTATCTCAGTTGAGATCCTCTTTCTATAATGGTCTTCCTCATCTGGCAGCTCCGCCTCCCTAACTGTGAGGTTGTGGTGGAACAGGAAGGCTTCAGAATCCTTGTGCCATCTGCCTAACTACAATTTAATATCAGGTCCGTGGCTTCGTAGAGGGCTGGTACAAGAGATGGCCTTCTTTGGTCTTGAAAAAAAAAATTTTTTTTGGTCCCACATTTAAAGATCTTTAAATCAAAGCCTTCAGGACTTAATGAAGTCTTTCCTGGTGTATTGATGTATTTACTCATGTTAAACAATGAGATTTCACCTACCCAGAGTTTTACTGACCTTTTGGCCTTGACTACAAGGACAGCCTGAGCTGAGACTGGCCCTTAATTACCCTGGCTTCATTATCTTTTCAACTTTACCTTTTTCTACTTTTACTTCTTGGTTCTTATCCATTTAGGCTGCATTAATTGTTTTTTGTTTCCTTGGATATATTATAAATGACCTCCTATTTATTTTTAGAAGTACCTAGAACATAACTAAGTATCTTTCCTATTTGTGGTCCTGGAGATCAAATCCAAGGGCTCACACATGCTAGACAAGTGCTCCACCATTGAGCTACATCTCTGACGCCTCGCTAAATGTTATAATAGCATGAATAGAACTTGCTTAAAAGTCAGAAGAAACCAACTGTCCATTGTAAGAACTGAGATTCATAAAGGAAGAAAAAAGCAACATTGTCTTGCTCCTGCCGTTGCATGTGGCATGCCCTCTGACTGTATCAGCTGCTCTGTCACGTGCTTCCTGGTTCTTGACAGGTGAATGGCTATGTGGTGAACCTGTTCTGGGCGTTTGACGCCCACAAACAAGAGAAGAGGACCTTGAGCTTCCGAGGGAGCCCACTGTCACACAAAGGTAGCACCTGAGGTAGTCGGTGGCTCAGCGGTCTCCTGGCAGCAGAGCTTGTTTTGGGGGTATCTGGGAGAGGGAGCATCTTTCGTGGAGGTGGACAGGTTCTTGTCCGTTGAGGACACGATCAGTGACCTCCTGGCTTGGTAAGAAAACCTTCACTTTACTGCCTCTGTAAACTCCCCCCTACATTCATGGGAGTTGGAGATCACAGAGGAGGAACTGGAGAGAGGTCAGTTTGACTCTTCCAGATGATTTCTGTGCCAAGGAAAAGTTCCTAGATTTAAACATAGTTCTTTTCTAGTCCAGTTTATTTCCCCATGCTAATAAGTAACACAAAGCCTGGTATGTGGCTGGGCTTCAGTGTTTGTTGATGGAATAAATGAACCGAACAAATGGGGAAGGAAGTGATCTAACTGCTCTGTCATTGGTGCAAGAGAAGAGCCTCAGATCATCTGTCAGAAAGTGGGCTCACAGACAGAGTTTAATTTATTTCTAAGATAAAACTTTCAATCCCTATTCTGAATGTTAAGGATAGCATGAGAATTTCCTGCTTTCATCTTCTTCCAGACTGTTTGTGAATTATTTCCATCGTATTTTCATTCGTTCCTTATGAAATAGAAGCTACAAATCTTCTACTTTATTATTGTATTATAATTTTGAAACTGAAGTTCTGCTAGGCTCAGTAATTTGCCTTTTGAGGTCACATGAGGGAGAAAGACCATTGAGCACTTGCTGTGAGCAGTCATGTATGCAGGTCTCCTGGGTTGTTGGATTATTGTTCTACATAGCTCTAATAATCCTGTAATTCCAGGAGCGCTGCTTATCCTACAGAGGCAAAACCCAGGTTTGGAGGATAGGTGGTTCCCTCTGGAGGTGGCAGTGCCACAATTGGAACCGAATCTTCCAGTTCTAAAAGCTGCCATTCCAGTGCCTCACCGTCATAGCAGTACGATTGGCAGAGGCTCACCGGCTGTTGCCTGAGGTCTGTGGGGGACAGGCTTCGTGTTCGGCATCATGCCAGACACTGTGAGCAGTGTCTTTTTTAATCCCTGTAACAGGCAGTGGCTGAAAGTGCTGTTATATCTCTCCATCTTACAAACAAGGAAACAGTGCTTGGAAAGTCTTTACTAAGAATGTACAGCCACAGAGCAAAGGCCTTGAGACCCTCCCTGAATCCTACTGATTCCCAGGTGTGTCTTTTGACATATCCTCTACTCTGTTCATGCTTCTTTTAATTTGATCCCTCAGTTAAAAAAGAAGTACATACATTTTTCAGAAAATTTAGAAGACAAAAACATATAGTAAATATTAAATTTCTCTATGGTTTCACTTTTGCATTTCAGATATCTGCCATATAGTTTTCTATGCATTAATCTTTATATGTATATATATATATTTTTTTTTTACAAAGTGAGAATAGTTTGAATAGTGTTGTTTCTTCGCCTTTTCACTTACTATAAAATTGTGAGCATTTTCCTGTGTCATTAAATATTCTTTGAAGCAAGTTTTAGTGGCTGTATAGTAGTTAGCAGAAGATTCATGGTTCAATTATCACCCTGTTGCCAGACAACCAGGCCATAACAGTGCTCTTCTACTCTAATAGACACTGAAATGCAAGACTTTGTCCCCGGATTTTTGAGTCCCTCTCTGATTTCATAGGATGGATGGGCAGGAAGGGTGTGATTTTTTCAAGGCTCTTACAACACAAGGCCAAATGGCTGCCCAGGAGGACTGGGTGAATTTTAGCCCTAGATGGTCAGCTTTAAGAAAAGTTACCCAGTGCCCATGAGACATGCTGCATGTATTAAGTCATCAGTAAATAAATGTTAAATAAACTTGTAAATTGATGAAGTCCTACAGCACGTAGGACTCAGATTTAGTGATTATTTTTTTTTTTTAGATGAGATAATGACACAAATGCTTCATTCACCCCAACTTCCTCCTGGTGACCCTTGTCCTTGTTTTCACAGTTGACAATCTGACAGCTCATACATCCTATGAGATTTCTGCCTGGGCCAAGACTGATTTGGGGGATAGTCCTCTGGCATTTGAGCATGTTGTGACCCGTGGAGTTCGCCCACTAGCTCCTAGCCTCAAAGCCAAGGCTATCAACCAGACTGCGGTGGAATGCACTTGGACTGGCCCCAGGAATGTGGTGAGTGGGTCACAGTGACTGTCGCTGAGCGCGCATGAAGTCAGTCCCCCACAGCTCTGTGCTGAGCCACGGGGCAGCTACAGGGCTTTGTTCTCTGCTGCTGTGTCTTCCCCGCTCACCCCAAACACAAGCCACCTTCTCTGTCAGAGCTGAATGACCTGCCGGAGACACCTGATGTCTCGGGTCTGGCATTCTTGCTGTGTTCTGCGGCAGTTTTGAAGTCTTCTTTCATGAACATCTTTAGTTGCACTGTAGTGACTACTTTGATGTCCTGAGAATGTTTGAAACATTTACCCTTCAAGTTCGTTTTAACTCTGAGGAAGAGCCAGAAGCCGCCTGGTGGCAGATCTGGTGGATAAAGTAGATGAGGACTCAGTGTGATATTTCTGGGAGACTGTTTCCATTGAGTGACATCTGGCAATGGCGTTCAATTAAATTAGGGATTTCAAGAAAATGAGGTCACTGACCCGTGGGCTGATACCCTTTTGCATTCCTCTCTTTTGCCAGGTTTATGGGATTTTCTATGCCACATCCTTTCTTGACCTTTATCGAAACCCAAAGAGTGTGACTACTTCACTCCACAACAAGACAGTCATTGTCAGTAAAGATGAGCAGTATTTGTTTCTGGTAAGTTTCTGTACTGGTGAGGTAAGGTAAGTTTTTGCTTTGTAAGAGCTCTCTTGAGTCTTGGGCTCCTGAGCTCAATCCTGGGCTTGGGGAATTGGACACCTGGATTCTGGTGGTCAGTGTGTGTGGGAAGAAATCTCTTCTTTGTCATAAGCATTATAGGAACTTAGTTAACTGCAGTCCACCATGGAGGATTGGTGACAGATACAGACAAATCCAAAGTGTTTGTTATATTCCACTATGTAGTTTTACATGTTTACCAAGATATATGGCAAAAGACGTGTGGTCCATTATTACTTAGAGATAGCAGAAGACTTGAAATAATTTAAATGTCCCTCAAAAATGGAGTGATTAAAAATGTTATGGCATGTTCATGGAATGGAAACAGCCGTCCAAAAGAAATATGACTTTGCATATACTGAAATGCAAAAATCTTTAAACTGTATCATTAAGTATAAGAAGTGAAGAACATAATATGTGTAGTGTTTTCTCATTTGTATAAAATTAAGAACAACAGGCTGCCATATAGTTTTCTATGCATTAATCTTTATATGTATATATATATATTTTTTTATGCAGGTCTCCTGGGTTGTTGGATTATTGTTCCAACAATATATATATATATTTTTTTACACTTGCATATAAAAATGAATTTATATCCATAAACATATCTGTTCTTGTATATGCCTTGGACATTTTAGGGGCATCTTTTTTGTAGCACTGGGGATTGAGCCCAGGGCTTCGCACATGTAAGATAATATGAGTTATAATAATGAGCTATATCCTCCGCCCCTGCCTAGGACATTGTGGAAGGAAGTGCAGAAATCTGTTAGCAGTGGTGTGGGATGGAGGGAACTATTTTGTATGTTCAATACTAGTTGAGGTTTAATTGTTACATGGCTCACTATTTTGTTGAAAAACAGTTCAGTGAAGATTGCATTACCCTCTGTGTCTTTTTTCCCCTGTGCATATGCTTGGGCCCTAGGTCCGGGTGTTGGTTCCTTACCAAGGGCCGTCCTCGGACTACGTTGTTGTGAAGATGATCCCAGACAGCAGGCTTCCTCCCCGTCACCTGCACGCGGTTCACACAGGCAAGACCTCAGCTGTCATCAAATGGGAATCTCCGTATGACTCTCCTGACCAGGATCTGGTGAGCAGGCTGGGCATTTGGGCGGCTTGCTTATTCTTAGCATGCCTAGGGTGACATGGATCGGAAGGTGGCCCCGTAATGGAGCAGGAAGTACAGGCCTAATTTGACAGCTCAGCAGTCTCTCCCATTTCTATCCATAAAAACATAGGTCCTTTGTAGGTACCCTTTTGCTTTTAGGTGGTACTCTTTGGCCATATCCAGCTGTTGTGTTGGTTTCTCCTTCCTTCTTTCATGCTTAATCCTACACCTTAACCTCTGAAACAGAGGCCATCAAACAAATACCTGTAGACCAAATCTGGCTAAAATTTTTTCCCTAAATAAAAGATTTATTCCAACCAAGCCATGCCCATTTGTTTATAGGTGATCTGTATCTGTTTCTGTGCTATAAACAGCAGAGTTTAATAGTTTTGGTAGGGACCATCTGGCCCTTAAAACCTAAAAAATTTACTATCTGAACCTTTTCAGAATGTTTGCTGGACCTGGTAAAAGAAGAGACATTCATCTTGGAAAAGGGCTTTCAGTTTTCTTATTATGGGCTGCTTTTACCTCTGTTCCCCCTCTTCTGCCCTCCATCCTGGGGGTAGTTGGTAAAAGGTGCTTGGTTATGAAGACTAACGCAAAGCCTCTTCTATGAAGGAGTTTCTCGTTCTAGTATTTTCCCCAGTCACACACTGTGTAAGAAGCAGCCTGCGGACATTCTATAGAGTGTCCTCTAGAGCTAGGGACACTTTTGTTCATTGTCTCTCCATTGACAGTGTCTGTCAACTGTTTCAAGGATGCAATACAGAGGCCGAGCACTAGATTTGAATGTTTTTCTTGCTCCAACCTCACTTCTGATACCACAATAAATGCAAGTTACATTAGAGGTTTTTTCTTTTTTCTTTTTTGAGTCTAGTTGATAATTCTGAGTGAATTCTGGATAGTCCTCTCACATGTGTACCGTACTTGTTATAAGGCTGGCCCTGTTTAACCCAAAGGCTTTCTGAAGAATGGGATCAGATTTTTGGAATATTACCAAATATTGTGGTTCAGGGTCTCAGCTGTTGTCATGTACCTGGCTCCTGGATCTACAGATTCAACCAATTGCAGATTGAAAATATTTGAAAAAGGAATTGTGTTTATATTGAACATGTAATAATATTTTTCTTGTCATTATTCCCTCAAGAATACAGTACTACAACTATTTATGTAGCATTTGCATTGTATTAGCTGTTCTTGTTAGCCTAAAGATGATTTAAAGTATACAGGAGAAATGGCTGTGTTATCTGGTATTACTACACCGTTTTATGTCAGGGATTTGGTATCCGCAGGGCTCCTGGAATCAGTCTCCCGGAGATGTAGAAGGGGGACTGTATTTGTGTTACACTGTCTGCCTTTGAACTATGAACAGTAAAGCATGCCAGGTTTCTGATTACGACTCAGATATTCTATTTTTTTTTTGATCCCAGTTTTATGCAATTGCAGTTAAAGATCTGATTAGAAAGACCGACAGAAGCTACAAAGTAAAATCCCGCAACAGTACTGTGGAGTATACCATCAGCAAGTTGGAGCCGGGAGGGAAATATCATGTCATTGTCCAACTTGGGAACATGAGCAAAGATTCCAGCATAAAAATTACTACAGGTGAGCAGGAGAGAGCACAGGGCCCTTCTCGCACAGCTGAGCACTTACAGTGCTGCTGGACTTCTAGACAGAGAGTTTCCATCAGGAGCTGCCTGGGATGTGCCCAAGCCGCCCTTGTGTCTCCAAACTGCCAGAGAAGCACAGGGAGCAGGGGTCCCATAACCAGGCTGCAGTGAAGTGGCCAAGGCACGGGGGACTGGGGAGTGGCTCTCTTTCTAATTCTTTCCCCTAGGCTATTTTGATATCACTAGGGAGAAGAGAGGAGGACTGCCCAAGAGTTAAAAATATAAGTAATATCTAGCACCAAGGCGAGGCACGGCATCTGAAGCCCTAGATTAAGGCACAGGACTTCGTAGTGGCGATCTGTCATGTCGAAATCAAGGGAGACCGATAACTGGGCTGCAGATTAAAGGGTATTCGGTGTCAGGTTCACTATGGGAATGAGAACTCAGTGATTTGGACAGCAGCAGGCAGTGTGAGGCGTTCCAGCTATTGTTAGGCTGGGAGTGTGACCCGTAGGCCTGGGTCATACGTTGGTACTATTCCAGCCCTGGGTTCACACAGACTCCTTACTGTATCCCATTCCTTTCTTGCCATTCTCTTGACTCATTTGTTTTTGCCCATCCTTGGGTCCGAGGGCTCTTAGTAAATTACACACTGGTCACGGTTCTTGGCTACAGTGGATGCCAATGGAAAGATACCTACCGTGCGCTCGTAGCGTCCACCCTAAGCAGCATGTTTCACTTCTTCCGCTGTGTGGCCACTAACTGCTCTCTGGCTCATCTTTGGTTTTCAGTCTCCTTATCAGCACCTGATGCCTTAAAAATCATAACGGAAAATGACCATGTTCTTCTGTTTTGGAAAAGTCTTGCTTTAAAGGAGAAGCATTTTAATGAGAGCAGGGTAAGTTCCCCCATTGTCAATGACTCTGGAAATCTAATTGAAATGCTATTTCAGAGATGAGCTTATTAACAGCATGCTGGCAAAGATGGTGTAAAAAAAGAAGAAGAAGAAAGGGCAGGGCATGGAAGTAAAGTGGAGAATTAAAGCAGTACTTTCTGTGTGATTGCTAATTAGGGAAATGTTTATTCTGCCCATTAAAGATGAGAATCTCTGCACTAAGCACTTTTCAGTCCTGCACTTTCTTCCCTGGTGGAAAGGGACATGGGCTGGAATACTCCTGTGCTTCCTGGAGCTGGGCAGCGGCTTAGCATCCAAACCAAGATCCCACCTTTCCCAGGCCCTCTGACTGCCCACACCGCTGGGGGCTGAGCTACATTCTCATCCCTTTCTTCCTAGAGCAACTCTTAGAGAGAGCAGAAGAACCCAAAGGTTCTCTGCTGCCTAATGAACACCGTTGTTTTGTGTCATATTGCTGTTGTAAGCCAACACTGCATTCACAAAGGAGCTGGGGAAGGCAGAGAGAGACCTGAGAGGTTTGCCACCCAATGGTGGACACGTTCCTGAATGGAGCTGGGCTTGTTCCATTGATGGCAGAGCATAAACATAGTTAAGCCATGATAACTCTGCTATGGCTTCATGGCAGAGCCCCAGGGTCTTCTATAAACACAGGGCGATGCCAGAATCAAAGCTCAGCTCAAATTTGAAAAGCCATGCCACTCTGGAGAATACACACAACTCTCATAACTGTGACATCTACATGGTTGATATCCTTAAATAAAAAGAATGCTTTCAAGTCAATTCAAAGCAGAAGTATCTGATTTTGAAGAACATATAAGTAAACATCTCCAGCAGTGGTGATCTAAAGGAGAAAGGTTCTGCCTTACTAGGTAAGATGTGACTTTTGTGCACTACCCTGGAAAAGATCTTGGGGAGGACCTTTATCAGTGTGCCTAGTAGTTGGAGAGCTTAGTACTCTCAGAATATAAATTGGATCACCCTTTGGAAAGGGTTTGTGGTTAGTACAAATCAGAAACCTTGAATGTATTTATACTTCTTGATCCAGTAATTCTAAGATTTTACTCTAAAGAAACAATACACGTAGAAGACTCATATGTACTAATTATGACAATAAAAAACAGCAAGAGAGAACTACTGAAAGATAGGTGGTTGACGTTTGGGTGTGTAATGTAGCATCTTTATACCTTTCTGTATTTCACAAATGTTCTACACTGAATATCTATTAGGTGGTGAATAATAATTGCCAGTTTGTGAAAAACAGAATATGGAAATAAGATGCCAAGCAGGTGTTGCAAAGCCCAGTCTAGCAGCTGGTTGCCATTATGAGATCCTTCATAGACATTGGAAGCCCAGCTTGTAGGTTGGGGTTATAGGTGAACATGCACTCCTCATGGAAGGTTCTGGCATAGACACAGATGCTCATCCCACCTGATTCAAAAAATAAAGAGGTCAGGGGATGGGGACCAAGAGACCATGTTTATGAATGAAACTAGTAGGTAGATAGAGACAAAGAATGCAGTCTTTATTTAGGGGAAGAGGGTGGCACCTGAACTGAGTGTTGGTAGCTTTGACACTCAAATGCATGGAGATAAGCTAACAAATTCACTGGTCAACTTCATCCCAGCCAGCAGGCTGGGTCAGGAATGTCACAGGATGACTTTTGCCAACATAGGAGTCCAGGACTCTCTCTGAGTCTGAGAATATTATTTCATCCTATCCTGTGGTGAGTAGATCCCTGAGCTTGATAAAATCCCTCTTACATCAAGGCCAAGATGTTCAGGGTTGAGGGTCATCTTAGGAAGAGCTAGGAGGCAAGGTGACGATAATCTTCTTACATATTCTTCTAGGAGAAACCGGCTATCTCTTGTAACTGCCAGTTCCCTCATCTTAACCCATTGTCAAAAGCCATCATGGCCAGGATTTATTACTGGTCAAATTCTATACTGCAAGCTGAGGTGGAGATGGTTAGGTTCTTGGCAGCATTTAATATTGCTTGAGAGGAGAGACAGCAGAGCGAGACTTTTGGCATGCATTTGTTGAAGTGGCTTTCCTTGAGGCTACACTTCCGCTTCCACACTACAGCTCCTAAGTAGGCACAGCAGTTTTGAGACACTGGGATGAGAAGCATTCCCCTTTTCTAGGTCTGCATCCAGTATCGCCGTGGTCATATGACAAGAACTAATGAGAAACCCAAGGTGCTTTAGCCCCTGTAGATGTCTGCAGGAAGAGGCTCATGTTTGGTTGGAACCAGTGACAGACTTGCTGAGCAGGCTCCTGTGTGTGTGTTTCAGGGCTACGAGATCCACATGTTTGACAGTGCCATGAATATCACTGCTTACCTTGGGAATACTACTGACAATTTCTTTAAAATTTCCAACCTGAAGATGGGCCATAATTACACATTCACTGTCCAAGCACAATGCCTTTTTGGCAGCCAGATCTGCGGGGAGCCTGCTGTCCTGCTGTATGATGAGCTGGGATCTGGTAAGTCACTGTCACCTTTTGTCCTCCATCTGGGGGAATAGAAGAGATATAGTGTGGCCTGATGAACATGTGTCTTCCTAAAGCATGACTAAAATCTGTTGTCAGCAGAAGAAAAGCACTTATTTATTGGTTGCATCTGGTACAAATAAGTACTTCTTGAGCCAAGCATAGCATGAAGAGCCAAGTTTACAAGGTGACCATGAATATAAAGAGCAAGAAAGGAAGGGTTCTGTCTCAAAAGGAAGTTCTGCATGAGAAATGCTAGGTTAACAAGAGGTTTTATTGTTTGCTTCTAGATTTCTCAGCACCCCCAGTAGCATTTCTCCTCACTGTGGAGTAGCTGACTGTGTAGCCCTTCCCATCAATTTGGCTGTCAGTGGCAAATCCAGATGTGAATTTGGCCTAGGATCCCTGTCTTAGGTCAATCCTAGGCATCAGCTGGACCACACTAGTGGTCTACATAGAAAGTCTGCTTATCTTATAGCAACTTGACCAGATTTTCCAGAGATGTTTTGCCACTGGCCTAGTTAATTACATTTACTCCTAGCCAGAAAGGCTCAAACCAAAACCATGTGTTAGAGTTGTTAAATGTTTATCACATAATGCTTCCTGGGTTGTGATCTTGCAGAATACTATCCTCCCAAAAGAAGAAAACATTGTCTTCTACTTTCCCTTGGAGAATCATGCATACTGGAGGCTCCAAAAAGATTTTTAAAAAAACCTATAACAACATATCTCTTATTAATTTAGTGATTCCTTCCTTTATAGCATTCTGTTTTAAGCAAAACAAGCCAGCAAACCTTTGAAATACTCTTAGTGAAAACCCATTGTGAGGACCTCTGCCAGCTGCCTTTAGGATGTGGAGCTGGTGGGGAGTTCACTGTCATCTCCGCCCTGCTCCAGCCAAGTGCACACTTCACCTTCCATTTACTGCTACACACTTGGGATAGACTGCGATCATTAAATAAGATTCTGCCAGAAATTTTTCTTTTCAGCCATGAAACAATGAATGAGCTAATGTAAAACAGGTGAACATTGAATTGGTAGATTAGGCTTGCAACACTGGTCCATCTTTGTGAGCACTTCATTAGGATGAATCCCTGGGTAGCTGTGTTTGCACATAGAGACTTAGATGGACAAAAATTCACACTGCTACTTTTGCTACAACCTGATTCCTAAGCTCCATTTTTCTTTCTGAAGTTCAGACTTGCCTCAGGAGTTTGAATATGAAGAGTCTATCCCCTTTCAAAGGGATGGCCCCCACCCCAGCAGGGTACAAGGTGGGGGGTGACTTTGACCCCAGTGCCAGTGATGAGTAACTCATCACAAAGCCTGCATTGGTTTAAGGCCATGGGAAGGAGCATCTTTGTTAGGTTATAAACACCTAAATGGCTTTTCAGAGAGCTTTAAAAATGATAAATGTATACGGAAAGGTTGTTTCTCTGTTTTTTACTTAAGTAAAAAATCTCGTAAAACTTCATGAGCTGTTAAGGCACTATTGTAGTAAAGGAATCTCGTTTGTGTCACTTAATGGAGCTTCAGGTAATTGCAGTTCAGAGTGACTTTGGTGCCAAGTAGGGGGAAATAATTGCAATCTCGTTAATTAGTGGTCTGATTTCACATCCTCTTATGTAAGGCAAGCAAGTGGTCTTAAGTAATAATGCTAATGAAATCAATGTTGATACCCCAACAAAGGTCTCCCTTCCAAGAGATTATCTAAATAACCAACAAGGCAGTGATTAGGAGGCTAATGTAATTACCGTATTTGCATGCACAAGGCCCACCGTCTAGCAGCTCATAGCAAGTAGTCAGAAAATGTTCAGGCATCTGCAGTTTTGGTAGCTGTTTCGAACTCGCAGCTCTTTTGGTGGGTGGGACCTTGTGGATTGCCTGGTCCGTTCTCCTGTCTTCAGGGAGGAGGCTCACTGAGGGGGATCTTGCCTCGGCAGGTGGAGATGCAGCAGCAGTGCAGGCTTCCAGGTCCACTGACGTTGCCGCGGTGGTGGTTCCCATCTTGTTCCTGATCCTGCTGAGCCTGGGGGTAGGGTTCGCCATCCTGTACACTAAGCACCGGCGGCTGCAAAACAGCTTTACTGCTTTTGCCAACAGCCACTACAGCTCTAGGCTGGGCTCGGCCATCTTCTCCTCAGGGGATGACCTGGGTAAGTGGGCAGGGCAGTGGCTGTTCCTCTCAGGGTGGACCCCGCAAAGCGATGACCTGCTTAGGAAGGATTTGCCTTCAGCCCGCCTTTTGATATGAGAGAAGATATTCCTTAAGTAGTGAATCCCTGCATAAGATAAACCAGCTGGCTTTTAACTTCTTCCTAAATCAAAATACGACATTGACTTCAGTGGTGTGGCTTTGGCTAGAAACAGGGAAGACCTGCGAGGAGGTCTTGTAACTCCTCCAGGCAAGGTGGACAGGCCCTGAGTTTTGGAGACCCCCAAATTAGCAGAAAATCCTCAGCAGTGTCCACCTAACTGTTGTCTCACCTTTACAGATGTGGAAGTCTGACATCGCAGGAGATCTAGTCAAGATAAAAAATAATGCTGTCCTCACTGGTTTCTTTGAGAAGAAGCCCTTCCAACTGGCTCTTTCTCTCTCCAGTTGCTAGCACAGTCTCACCAGCCAATCATCTGCCTCTATGTGTTCATCACACATAGTGTGGGAGGAAGAAGGAAATCTTTTTATCCCTTTTAGAAAGCTTTGCACACTGCAATTCCTAAACACCGAGCTAGGAGACCACATAATATAATGTAGTGGCTGTGGTAAAGGCTTCCCTAAACTCAAACTGCCGAGTGTGAGTCTGGTTGTTTACCTTTTCTGTGAGCTACTTCTAATTAGTGTTTTCCCGTTTATGAAGACATTTATGTATCCCCACTCCCTGATCCTGTGACGTTAGCCCGGCTTTTTCTTCTTGTTTAATCACCAGGTAACCTGAGTTGCCTGACATGAATGGGGTGGTGGATTTGCTTCCGCCTGCTGGGGACAAAACAGTTGCCCTCCTGCAGCACTGTGTGACAAGCACTAGCAGATCAGCAGTTCCACAGGATTATACAGAGGGAGCAGAGGAACAGTGACTAGTCTGGGAAGATAGCCCTCAAATTTTTATACCCTCTAAGATCCTTTTCTTCAAAGCAGTTTGAGTTCAAGTTCAAAGGAGAAAGTAAACAATGAAGTTCATTGAACTCACTCAGGGCGTGGATGTCTCAAACTGGGGAACCAAATCACCCATTTGACTTCTGGGTCTATAATGAGGTCTTTTTTCCTGTAAGTTTTATTTGCTTGATTTTGCTAAGTTTAAGCTACCTTTAAAATAAGTTTGCCAACCTATTGATGGCAAAGAAGATGGCCCAAGAGTGACAGAGGAAGCTGAGCTGACTTTCGGGACTGATCACTGTGTCCGGCTGGCAGTGGTAGGGTTTAGCTGAGAGCTGTGGTGGGTCATGCTGTGGGCTGGGGTGCTGGAATTCATGTAGTCCTGTCTCTTTGTTTCTAGGTGAAGATGATGAAGATGCGCCTATGATAACTGGATTTTCAGATGATGTCCCCATGGTGATAGCCTGAAAGAGCTTTCCTCACTAGAAACCAAATGGTGTAAATATTTTATTTGATAAAGATAGTTGATGGTTTATTTTAAAAGATGCACTTTGAGTTGCAATATGTTATTTTTATATGGCCAAAGACAAAAATAAAACAAAACAAAAAGAAACAAAAAAAAAAAAAAAGAGGAAAGAAAGGAATAAATAAACTTTGTAATAATCAACTGTGAACTTCAAACCGGGTTGAGTTTAGTAACCAAATTGCTTTGATTTGACGTTAATGTAGTCTTACAGGGCTATGCTTGCTGGGCATGCTTTTAAGTCTGTGAGATAATTTTGGTTCAGTAAATTGGCCATTCTTTTTATTTTTCTAAGACACAGAAATGTATTTAATAAAAACTTCAAGAGAGAGTGATGGGTAGAATCCCTTCTCCTTGAAAGCGTGTTCAAATTTTAAATTTTGTTTGGATTTAGTTTACATGAAATGTTTGGGGAAAGGTTCTTTTATGATCTTTTATTAATTTATTGGGACTCTGTATAAGGCCAGCCTTTTTGTTTTTTCTTTTTAATTTAGGCCAACCTTTTGTGGTCATCTGGCACCATGTATGTTATGATCCCCTGGCCCATAGGGTTGGGGGAGAAGGAACAGAAGTATTCTGTTGCCATTCCAAAAGCAACCCATTTTATCCACTTGTGTGTCATTTAACAGTCTTTGGCAGAAGAAAGCTCTGCGCTATGGCTAGATTTCAGTTAAACAGAGCTGCATCTTTGGAAGCCCTGCAAGCCACAGCTTCCTCTTCTATTCATTGACTCGATCTTACTGTAAACGCCTCTATACAAGGTGTGGCTTTGAAAGCTACCAAATGCTAACACTGCTTTCTGATACACTGGGATCGTTGTCATTGTAAAAAGTTACTCTGATTGTAGGAGCATTTCAGATCTGTGCCATGAGAAATACGCTGGCAAATATAGTATGTATGTTTTCCATTTGAAATTTTTTGTTTGTTTTCACTACCACCAAATACTCTCAAATGTAACGTTTTACATTTGGGTCTAGGTGGCCACTGAACTGTACTTAAAAATTCACATCGTTATATGCAGGCATTTTGAATTGGGTCAGTGCCTTCTCTTTCTCTTTTGCTTCCCTTCCACCTCCCTCAGCCATATCCCCACCCAATCTCAGAGCTAATGCTGTCCACACTTCCGGAGATAGAGGTCCAAGCATTTGGCCACTTTTTTCAGTCCACAGTCCCAGCAACATTGGACCTTCTGTATTCACCATAAAACCACCTGTGCTTTTTACCTCTGTATTACAGTGCCATCCCTGTATTCAAATTATGGTGATTTGAAAGTTGTATGGAATCCTTTGCAGACTGATGCTTCTCCTTTGGACTTAGCATTGTGGGTATCCATGTTGTCACTTGTGCTGTATGAACATCCTCAGTGCAGAATTTCTTCCCAGCTGAGATGCAGTGAACTCTGAGAATTTTCCAGAATTATGCCTCCAAGTGTGTGTCCTTATAATATATGCAAGCTTTGTCCATCCCCCACCCCATAGTCTGTTATCTTCCCACAAATACTTTTTACATTTTAACCAAAAATATCATTCTTGGGTGGTACTGTAGTTTCATTCTACCTAGGGATTGTTTAGAAAACAAAGAACCAATTAAATGTTTTAGTTTTTAAAATTTTTATTTATGCATATGTATTTTAGATGAGGAGTATTTTGACCTACAGTGATTTAGCACATCACATGAGTAGGGCTGGAGTTCATGTGAACAAATGACTTATTTTCTGGCTTATTTTCTCCTCTTTCCTCTTCCTTTTTAAATTTTTCTTTCATCAGACTGGAATTCATATCACTTTTATCTCATCTTGGAGCTGTGTTCAAAACCCTATGCTCTTTCACCTCTGCTTTAATAACCTCTCTATGTAGCTGCAAGATTAGCAATCTGGGGGGAGGCCAGTCGTCTATCCGAACCACGAGAAAGTATATTTTCTTCTGTCGCCAGCTTTTTGGTGGCATCTGTAAAAGCTGATAGAAAGGCTCCAAGGTACCGTATCTGGTGATGCCCTGGGCAAGTCTTTTGACGCAGCACAAATCTCCAGCTGGCAGTGGGAGATATTCAGAGCCTCCAGTTCTAGTTTCCAGTGCCTCACGGTGCTTGTGCACAGTACTGTACAGACCGGCCATCACCCCTCCTCGGAAGATGCCACTGTGCTGTTTGAAAACAAGCAGCCTTTTAGGGCTAGAGTATTTTATATAAACAGAAGAGCCAAGGTCTTGCGACTAAGCTAGATAGATGCAGTTATGTATAAATTGTATATTTTTATGAACTTTTAAAGCACGCACTCCTGTTTCCTGCTACATAGTTTTGTGAAGGTTTTGATGTTCCTTATGCCACCTGCAAGAGTCCAGAGGTTGAAGTGACAGTTGCAAGTGAAATAAAACAAATACTGTGTGAAATCTTTGAAGGTAACTGTGACCACTGTGACCGCTTGGACCCCCTGGTTGCTTGCAGGGTAGGGGCTTTTGCACTGTGTAGGTGCCACCCTGAAACTTACCCTATACAGACAAAAGTTTTATTCTGTCCCAGCTCTAGCTGACAAATTGACTACATCTCTGTAGCCTACTACTGGGCCACTAAAATTTGGTGGGCAGGGGGACTGTGCTTGTGTTTTCTCTGGAAGCTGATTTTGTGCCTTTCGGTGTTGAACACCCTTGAACTTTGTGAGACACGGGTCCAGGCAGATGAAATGACACAGTAGAGTTCCTCCAGGGACCCAGATGGGGCACATCTGTTTCCAGACAGATAAGCAGTTCCAGTAGCTACTGACAGCCTTACAAGCTGGGTAAACAGTTGTACCACTGGATACCTAGTGGGAACTTAGGACTTTTGGAAGAAAGGCTCCTGGTATTTCGTCTAGTGAAAGTTTCACAAGAGATATTTGTGGGACAGATAGGGACCACTGCCTGCTCCCTGTTGCCCATCATGTAACCCCTAAATGAAGCTGTGCTTACTACACATTACACGATAGGTACTTGGCAGGGAGCTAGGGAGACCAAGGGCATGGTGAGCCCCTCGCAGATAAGCACCTAACTCTTCCTTGGAGGATCCCACCTTCAGACACCCACCTAGTGGTCACTATATCCTAAAGGTTGTATCTCCAGTCCTCCCTTAAAGGCCCAAGACCCACCCCAAGGAGTTCAGTTGTCCTCCTTCCTACTAAGGGAGTCACGATGAATTCCTGAAATTCTCTTGCTTTAGCAGAGTTGGAAGGCCTCTCGGTGAAGCGCTCCAAAGCCAAACCGAATACTATTCTCATAGGGATTGTAGAAGTTGACTTGAAAACTGTGCAGAATCTTCACTTGTACTGGGATTGTTTTTTGACATTCCTGTTAGGTTATTTTTCATAAATGGGATGTGTGCTGCCTTTCAGGTACAATTTTTGTGTAATAAAAGCTAGTGCATTAAGTTTATATAGACTACTTTCTATGCAAGACTCAGATATGGAATAGCCAGCAAGAGATGCATACTGTTGGGGACGTGGACAAGAAACACGTTTTCAGAAGGAGTACCACTGCTGAACATGGCTTGAGGGAGGGTAGGTTGTACGTATGTTTCTGCCCACTAATTGAGCAGCCATATTATGAATTAAATCATCAGAGCCAAGTAATAACCCAAGAATGGTATTAGTTTCATGTGTAATGGCGCAAATGGAACAAGCATGAATGCAGAAATGGCGCATTATCCTCAGATATTCCATGTCACTTCTCATCGGAAGACTCTTGTTCAGAATTATTAGAAACTTTAGGCAAAGTCAAAAGTATTTACAGCAAAATAAAGGCCTGTTCTGCTCTTATTTAAAGTGAAACACTGTAAATTTGTTTCTTTCCAGAGTGAAATTAGGTATTTATAATTTCAGTTGCCTTGGTAAGTTTCCAAGTCACTGATTTCTGCTGAAGATTTTACTATATTGTTGCACAATTTTAAGATAATTTTTGTCTCAATGTCAACTTTTTTCACTGAATAAAAATTTAACTGGGTCAAAAAAAGCATCCGTTTGAAAATCTACTTTGTGGGAGGCTAGGGATTTAGCTCAGCGGCATAAGCACCTGCCTTGCAAGCAGGTGGTCCTGAGTTCGATCCCCGGTGCTGGTAAAAAAAAGAAGAAAGAAAATCTACTTTGTGGGTGTGTTGAGTTGTTCTTTGGAGAGCTGTAATGATGGTTAACCCAGGCTCTAAACACGGTCTGATTTGTCACTTGAAGTATGTTTATTTTGTAGGTGAAAGAACATTAAAACCTGGAACAGTTTTGTTATTAACTGGTCTCAGACAGTGGATCTTTGAAGAAGGTGATGTCTTTGTGCTGGCTGAGGACTGGGAAATAGCAGCTGGCTTAAAGTTAACAGAATTATTCTGTAGGAGGAATGACAACTGGATCTTTCTCTTAAAGCTGTAACTACATTTGCTCGGAAGACGGTTTTCAAATGCGAGGCAAGCAGAAGGGCTTTGGTTGCAGGAGGTTTCTGGCAAAGCGTGTTACACTCACCCCACACGGGCAGACGGCTGGCAGCTGCATGTAGAAGCCAGGAGTGGAGGGTGTGGAATCAGGTTGGGATCTTTAGCCATTCTTTGGGCAGCTCCTTGTTTTTAGATACTTAACCGAAACAAATTTATTATTATCTAGCATTATAGACAAGGTTTTAAAAAGCGGCTCAGAGAGGTTCCATCATTTGCTTAGGAGAAACGAGAATAGATGGTAAAATCAGACTTAGCGAAGATGGATGAAAAATAATGGAAGGAAGAGGGGCCAGGGCCACACGAGTGGTTGCCCAATAAATACGAGTGAACATATGAACACAGTACAGTAAGGATCAACCACTCCATGCACACCCATTGGGTGATCCATTTCTTCTAAGGCCTTGCTCCTGGGATCTCATACTTGCAAGTCCATTTGTTAAGGTCTCCCTGGACCTTATTAGCCTCTTCATGTTGGACATCAGACTCATGGCTTTATGTGTTTTTTTATTGAACAAACTCCCTCTCACTAAAATGCTGCAGCTAAGTAGTCAGACTAAGTTACAAGACAAACTTCCTGGCTTGAGAGTCATCATGTCTGGCAGATGATTCTGCCTGTTCTGTGTTGATTTTGAAGTTTAATTCTGGGAAGACATTTTCTGAATCCTAGGAGGTGCCTCAATGTAGCTCCCAAGTTCTCAGTAGATCTGTCGGCAAATATGTGACATTACATCTGCAGCAAGTTAAAACCAGGAAGAGGATGCTGAAGGGAAGTAACCCTGACAACAGTAGAGGAGAAGCTAACAGCCTTAGAGTTACACTAGTGGAAAACTAAGTTAGAGATAATAGAACCCCAACAAACACAGCTTGAAGACGACAGTTAGCATAGAGATGGAGTCCCATACTTTAGCCCAAATACTTAGAAGTATTACAGTTATTTTCTCTTATTGAGTCCCCAGTCTTCGGTAGTTGCTAGGCTAAACTCTTTAGAATTAATTGTTAAAAATTCTAAAAGTGATTTTCTGCTTTCAGTGTTAATCTTTGTTTTAAAGAAGAAGGCTGATTTTCAGAGTAAGCTCCCCAAGCTCTCACACATAATGAAGTAGCAGGGTCAGTGGTAGGTAATAAAAAGTAGGAAGATAAATCTTTCTCAGCTGGAAAAGGGATCGAGCTGGAGGGAGGAGAGCGAGTGGGGTGGAAAAAGGAATTAAGATGTACATGTACCAATTCCACACAAAGAATGTTAACATGACTGCAAATATGTATAAAAAAGTGGGAGAGTCAGTGAGATAAATTAGATGTATTTGATTCTTAGGCGTGCACTGTTCATGGCCGTGCTATTGCCCTGTTGGTTCGTTTTGTCAGGGTTTGCAGAAGAATAGGTTCAATACAGGACACATATTTTATAGGGTTATTTTATAGTATTTGCCCAAAGAGACAAATGCTGAGGAGTGCAGAAGATCTGTCCATGTACTAGAGATCCAAAAAATCCAGCTGGTCTGGATTCCATGGCAGTGTCCTGTATGAGTTCAGCGGAAGAACCACAGCCTATGGCGATGTCCTCTGAGTGCAGCTGGAGGCCTAAGGCCCATGACAATGACTCATGCAAGTCTGTATCAAGGTTCTGTACTGGGAAGGCCCCAAGGTCAGTGTTGGAAGCCTGCATGTCTGTGCCAGTGAAGGATCTGTGCAGGAAGGCTGGGGGATCTGCACTGGAGCCAGGAAGCAATGCTCAAGGTAAGGACCAGAGCTCCCCACAAGAGAACTGCAGCTGTCCTTAGCAACAGCAAGGACCCGAGCTCCTCCTGTGATGAGAACAGCTGAGTCCATGTCAGGAAATCCAGTGTGACAAGTTTCTCCAAGGAGAATCAACAGCGCACCATCTTCCCCTCCAGTTCTTTTTATGCTGCTAGCAACCAACCTCATGTGAGTCTTCCACACCCAGAACCACTCTGATTCAGTTTAACTGGGTATTACTAGTTGACCATTAGTTAATCCACCACAGTGCAATACTAGAGGTCTCTCCTGGTGACTTTGCCTAGGGACTCCAAGAGCACAGGTAATAACTTTAAAATCATTCTCAATCAAAAGATTAAAAAGGATGATCAGAAACATAACGAAATATACTTAGATTTCTTTGCACAATTGTGGAGCACAATACTCCCTGCTAATGGTAGGGCCGTGAAGCCTTTTGTTTTTTTAAATTGGTAAATATTTTTGTAAAGAATTCCATAATTAGAACACAGAGGATTCTTTTGCTTTTTGTCAAAATCCTTTGCACCTTGGGAAAAAAATTTCCGTGCATGGTTTTGTTTTGTTTTTACCTTTACCCACACATTAAAGTACACCATGACAACGTGTTCCATTAGGGCGGTAACAGAGCTAGCACATGACCACTGGAATCCCAGCAGAAGGAAGTACTGTTATTCCTTTTATCAGCCCCATTAACTTCGACACTAGGGCCCCATTAATTTTTAAAAAAAAAGATTGTATGTAGTGTAGTGTGATCTTGCAATAATTTACAGAACAATGATATTATGCTTTTAAGAATGCTAATATAATCGTAATGTCGCAACCCTATTTGATGCTGGAAGTGACAACTGGTAGTGTTTGGGAATATTTGTATGAAAACAATGACATTTCACAGCTAAAACTTGACATCAGCAAACTTCGAGGGAGAAAAAAACAGAGCTTTAAATGTAAAACAGCCTTTTATGAAATTTACCTTTTGGTTGTACACCAATCCATAAAGACTTCAGTATTGATCAAAGAGTTCTCATAAGGAAGGCTTACTTTTCAGTCTCTTTCTAGCAAAGGCAGAGCCTATTAGCTACTCAGGGATTGATCCAGTCCTAAATGGTGCTGATCTGTCAGAATGTGTGGGCACACACATGATGTAGGGAATTTTTTTTTTTTTTGGTTCACTAAATGTATTTTTTAAAAAAATCTTACAAAAGAATATTACATTCTACACTCTGAACAGATGCCAGGGACATGAGGACTATTGTTACTTCCTTCTCTGTCCCACTCCCCAAATGTTTACAGTGACCACACAAAGCAAAGTGTTTGCAATAATTACATGGGGGATTTTTTTAAAAGCACCAATAATGAACAAAAAATAACATCCGCTCATTCTGCTGCTGTTTTAAAATTTCAGTGTTAGTTTCTGTGTGCTCTCTCTCCTCAACGCTGTTTGTAAGGAACTAAATTATTACATGTGGTGAACAGCAAAGATTTTACTACACCTCAAATGCAGAACACCTATGGAGTAATGTTGGTTTTTTAAACAGAGCAGATTAAAAAAAAAGATTCAGGACTCCTTCAGTTCTTCACTAGTCTTAGAAAAACGTTCCAGAATACTGCTTCCCACTGTTCTGGAGCAAATACCGTGCATTCGGTATCTGGTCCTCTAACGGTAATGACCTGATCTTTGTATCCTTCTAAAGACTCATCAATTTTGAAAGAAGCTCCGGATTTTGACAGATTTATTTAATCTGCTGACCACCTTTGCCAATAATAGACGCAGCCAAATCTTTGGGAATAGTTACTTGTGTAGGTCCACTAAGATGACCACATGAGCTACAATCCCCTGCATAGGAATAATCATACCCAGAGCCACCCTGGGGTTCATATGCCATCTGTCATTCTGATGGGCTTGATGTGTCTATTGTAGAGTCCCAAGTTTCACCAGCACTGAAACCACCCGTGCTGTGGAGTGGTCTGCAGGTCTTCCTCTTCTGTCATAGGCCATTAGAGCTCTTCCTCTAGGTAGTGGTGTCGGTGGAGGAGGAAACTTTTGAGCTCTGCTACCATCCAGGCCACATCGCCCAGGGGGAGGGGGAAAGTGTTCCGGACCAAGGCTCATATCGTCATAATCTCTTCTAGAAGAGGCAGAGGATGCCTACCCCGACTAGGAGGCATTCTGTCGAAACCACCCAGTCCCCGCGGGGGAAATTCTACGGGCCATTCACAGCGGTCATCAACCATTATGGTAAAACCACAGTTATCTTAAGTTTCATAAAAACTGAAATCAGAAGGTTGTAAATGTCCTTTGATGGGAGACTTAGCTACAAGATCGAGGATGATCTTTATGTACTCTACCACCCTATCAGGCTTTCCTCTAATAAGAATAACCCTATCAGTACAATGAGGGCAGCATTCCTGGAAAAGCTGGACTGTTGTCTGAGTGTTCTCTCCAAGTGCCTTGATTTTAGCACCTTTGACCCCAATCATTCCTCCTGCCAGACTTTGATGAATTAACATTCTCAGATCACAGTCAAAGTCACTTTCTTTACAGTGTTGGTACTCTTCCAAAGCAGGGGTGAGTTTCTTCAGAATCTCCCCAATTGTTTCAATATCAGCACTGATACTCAATACGCGCTCAGGACCGCTGCTGTCTGGGACTGAGAAACACCGGCACTGTAGTCTGTACGGAGAGCCTAAATATTCCTGCCTCCTTTTCCAATCACTGCCCCAGAGTTCTTGCTTTGAAGCAGAATTCATGATTCAACCATCTCATCGGTGTTTCTAGGTC